GGCTCCATGCTCCTCACCGGTGTATTACACTAGGTAGAAATGTACCTAACATGAGAATAGTCCTTTGACAGGCTTTTTTCTTGATCATAATTTGAAAGTCTTGACTAAAAGAACTAAGAAAAGGACACACAAACTCCCAACACTTCAGAAACTCACTCTTGGTCTCTGTTCTGCTTTGAGCCGTGGAGGCCGTATTCCCATAGTGGGGTGTGGCCGCCAGGTGCTGGGTGGCGGAGCCTGGTCTTGCACTTGGCAGGTTTCCGTGAGAGCCCAGTTGGAAGGCCCAGGCCTATGATTAGGAACCCGGCTCCCAAATGGGACTGCACACACGCTTCTTTGCAATTTGAGAAGTGTCCTCACACATCTCCTTGGACTGGTGCTTCTGAAAGTTTGGTTCACAAAGCCCTGGGAGTTCTGAGTGCCTTTTGGGGGTCTGCCAGAGAAGATTATTTTCATGATAATACTAAAACACTGTTGGCGCTATTTGTACTGAACTGAGGTGCAGAAGCAATGGTGAGTAAAAATGCTGGAATTTACACATTAATCAAGCTGGAATCTACACACCAAACTGCTGGTAGGATCATGATATTCCTTATCTCAAGCACTTGCTATAAAAAGAAAGTGCCCATTTCACTTAAGAATGTCTTGGGGTGGGGGCCCGCATGGATGGCTCAGTTGGTTAAGTGTCTGCCTTCACCTCAGGTCGTGGTTCCAGTGTCCTGGGATCGAGTCCCTCATCGAGCCTTCTTCTCCCTCTCCCTCTGCCATTCCCCCACCCCCCAGTCCCTGCTTGTGCTCTCTGACTCTATCGCTCTCTCTCTCTCTAAAAAAAAAAAAAAAAAAAATCTAAAAAAAAAAAGCAGTAAAAATTGCTTTTATTAAATCTTGAAATTTAAGTTGTGTGACACAAAATGAGAAGTACCATCCACAATTATAGGCATCCTCTGTGGAGCCTGGAACACATCTCCTGTGGTTAAGAGGGGACTGCTATACACCAGCTAGCCTTGACGGTATCATTGACCATCTTCCCCCACCCCCACCACCAAATATCTCTGGAACCAGTGAATATGTCATGGGACATGGCAAAAAGAACCTTGTAAATATGATTAAGCATAAGGAATTTTACAGAGGGAAATTAGACATGCTTACCCAGATGGGCCCAATTTAATCACACAGGCCCTTAAAAACAAGAAATTTCTCTACTTAAAGTCGGAGATGAGGGATGCCTGGGTGGCTAGATGAGCATCTGTCTTCAGCTCAGGACGTGGTTCCGGGATCACAGCGTTGAGTCCTACATTGGCCTCCTTGTGGGGAGCCTGCTTGTCCCTCTGCCTCTGTCTCTGCCTCTTTCTCTGTCTCCCATCAATGAATGAATGAATGAATAAATAAACAAATAATAAATAAATAAATAAATAAATAAATAACTAGATGTGTGGTGGAAGAAGGAAGTAGAGAAATGACTTCAGATGGGGAAGTCAGAAGACTTTAGATAAATTTTGAGTATGAGAAGGATGCAGTGTACCACTTGCTGGCTCTCAGACATAGGGCCCAGTCCAAGGAAGAGTCCAAGGAGAGTCCAAGGAAGCCCAGTCCCAGTCAGGGGCTATAGGTACTAGTAACTTCCCAGAGCCATCAGATACGAGCCCAACCAGCTGACATTTTTATTTCAGCCTTGTGAGACCCTGAACAGAGAAACTGGCAGAGACCACCAGGGCTTCTCAGTTCCAGAACTGTGAGTTAATATATTTATGTCTTAAGAGCAAAATTTGTGTTCATTTCTTACAGTAGCAATAGAAAACACAAAGTAGAAGGTACCATCACAAATCAATGCTTGAAGATGTTCTGTAACATGAATACCAATCCTTCAATGCTATGTGGATGCCTAATACCTTATATTTTAAGTCAGAACCTCCAAAACATACATTTAAATGTCATGGAGATATATGAATCCATTTTTGCAGAAGAGAAAAGACAGAATTTTAATGTTGTATGTGTAGAAAGAATGGAGAGCTTTGAAAATATTTTTGAGTATATTTCATGAAACTTGACAGTCAAACCAGAAAACGTGGCAACATCCTAACTCATCTTCCAAGTTACTGCATTTTCAGTGTACTTAGTACTTACTGAAAGAATAAACTAACCTAAAATATAACCCCCCCCCAAAAAAAACAAAACAAAACAAAATGAGAAGGACCCATAAGGCACCCCCATCCTGAAGTACAATGTTGGCCTTGAAGAAAAGTACTGTGTTAATTGAATTGTGAGTTGAGCTAGCTGCTTTTCTCACTGTACGCCATGTTTACATCAAAGAACTGGCAAATTGTGGTTCTTTGGCAAAGATGTTCTTGAAATTAAGAAAGAGAACCTATTGCTTCAAAGAAAACAGCAAACTATTTATTGGCAGTGATAAAATTTTAGGTTTTAAGCAAAAATTCTACTAGAAAACCTTGTATATCTATCACTCTTTGGCTTAGAATTTCCTGAAACTGCGGGTTTAGTTGATGTTATATATAATTTTTAATATATATATTTTGAAATGAAATATGTCAACACTTGGAAGATCTATACACACTTCAGTTATAGTAGTGACATACTGCATTACTCTGTCAGTGAATCAGTATTGTCTAAATGACCAGCGCGTGGGGCACCTGGGGGGCTCAGGTCATGATCCCAGGGTCCTGGGATCAAGTCCCACATTGGGCTCCCTGCATGGAGCCTGCTTCTCCTCTGCCCATGTCTCTGCCTCTCTCTCTGTGTCTCTCATGAACAAATAAATAAAATCTTAAAAAGACCAGTGCATGCTATAAATTATGCCTGGGTGAATGATGGATTCACAGTGTAAGATTATCAAAAGTTCACGGGTGTAGTTCCAGATGCTATACAGTAATCAAACTTTAACAAACTATTATTTTAAGAAAACCCCAATAATCTGGATATGCTATTAAAATACTGCCCCCCCCCACACTTCCAACCACATACCTGTGTTAAGCTGGATTTTCCTCATATGCTTCCACCAAAATGAAGTATCCCCAACTGGAATGTAGAAGCAGACACGAGTCCACCTGTGTTCGATTAAGACAGACATTAAAGAGATTTGCAAAATTAAAACAATTCTACTCTTCATTAATTTTTTTGGGTGTTTAAGGTTTTTTCCCCCATTGAAATATATAATTGATGTTAATATATGATTATTTTATCATTGTTATTTTTAAATGAATTAACATATCTTTTAAAAAATCTGTTTTGATTTCTAATACAATGACTATTGATAGATGCAAACCACATAAACAGAAGTGTTGGGGTCCTTGATAGTTTTTAAGGACCAAAAGGTTCTAAAACCAGAAAGTTGAGGAAGTGCTATCTTAACCCCTCCCTACTCCTGGCAGCAGGCCACAGGAAAACCTGACGCATTGAGCTGCTTCAACAGAGGCTTCTCGAGCTTCTTGAGCTTCTCAAGGTCACAAGCTGCAGGTGCCTGCAGCCTCTGGCTCTCAACTCCTATTTCAGGGCTCCCCGAAACACCGTGCTGGCTCTCAGTGTGGTAGTTCGGCTTGCTGCCATTTCTAGCAAAAGTCAAAAGGAACAATTAATAAAAAAGAGCTTTGCAGTGTGTGGGGAAGGTGAGAATAGCAATAAAGAAGACTAAGCCAAAAAAAAAGAAAAGAAAAGAAAAAGACTAAGCCAATGCTAGATCAATTCCATCGGCCTGCTTCTTCTCGGAGGGGTGCAGAGGGAATTTTATTGAAGATGAGAAGCAAATGGCAAGAGACTTAGTGATCATTTGTCTGTTTGTTCTTTAAAGCCTTAAAAAATTTCAGCAATGCCTATCCTTGACTGCATCTCTTTCTGAGGTCACTAGAATAGTATTGCACTATTCTAAAGAATAGTGGGAATGACTAGAGAAATGGGAATGACCCTGTTTTCTCTCTTACCACTTTGTTGTGTTGTTGAAGAAACGGCTGTTTGTTGTCTTAGAAGTTCTTGGCATTCCTCTATCTTTGCCTCCAAAGGGAGTTGCACTGAGGTGGGATTTGCAATAAGCCCAATATCCTCAATATTGGGACTCTGCTGTTCAATCTTGTATTAACTGGATTTTGTTAGTATCTTTAGAAAGAGGAAAACTAAAGTTGCTAAAGCAGCTTAAGTAAGTTTACAGTGTGTTTTCTAGACTCAGAAGGCAGTTTTACAACTAAATAAGCTAGTAAGACAGTAAGAATAGATTTGTGAGTTTCTTAACTCTCAGACTGAAGACCGAAATGGAAAGACTAGCATAGGAGCACCTGGATGGCTCAGTGGTTGAGTGCCTGCCTTCGGCTCAGGGCAGGATCCAGGGGTTCTGGGATCGAGCCCCACATTGGGCTCCTTGTGGGGAGCCTGCTTCTCCCTCTGCCTGTGTCTCCACCTCTCTCTCTGTGTCTCTCATGAATAAATAAAATCTTAAAAAAAAAAAAAAAAGAAGACTTAGCTTGGGAGAGAAACATGCTGTGCTTCCAGAAAAGGGGTGGGCTACCAAAATATTCCTGATGTGAATATGGCAGGCGTAGGAGATAGATGATTTACTGTTGCATACTTTCCACAATGTGATGGATAGAGACTAAGGCTCAGTAAAAAAGACCCCAAACCACACTATGTAGGCTTTGTCCATGGGGGTCTATTGGAGTTAGCAGGCATGTCTCAAAGTCACCTGCTGCTTCCCGCAGCTGTCCACACACACTCATCAAAACCAGGAAGCCAGCACGATCGGGATGCAGAAAGCATTTAAAGATGGATCAAACAAGAGCTTGAACCAGACCCTAACAGCCAACATTTCTTTAAGCAGGAGCTTCTGGAAGGTATATTCACAGCTAGAAAAGAACTACAAAGTTTAGGGAACTTTTTGCCTTCTGTTTTGTTTTTCCTTCTCTGAATAAACTGGCTTAAAAACAACTTTTTTTTCTTTGGGTGGTAAATAGTAGGTATTTATTTGAAATGAAAAAAAAAAAAGTACCTGGACTATTGCATTTAATCATGTATTGTAATTGTGTTACTCTACCTTTTTGCATCAGAGACAGATATACAATGAACATTCAGTTATCACAGATTGCACACTAGATAGTAATTCTTCAGGCCTTTTACATAACCACCAAAGAACAGATATTGGATTCTGCAGTATAGTACAAACGTCCACAATCAATCCAGTCTTAGCCAGTATCTTCAGTTTACTTCTGTTGCTGTACAAATAATTGGCCATTACTAGGGCTTACAAGTTAATAACAGGACAAAAAAAATATACATTGCACTGACACAAAAAGTCAGCTGTGTTAATAGTCATGCAACAAGTAACCAAACTTGCTGAAATTAAAAATACTTTCTAAAAACAGTTTTAACAGCATAAATATTTTATACACAGTTCATTTACCAAAACAAAATGTATTTAAATGATACAAAGCAAAAATAAGTTTCTACCAACTTTATACATAAGAAAGTGCAAAATAACTTATCTAGAGTGTTTTGCTATTATCCAGATGGATGGCTGCTATGGGCAGCTATTTTCCCCTTCGGAAGCATGACATTACAGTTGTACGCTACACACAAATGTTAGAATAAGTGGATGAATGAACAAAGGAACTACAAAGGTCAGGCAGGAGCCCTGTGAGGTACTCTCAGAGAAAGAATACAGACCACACAAAGGTGGATGTACATGCTGAGAATATATGTTGGTAAACAAATTTACATGGAACATAGAAAAACATCCAGAGAAACAATTAGTTTATGTATGTGAGTGTACTTGCATGTGTGAGTGATTTGTGATTTCTACATTAGAAAGCAAAAAGAAAAGAAATCCCACTGAATAAAAACAGTTGCCCACAGCACCAGCTGCCAGAGGAAATACTATCATGAGGGTTTTGGTTTCCACCTTCTAGTTATGGAAGTTGTGTTGGAAAGTTTAAAAGTGTTCATCCCAAATAACTTCATATTACACAGAGGAATAACCTTTAAGTAACTACATACACACATTCATATATTCAAGTCTTTAAAGAACACCTCTGCTATTGGGTTTGGGGTAAACATGGTTCGTAGACACAAGGAGGACGCTTCTTTTAAAAAGTGTAGAATAACACTGCTACAACTCATCTATAGGGCCGGACAAGGGCAAAGCCCACGATTATGTGATAGCACAATTCCTGCCACTGTTGAACATCCAGCATTATTTATTAGAATTGGAGTAAGATGGTGGGTGGGGGTCGGGGAGGGGTGAGGAGTTAAGACACAGGAAGGAAAACAGAACACAACTGTTCTTCAAGTTAAAGTATTAATGCCAATAATCCTTTTATTAACAAGTGTATTTGAACTTTTAGAAATGGAGGTGTATTAATCAATTTTGATATGTAATCATAAATAGACTGTAGGCTCAAACCTAGGTAAATAAAGGGTTAAATTTAGTGAGCATAAGGCACTAAAGCAGCCTTTATATTTCTCTTGGAGACCTAGTTATCAGGAAGAACAAATTTGTTCTTAAGCTGGTTTCAGCCCATTAGGTACAAGGTTACTATTGTACCAATGCCTATTTTTGAATGCATGTGCATATATGTGCATTTTAGTGCATAAGTGTGCCTGTCAACAGGGCCTAAAGATGAAAAGTTGGGAAAGCCAAAGCCACTGTCCTTGTATGATACCTCCATGAGGGCGTGAAGGCCTGTCCTTCCTTGCTTGGGCCATAAATAATTCTCCTTTTTTTTCAAATCACAGGGCTTTTAGAATTGTTCATAATATTATCACTAAATATCTGAAAATGTTAAAATCTAGATTAATTGTTTCATTTGTTTTTTTATATATATGTATATATATATATATGTACATAACACACATTTAAAAAAAATCCCACCACCAAAGCCTTTTTTCTGTAAACTAAACTTCTCTCTTAGCCCCAACCAGCTTTAGTCTCCCTAGATTTGTGTGTTCTGTATCCAACTAGTAGAACAAATTAAATAACTAATTATTAAAATACTGTAATTATATTCATAGCAAAAACAAAAAAATAGACATTGATACAGTATAAATCTCACTGTTTTCAGGTAGATGGCATTAAATGGTAAAGGTTAATTATAAGCAGTTCTGACATGATCCAGTTTTACAAGATTTATATGTTAATTCTGTACACTTTTTTCATTTTTTTACCCTTTTTTGAAAATAAGATATAGTAGAACATTAGTGTCCCCAAAGACACATACTTATTATGTTCTATGCAAGAGAAGCTAATGTGGGTTACATGCAAGTATATTTCCATTAGATGAGGCAGGGCTGTCTCCTGCATCGCATCGCATCGATCACCTGACCGCCACACTCTGCAACACTAAAAGGGACGCTGTGGCCACATGGCAGTCCAGATGTGAGTTTACGAGGGGCCTTAGGACACTGGAACAACACCGAGGTGGCGCGTAGCCAGGTGTAAGTCGCCCAGCTATTTGCAGGGTATCTTGTGGCAGGACGCATAGTCTCCCACACTGTTTCCTAAAGTAAAGAAGGTCCACATTGTTTTGGTTACTAGCCTAGTTTAAGTGGAGATACTGTGGGCAACTTGAAAGAAAGCACACTGGGCACACAGGCTGGGCTGGGAAGGGGGGAGAAAAGACCACAGATTATGTCTTTGAGGATTTAAAAAACATATTTATAATTAATTTGTGAGAGGTGTCAGACAAACCGTAAGTAGTTCACTGAGTTAGTGGTTTAGTTTGAAGTCTCATGTTACAGACAGTTAAGTCCTTATTTAGAAAAGAAAAGGCCTTTATACCTATTTACAATATACACAGTTACTTGCAAAGAAGTCAGATTTACAACCATTTTCTAAAAGCCTTTTTGTTTTGTTGGTGGTGGTTTTTCCAAATAAGGATGAGTAGATCTATAAAAATGAGACGCAAGAAAAGCCAGTTAATAAGTGAGGATTTTCTCTTGGAGACAGCTACTGGTAACAGGGAGAGTGGGATACTGGAGAAGTCGCTCCGGGGAACCACCTGCCGCTCTTCTGGCGCTGCTCCCCCGGAAGGTGTCCGCCCCCTGACTGCACTCTACACCCGCTTCTTCGCTGATCCCTCGGAATCCAACGCTCCAAACACGCGGTATGAAGAGAGGCAGAAACGGAGACTTGCTTCGATGCCTCCCGAGCTGTGAGCCGTGACGGGGGAATCGGGAAGGGGGTCTACAGACTGCAGTCTGCCACCAGCCTGTGGGATCTTCAACAATTCCGAGGCCCGTCCTCTGAACCCCTCTCGTGCTGGAGGTTGTAGTAACAGTTCTGACACACACGCACCGGGGATGAGATCTTCAAGCGTTTGATTTCTGACTGAAACCGACTGCACCTAAAGGGAAGGCAACATCAGGTAGTTACAGGTCATCTCCACGTTTGATCACTGGGCCCACTGGGCCGAGAAACACAAACTGAAAAACTCCGCAGAAAGCTTGCGCTGTCATGCCAAAGACCTGTTGGTTTGTGTCGTGTGGTTCACCCAAGATCACAAACACTACCGTATTGTTTCAGTCTATGATGAAAAGTAATATTAAATCGAGGCAAACTATCTATTTGACTGAGAGAATTTTTATTTTTTATTTTTATATATTTATTTAGGTGTATATTATTTATTAATACATTTATTAAGGCCAGGTTTTCCTACAGGATGAAGCCAAGAGTCTGAACAGCTGTGTGGGCCTGGCCCTCCTGCCCTAGAAACTTGGGAGGGATGCCAATGCCTATTTGGAGCTTAACTTTTTTCTCTTAGCAGAAGATTTACTACTAGATTGATTGATTGATTGATTGATTGATTGATTGATTTTACTACTAGTTTTAAAAGACTCTTTGGTCACTATCAAGTTCCTCTGGGCTTTTAAACACTTTTTGATCTAACTCCTCGGTGATTTCTTGAACAGTAGTTTGGCTTTTCTGTCTAGTCCAAATGGTCTCATTTTCTGTTTATTTTGATAGAATTCCATGAAGTAGACTCTACTTTAAGAGGTGCTCAAAATCTTTAAGAAGTATTCCTCTTCCTGGAATAAAGCACGGTGTGACCTTGGATGTGGCATTTAATCACTTTAAACTTGCCTTTTCATGAGACTGAAATGGAAAATTCTGTTTTCTCCAATATTGTACCAGTAAAGGTGTCCAGAGAATAAACAAAGTGTCACTAGCCTAAGAGGCTTTTTTTTTAAATTTCATTTATTTATTCATGAGAGACACAGAAAGAGAGAGAGAGAGAGAGAGAGACAGGCAGAGGGAGAAGCAGGCTCCATGCAGGGAGCCTAATGTGGGACTTGATCCCAGGATTCCAGGATCATGACCTGGGCTGAAGGCGGCGCTAAACCTCTGAGCCACCCGGGTTGTCTGCCTAAGGAGTTTAAAGGGCTGTTCTTGGACTTTGAGGAGACCCTCAGCAGTGCTGACAAACTCTAGGGGCACCTGGGTGGCTCCGTCGGTTAAACGTTCAACTCTTGATTTCAGCTCAGGTCACGATCTCAGGGTCATGGAATCGAGCCCTGCATCTGGCTCCATTCTCAGCGAAGAGTCTGCTTAAGATTCTCTCCCTCTCTCTGTATCCCTCCCCACAGCTCACATTCTCTCTCTCTCTCTTAAAAAGAAAACTATTTAAAAAAAAAAAAAAAGAGGAAGCACTGACAAACTCTCACCAACTGAAGGGCACAAAGAATGGCAGGGTGATGCTATGCTCTGCCAAGACAGCTCTTGCTTCTGTGTCTGCTCTATCATAATCAATCACTGGTTGGTTGGTTTTTCAAATACAGCCTCCAACTAACATCTGATAGCAACAGATAAATAATTATCTACCCTTAAATAATATTTGGAAAATTAGACACTACAAGGAACACTGTATGTGCCAGTGCATATACAGGGGTATTGACCACCCAAAATTACTAGATTACTAGGTTTTGTAGAGTGGGCTTCTTAAAGCCCAGAAACAAAAGACAGAATCCTCTGCCAGCCTCCAGGAAGTCCCAGAAGGAATGGCTGGCACCAACATTCTGGCTACCTCATCTTGAATCAGATTTCCTAGGAAAATGGTTTAAGACATCAGTCTGAAAAACAAAAACAAAACAAAACAAAACAAAACTACCATTCTATAATAACATCTTTTACTGAAGACCTATATTGCCAGACTTTTACACTTGGTGTTTTATAACATTCACACACATGATTTCATTGTTTTCTCACTCAGCACCTCTATGAGAAGGTGTCATTATCCTCATTTTACAGGTTAAAAAAATAGACTCAGGGAGGGCCAGTAACCTGCCTGAGATGACATAATGGACAGTAACCCAGGATGTATTTGGTCAGTGTAAACCCAAGAACCACACCTTTTTCAATAAGCCAAAGCCTGCAAGACCACAGTAACTGGCTGAAAAACAACTATATGGTTCATGCTTTCTGTGAAAGTATCTCTATAGTTAAGCAATGTGAGCACTGAAGACCATTTCCTATGGGACCCTTTCCATTGTCTGCCATGAAAAGTGTGGACTGTACATGCATGTTGGGGATCCCAGCATATGAGAGAGATGGCATCCAAGTCAATGGTGAGGGGACTACTGACTTCTCATACAAGGAAAATAAAAAAGATCCTCACCACACACCATGCTACCAAATAAATTCCAAGTGTATTTGGACCTGAAGACCTAACCGTGAAAAACAAAACCCTGAATGTTGTAAAAGGAAAGAAAAAAGGCTGTCTTTAATGATCTCAGGACAGGGAAAGATTTCTTAAGCCAGAAAAAAGAAAATCACAAAAAGTAATAAATGTGACTACATCATTAAAAACATGTCTGTCAGAAAAAACATATATAAAGTGAAAACATAAACCACAGACTTGGAGAAGGTATCTGCAAGATGTATATAGAAGACAACTAGAAACCAGAATAAAGAACTTCTCAAGTATGATGGCGGAGTGGGGGTGGGGTGGGGGGACAAGCAAACCTAAAAGGAAAATGGGCCACGTTCCCCAAGAGGAAACTCAAACAGCCAACAAACACATGCCAATCTGTTCCACCTCGGCAGTGCTGCGAGTTACAACCACCAAGTAGTGCTGGCTCCTGCACTGGTGAAAGTGAGAATGTGGCAATCCCAGGTACGAGGAATGGGGACAGCCTGCTGCAGGTCATGTCGAGCAGCACTGCTGGTTTGGACAGCAATCTGGCAATATCTAGTGCAGCTCAGGAGTATGTTTATCTTCTGTCAGTTCCAGTCTGAGGTCCCTCCTCTATGGAAACTCCAGCTCACATATTAGGAGGGCATTTATACTAAGGGTGTGTGCTGCAGCACTGTTCAGAGCACTAACCAAATGAAAAAGTCCCCTAGGAGCCCATCAAAAGGGAAGCAGATAAACTCTTACAGCTTCATGCAAAAAATGTATGACAACAGTTAAAATGAAAATATTAGTTATTTACATGAATGGATTTCAAAAACCATGTTAGGTAAAAAAAGGGAAGTTCTAGAAGGTACAGACAGTTATGCTGTATTTATGTAACACGAAACAGTAACATGGTGTTGTTTATGGAGATGACCCGCACTCTAAGTAGAAGGCCAGGAGGGCAGTGACCGCAAGGGCAAGCATCCGCACAGCGTTTAACATGCAAGTACGACGGCACCGCAGCACCCTCCCGTCCTGAGTCACGGATGACCAGGTGTCTGTAAGCATCATCTCTACAACTGCGACGGGACACAGGTTATTCACAATTGTGATGAAAGAGAGCAAAGAGTTAGGGAAGGCTGGGTGAGGCTGTGGCAGGGGGGAGCAAATGGGAATTAACACCCCGGGCCTGACCCACGGAAACTCAAAAAAGCTCACGTCCCCTCTTACTTCTGGCAGAAGAGCTGGCCACAGTTCCTGCAATGGTGCCGTCGTTCTGTCAGGGAAAAACGCACAGAGCAGCCCGAACAGCTGTCCCCGCCTTCATCCTTCACCCAGTGGTCAGCGGCGGAGCGGCCCGGCTGGTCACTCACAGACCAGCTGAACACGCGTCCTCGGCTATCACCAACGAGGATTCTGCTGTGATCCCTGCAGGGGACATGAAGGACATGGTGTCACCTCGGGGGAAGCCTCAGCACAGGCATGATCACCCCCGTGGTTCTCCGGTTTTCTGCGGGTGTTTGTGTCCTGCTGGGGTGGGGATCGTGTGTCTGGGGAGACAAAAGAGAACTGAGCCCAAATGTACACTTTCATCTCAACTCTCTGGGTCAAACCTTGCCGTCACCTCGAAAAGCAGAGATTTTAAAATCTATGCGCCGGCAGGTCTCTTCCTCTGCTTTGTCTGTTCGAGCAACATCTGATACTGCAAATGCAATCTGTGTTCCCCAAACTGGTCCAGGCCGTGTGGACACGAGCTAGGCCAATGACTCAGTGAGGGGGAGCAGCTGGCAAGGTCTGGCACTCACTTGGAGACACCCAGGGCTGTGATCTCGGCCGGATGTGCGTTGTCCTTCCGATCAAAGGCCGTGTGCATAGTTAGCTTGCTCCTGAACACCAGCTGCCGTTCCCACCGGTACCCTGCAGTGCAAAAGTGTGAGACATGACACTCTGAATGGGAAAAGCCGGCATCTGGTGGGGGTGCCCTCAAGAGTTAAGGTGCTAACAGAGCAGCGGTCGCTGCCTGGGCCAAAGTGGAAGCAATCTATCGTGAGGCTGTTCATGGAACCGGTCAGAGAGCGCCCCACTTGAAAAGACAAATGCAGAGACGGGGGACTTGTTCAGTGTAAGAAGACAGAATGCCTCCAATTGAGAACCTAGCCGCTAACTCTCTGACAGCCAAAGCTACCTGTAAATATGGTTTAATTTATTTCTCTGTAATCAGTAACTTAACTTGTTTGTTTTTAAAAGCTTTCATGATTTATGAAAGAATGAAGTTTTTGAGTTGAGGTGAAGGTTTTTAAGAAATGCCCAACATACAGCAACCCACTGTGGGACAGGATTTCTAAGTCCATTTTATATAAGAAATTTCAAAGGCCTTCTCTGTGGGTCCCTGAGGCTACAGAGACGGGTGTAGGGAGAACTAGAGCCCACAGCCTCACTCCATCAACACACCACCCACAAGGAGCAAGACACTGACACCAGATTTCAAGTTACCAGGCTTCAATCTGCTGTAATTCCGCACTTCAATGGGGCTGGGGTGAGGGTGGTTAAGGGGACCCTGCAGATGGGCTCTGGTCTGGCCCTCTGAATAGTTCACAAATATGAAGCCGTCCTTCTCATCCAGACTGAGTTGGTCGGACCAGCGCCTGGAGTCATCTGAGCCACTGTCCGTACACCAGACAGCCACTGCTCGGCAGGAGGCCGCCCGGGGCCTGTGGCTGGTGCTGCTGGGCTGACTGGGCACGTCCTTGGGATCCTGGCTGGTGCTCTGCTCATCTGCTTCTGAATCGCTGCTGTCCTCGTCCTGGGCTTCCTGCCCTGGGTAATGCATGGGGAGAATAGAAAACACCCACACATGTTATGCTTAGACCCAGCTTTGTCCCACTGGTATTTTCCCTCTACCAGTTAAGACCCAACACACATAGCATTTTTAGCTAAGTATAACAATAATAACACCACCACCAGAATTTTCAGCTAGATTACAATAGCAAAAAGGAAAAAAAAAAAAAAAGGAATTTCTGAGTTCAAAGAATGCTTTGGCCACAATCTTGAGGTTGGCATTCATGCTCTGCAATCTGGCCAAAACCTGCCTTTGTGAATTTCTCAGTGCCTGCTGCACATTCCCTACCATGGCTCAGCTGGCCCATGCCAACTCTGTTCTCCACAAAATTCTGTTCCCCCTCATGGCCAATGCTGCACGTGCTGCTGGTCCTACAACACCCTGCTACCCCATCTCTCAAGGAACAGTGGGCATACTGCTTTTGCTCAAATCTTACCCGGTTCCTGCAGCAGAAAGTAATTCTCACTCTTCGGGACTCCTTGAACAACAGTTGTATGCCCTGCATATTGGAATTCTCACCCCAAAGTATTACTTTTGGGTAATCTTTCTATAAGACAGTGGTCAGCCCCAAGCACAGTGCCTTCCATTTGGCAGTCAGTATAAATGACAATCTAGATGAATCAATTATTGATGAAAGCTTAATCTATTGATGTGGGGTTATTCCTTATTCCCACTGTTATTATGCATTTCCTCAACCCAACTCCCTACTCTCCTGCAAGAGTCTGACATAGAAAAAATTTGTAAGAAATAAATATATAGAATTGAAAAAACAGGAAAGCCAAGAACAAGTGTGTAAGCACCAGCTCGCTATAAGTACACTTTTTTTTTAGCAGGACAAATTCCTTGTACTGACACTAGTAGTCTAGTTGGCTAATTTGGGTGATTTTTTTTTTTTCATTTCAATGGCTTATGACTATGAGCTTTAAGGTCTTCACTGACAAACTGTCTTAAAAATGGCTTTCGTTTCCAGCAAACCACTGGCTTGCCTTGCCATTCATCCAGGCAACTGCCCTCGAGCCCTGCCACTCCTGTGCTGTCCAAAGTCAACCCTTCCCTGTGGGCTGCTCTCCACACTGCCACTTCTTTCAAGCTCTGTCCACAATATGAATAGATAAGAGGAAAGAAGACACACCAGTATGTTTCCTTCCTGAATGTGACCTCTTCTACCTCATTATTGATCTCATCCTCTGCTGTTATTCACTTAAACCCTTGTTAAAGGAGATTTCTCCTCGGACTGCTTAATTCAATGTCTAACACAACAGGTAACCACCAAATACTTACTGAACTGAACTGGATTTAGGTAGAAACTATTTTCAGCTTACAAGGAGAAGTGATTTATGCCTTTCTGATAATAAGCCCTTCTTCTCATATCATCAAACTCATGCAGAATTCTCAGAGTACAAAAACTCAACAAGAAGAAACAATCTGAAGGTCAAAGTTAAAACCCTGTTCCTCTCTGACAAGTCCATTGTACCAATTGTTCTAAATCAAAGGCGAGGATGTAAAGTCTCTGGAGATTAGCAACCCAAAGCAGATCTCAGTCTGGGTTTATGGCACTGCTTCCAATCATTCTGTATGGCAATCACCCATCTCTGTATTCCTCTGGAAAACCTTAGAGTGTTTCATAAAGAACAAGTAACAGAGTACAGAACACCAAGCTTCAGTCTGAACAAAAACCCTTTTTCAGCAGACCTATGGTGGGGATTCTGGTTGGCCTCCACAAACATGATGCCACCCTGTCATCTATACTGAGCCTGTTAAGTGATGAGCAGAACAGATGTGGGACTGAGGGCCATCTGATTTGTCTACCACTGTGCCCTCCAGATTTGCTTTGTATTTTCAGAAGTGAAAGGCCAAGCCTTTGGTTGCTAGCCTCCGGGAAGCTAGCAACTCTATTTACCATGGGATGAGGAAGCCAACCACCGACACTAGCACACCAAGTACTGCCTGATGAACTGGAGAAATCTTTGTGTGTCTGCCCCATTATCTCACGTGTTCGGTGGCAATCGTGCCTCTGACAGCTACACTCAGCCTTAGGCTACTGGTTTATGCTGTTTGATGAAAGTTTATCCATAGTGACTTTAAACAAACAAAAGAAATATGAAAACCATGGAATAATCAGAGAGTATTTAATACCTATTTGTGCTTCTGGACAGTCTTCCTGCATTTCTAGGACTTCAACAGGCTCAGGAGCTGGTGTTTCAGGAACTTGCAAAAATTCCATTCTCCAAAACTGAATTTAAGGAAGTATGAAAATAAAAGTTAAGCAGCTTCAAGAAACAACTTACATGTTACTGGATGAAGACGAATTCTTGGGATTAAACAGGTATCTTTTATTATTGTGTAAATTTCCCTCTATCTTGAAAAATGTGGGAGAGGACTGTGAACACACAGCACTTCCTGAACTTGGTTCCATGAGTTATTGGTGAGTATTTCATGGTGGAGGGAAAAGGATGGGGGTCAAGAAGGTTGGAAAAACATGGTTCAACTAAGCACACTTTTATTTCCTACAAAAACCTGAGAGCCTTGTGTGCATACTAACATATACTCTAGATCTCCAAGGAGGCATGTAGTAAGCGGGATCCCCAAATGCCTCGGGTGGAGGATCCCCAAATGCCTCGGGTGGAGTCATCTGGAACACTGCTCTGGAGCCAGCAGACATGGGGGGTGCCCGTTGCCTGAGGCACAGGATGTGGTGTGGCCAGGGCTGACTGCCTCATTGTTCGCTCAGCTAGTGACTGACTACAGGGCTGCAATGATCTGCTCTCGGCTTTTACAAAGAACACAAAGGAAATCTCCTGAGAGAGAAAAACCCAAGTATTTGAAAACACTATAAAGGAAGACTCTGTGGATTTTGTTCTCTGCAGAAGCCCAACACAAAGAAAACTATGAAAAGGATAAACTAGGACTTAGGTGAAATTATCTAGGATTCTAGATAGGGATCGGACAACATGAGTCCTCTGAAAGCGGTTTCCAGCTCTGTGATTCTCTGTAAAGAAGAGATTGTGCCTGTTTTCCCCACGAAGCCACCTAAGAGGCTGAAAAGCCAATACTTTTGCCATCCACTGTGACAGGGAAATCATGTTTATGTGGCCTTGGGTCAAGCTGTCTGGTGGTTACTGGCACTAACAGGTTGATGTAGTGGAAAGGAAAGGGGCCGAGTCACTGAAGTTGCTTGTGTCTGAGAATGCAGCTGCTGAGGCTTGTCTGAATCTGAGCAAAAGCTGGCTCACTAATACTACAACCTGTTCAGGGGTCTCTCTACCGTGGACAGCTCCAAGAGCTTCTGGTAAACCAGGGCAGCTAACCCCTAGGGTGCTTCCTCACAGAGAACTTACCCGGACCACGCCATCTGAGTGTCCCGTTACTATGACGTTCTGTGTGTCCCACTCATTCATCTCCGACACGCAGCAGCAGACGATCTGCTGGCTCCTGCCTGTGAATGTGTTCACGCTCACAATAGGGTTCCCGTTGATGCTCCACACATGGATATACGTGCCAGCACAGGACACGATGTCCCCCTGAGAAGGTAAAACAACCTCTTCACTCTCTTTGCTCCCTTCGTATCACATTCTGGTTTCAGAAGCAAAGTGGATCTTTGGCCTAGCTCTCAAAAAACCTTTTAAGTTCTTCGATTGGTGATGCGGGATTTCTGAGGTAGCCTGGAATTCAGGGCTTGCGGACCTAAAAATATACTCCAAACAGAGAGGCCTCTTAAAGAATTCACAGGTTAGTGGATGCTGTGGCTCAGGTGTTCTCACACGGAAAGAAGGGCAGGAGCCCTTCCACGCTGTCAGTTTCTGCACCAGGATACTACTGGGTCATGCATGACTTCGTGGGAAAGCAGCCTGGAGGTGAGGCCCTACTCTTGTGCCTCCCATTGTTTACAAAACCTATTTATATCTTTCATTTAGAGGCAGGAATCCACCTCTGCATAATTTTACAAAATCAGTCCAATCACCAACCCCACAAGGTAGAAAAGAAATCTTTCAGTCCAGATACTGTTATATCTCTCTTCTCAATAAATGAAGATGAAATGTTGACAACATTCATCTGTAGCACCTTTTTTACAATTTGTATTCATAGTAAGGGGAGGAGAATGAGGAAAAAAAAGAAGAAAATTGGAATATAGGTCACTTCTTGGGAAACTGACTCTCTAAGCTGTTAACTCAGGTTTTTGTAAGTTCCAAAGACAAAAAAAGGATAGGCTTTTCCCCTTAAGTTCTACCAGGTAGGGCTCCACCCAACCTGGTGAGAATCCAACTCATTCCTGTTACAGGAATGAAGATGCTTTTGAAGCATCTACTATGTGTCACTTAGTGTGGTGGACACTTCAGACATTCCATTTTATCCTTTCAACAGCCTCTGAGGTTAGCGATTACCAGCGACCCTGGAGAAGGGATCAAAGTCAGGTGCAAAGAGCTTAAGCAACCTGCCCATTGTCACAGGATAAAGATTTGAACTCAGTCCTCTCTGGCCCCGAAGCTTACGGACCACACCATGCTGCTTCCCTAATCCCTAAGACAGCCTGGATGTCACAATGCCAGGCACTGACTTTAGAAATGACCTGGTGAATTTCAGTACAGTCAACAGGTACACGAGGACCTATCGAAATAGGAAGATGGTCATCAAAAGCAGGAGGAAACTAAAAGCTGAACAGCGGCTTCGACTCAAGAAAGAAGGGAAGGGAGAGCCAAGGGTGGCATGATGAGGAGGCCTGGGGCTTTCCCAAACCACCCTCTGCGTCAGTCTTGCTACTGTTCTCTTCCTTCCTCTGTCCTTCTTCTACCAAGATGGCAAGAACCAAACCAAATCCCAAACAAAAGTGACACTTGGCCAAGTAGTGCTATGTCTACCTCTGATTCAGCCACTGAACCACCTCGGACAATGAGTATTAGCAGCTGTGCTGTAATTAATGGCCTCGGTCTCTCTAAGAGATGAGAAGCTACTGCTCCACTGTGCACTGTGTGAGGCTCTCATCCAGTACTCCAGGGTGCCTCAATTAGAGAGCATTAGAGCAGGTCCTGTGGCTGTGAGGGCTAAGCATAAGAGGAGCTAAAGGGCAGCTGCAAGGTCGCTTATGCCCAAAATGCAGACTGAAGCCACGCAGACTTGACACTGGCTGCAAAAAATACGACAGAAATAGAAATCTTTTCATGTGTTATTAAGAGATTACAAGAGCACGTAAAAGGGAAAAATCAAACACATCTGTGGTGTTTGCTGCAACTACTGCAATCCACTGCACAATAACAACTGCAATCTGTAGCAGAATAACTTCCCTGAATAACAACTGACTATAAATAAAATTCTCTGTATTAAAGTTAAGAACAACACAACAACAAAGCCCTCAAAATAGTGCCTTAAGCATTTCATTCCGAGCAACACTGCCAGATCAGAGCCATTCTGTTGCATTGAGGTTTTCATTAAGCTCTTCGGTACAAGCGTTTGCAGGACCAACCCACGGTGCCGTCCTAAAAACATCTTAAACCTTTCAAATATACCAAAAAATGAATTTGACTTCTTTTACCCCTGTATGCTCCCCACTCATTGCCAGGTCTGATTGCTCTTACTATTACCAGCCACTCTATGTGCCATTCACTACAACTGAATTGTTTTCTTCTTCTTTGACTACAAGGTATCTGGCTAAAAGCATAAGTTAGTATCTTCTGGTGGAAATTAAGGATTTTGCATCCCTCCAAAGAAAAGCTGTCTGTGTGGGTGATGCTATGGTATGGCTACATGGTGTCACACAAGAAGACACTGGGACAGTACTAAGGATGAGGGAGGGAATGAATATAGCTAAGAAACAGTGAGGCTGGGGAGTTCTGGTCCATTTGCAAGACTGATTTGCGTATGTGGGCATCACCAACCCATGAATGTGCTAACTTGTCCCTCAGACACAGGGGCCTCAGTCTTTGCATGCCCACCCTTAGTTTCCCCTGCTTTCCCACACACCTTAGCAAGGACTATACTTTCTGCACCCCACCTTAGGTGGGCTCAGTCTCCGTGGGGGTCTTCTAGGCCAGTGCATTTATTTTATGCTGACTTATTTATTTACATATATAATATTTATTTTTGAGAAGAGATAATATCCTCCAGTAAGTTTGGGATAACTTTGAAAATAGTTTCTATAACAATTCTGCTCATTTGGTTACCCAAATGTTACTCTTTTCACCTGACATAATAAATTATCTGAACATATTCCATAAAAAGGTCAACACAACTTTAACATTCCTAACAAATCCTACAAATTCCTTGTTTTTAAAAAAGCCTAGTCTAGAATGTTGTTTTGAACTAAATCTTGCTCATCAACGTATGCAGCAGTGAATGGATTTTAAGACAAAATTATTTCTGAGTTACAAACTTTAATATCCATTCGCTTTTTGCATAAATCAAGGAACATGTAGTAGCATTTATTTTTATTTTAAAGATTTTATTTATTTATTCATGAGAGACACAGAGAGACAGGCAAAGACATAGGCAGAGGGAGAAGCAGGCTCCATGAAGGGAGCCCGATGAGGACTCCATCCGGAGACTCCAGGATCATGCCCTGAGCCAAAGGCAGACGCTCAACTGCTGAGCCACCCAGGTGTCCCTGTAGTAGCATTTATAAAATGAGTGCCTATCAACTTAGAAAACACTCATTTTTTGTTTACATTAGCCAGAAATACTTGTCTTCCTAACCATAAATCAAGTGGACAACTGACTACTTACTGTTAGTTCATTGATACAAAGAGCAGAAACTGGAGCTCGATGGCCTCGGAGCTGAGTTAGGAATGATAGTTTGTTCAGATCCCAAATGATGCAGGTTCGGTCACGGGATCCGCTGACGATTATGTGATAGGCTAATGATGCTGTGGCACAGGTGACAGTATCGGTGTGGCCAAGTAAGGCCTATGAAGGAAAACAGAAAAAACCAGGCTGATCACAGTGACTGTACTTCAAGGGGCTCCAGAAGGTCCTGGATGCACTAGGAATGAAAGGAGCGTGTGTGGGGAGCAGCAGCATCTGGAAAGTCTTCCTTTTTTGCTGACGGTCTTTGTATCATCCTACTAGGGGAAGACAGAAGTCTGGAGAGCTCTGGAGGCTCTAACCTCCATCTTTTTTTTTTTTTTTTTAAAGATTTTATTTATTTATTCATGAGAGACACAGAGAGAGAGGCAGAGACACAGGCAGAGGGAGAAGCAGGCTCCATGCAGGGAGCTCGATGCGGGACTCGATCCTGGGACCCCAGGGTCACGCCCCGGGCTGAAGGCAGGCACTAAACCGCTGAGCCACCCAAGAATCCCCCAACCTTCATCTTTATATCACTTCTTTCCTGGACTTGGGCCAGAATCTTAGAAGGGGAATGGAAGCTGCAACACAGCTTAGGTTTCTTCATCCTGTTTCTACATGGAGATGCATCCATTATGGCCCTCAAAGTATACAATTTAAACTCTGCATTGATTCTTTTATGCTACTGTCTCCTGTTAGTCTGAGGAACTACAATTGGATGGATCTTTAAAAAACAAATGCGGTGAGGGCTGCATAGTTAGGGTACATGGTCCTAGCAAGATAAAGGAAAAGCGTGGTTCTGACGAGTGTGCTGAGCTCCTGTTACTGACCTGGACACATCTATGCCCAAGAGATCCTTCTTCAGACTAGAATAGGAACTTTTGTCTTTTGCTAGAACATGAAGAGAAACAGGACACTGGGAAATGGTAATGTGGGAGAAGAAGCATTTCAGAGAAGATTCAGATTACTCTTAAAAGTTCCTGACAGTTTAACTATTTATAAATAATGAGTTGGTTTATAATTTTTTTGTCCTATATAAATCTCTTCTGTATGCTTAGGGAAAAACCCCAGGAGGCTGTTTTAAGTAAGTGCCTTCTACTGAGGGGTTACTGGCAGGTACACTAGGTTCAAAGCCTATTTTCTAAATAGAAAATATTGTTAAGTAAGAGAGTCTGGATCAGCAAACTACAGTATCAACCTTGTATTTGTTCATGTTGGCACTGTATTTTTTTATGTGGTCCATATTTAAACTCAGCAACCAATGAAGTTTTTGGCCCATATACATGACTGGTGGTGTAAGTACAAGGGGGTCCATTCTTTCCACAGATATTTAAGATGCCACTGTCTGAGTCTGGCTTCTAAAGAAATTTGGAGTCACAAAGAACTGAATTCACATCCTGGCTTTACTTCTAAATGTGACTTGGGTTTGTATCTTCATCTCCTCAAGCAGCGGTATTCTCAGGTACAAACAGGCTTATAAACTACCTCATAGAATTGTGAGGGTTGGAGTTTTACATTTTAAAACACCCAGCACAGTTGTTCTGAACATGATACATGCTCAATATACAACAGATATTATCGTTACATTGTTTTTCAAATCTGTTATCATAAAATACACTTAGATGTGTACTACATAAAAAAACCTCACAACTCAAATGTTAAAAAAAAGATGGCTCAATTATAAAAGGTTTCTTGCTTTAGGTAAAACTTTATGCAAGCACATAATAATCAGATGATAAATAAGGAAAGAGAAAAAAAATGAATCAAAGAGTTACTAGTTTAGCCAAACAGAAATCACCCAGAAAGATAATTAATAGGAATCAATCACAAATATAATTTGGCTTGGAAAAATCCAATCTACATACAACACAGTTGATCCTGAACAACATGGCTAGGGGTACTGATCCCTGATAAGTAAAAAATCTGTGTATAACTTTTGAAACCCCCAAAACTTAATTACTAATGGTCTACTGTTGGCTGGAAGCCTAACCGATAACATAAACAGTTGTTTAACAAATATTTTGTATCTACATTGTATACTTATAATAAAGTAAGCAAGAGAAAACAAATATTAAGAATATCAAGAGAAAAAAAAGAATATCATAAGGAAAAGAAAATACATTTATAGCACTATACTGGATTTATTGAAAAAAAGTCTGTGTATAAGTGGACCAGGTCAGTCCAAACCCATGTTGTTCAAGGCTCAACTGTATTACTTAAATATATTAAAGTGTGTGTGTGTATATACATACACACACACACACACACACTTGTTCTTGTTTTTAAGATATATACATATATATATATATATATATATATATATATATATATATATTAAGACTTTATTTATTCATGAGAGACACAGAGAGAAAAAGAGGCAGAGACACAGGGACAGGGAAAAGCAAGCCCCATCCAAGGAGCCCGATGTGGGACTCGATCCCGGGACTCCAGATCACGCCCTGGGCCGAAGGCAGGCGCGGAACCGCTGAGCCACCCAGGGATCCCTATTTATTTATTTTAGAGAAAGAGACCACATGTGCACATGTGAGCCAGAGTGGGGAGGGGCAGAAGTGGAGGGAAAGAATCCTGAGGCAGAGCTTGACCCCATGACCTTGATTTCATGACCTGAGCTGAAACCAAGAGTTGGATGCTCAACCGAGCCAACCAAGAACCCATATTAATATATTACCTAAAGACAGCTTGCTTTAGATTTCATTTACTTATTTTTTAAAGATTTATTTATTTATTTATTTATTTATTTATTTATTTATTTATGAGAGAGAGAGAGAGAGAGAGAGAGAGAGAGAGAGAGAGAGGCAGAGACACAGGAAGAAGGAGAAGCAGGCTCCATGCTGGGAGCCCGACACGGGACTCGACCCCGGGACTCCAGGATTGCACCCTGGGCCAAAGGCAGGCGCTAAACCGCTAAGCCACCCAGGGATCCCTGTTGCTTTAGATTTTAAAAAAGGCCCAGTTTAGATCATTTTTAGAAATAGTACCATCTGATTTCATTTCTTTTTTCTTACGACCCATTTGTAGCAAAAGAACATACATTTTTTTGATTTTGTCCATTATATCTGAAGCACCTTAGAATTAAGGAAGCTTTGTAGTTTCTCTAGAGCACAGGATGCCAAGACGGGATAGGTCCAGCTTCCATTTATTTGGTTACCTGTTTGAGAGTGAGGGTCTTGGCCTTTTCTTTGGAGGTGCCCATCTCCCAGACACAGACAACTGTGCTCGTTCCACCTGTGATGACCAACTTGGGGTTGGGGCAGATTGCGCAGAGAATCTGGCCCCACTCAGACAAACATTCGTAAATAGTCACTACCTGTAAAATAAAATAGGTGTGAGACACACACCAAGCATACTGAGTGAAGGACAACCCCCACGTAGGTACCTCATAGGCAAACGTCCATGTAAATTCTGGATTGGATTCACTCTGGCAACATTTCTGCTGAGGCTCTACCCTGAACTAGCCCTACGGCCTCTAGTGGCAGTTTTGGTGAGAAACCATATTAAAAGGGACTTTGCTCATAGTGGGTATATCTCCAGTTTCTTCAGTCCAGAAAAATGATGTTCTGACTGTGTGATGCTGTGTATGATGCAGGGGACAATCTGGTAGAAGGATGTGTTTGCTGTAGCCAGTTAGAGGTAAATGGAGATTACAGTGCTGCTGTTCAACAAGAACGTTAACTAAATAGAATTGTGTCACACAGCGATACATAGACTTGCATAAACTAGATCTCACCTGCCTTCAGGAGGGGATCGGCAGAGGGCTAGCAAAGGAAATTGAACGGTCACACGTAGAGCCTCTCCAAGAGCTACTATGGGACTCCACACAGTAGCTGCTGCTGCCTGGGTGACAGGTGATAGGTTTTCCATCAGCCACTTAAAAGTACTGAAATGGTTAAGTAGGCCAGACCGTGATCCACCAAAAAGAGGCTCTTTTAAGTTGTCAGAAATGGTGAATACCTGGCTGGCTAGGACCTCTCAGAGGAATTCTTTTTTTTTTTTTTTTTTCAGAGGAATTCTTTAAGAGGGAAACTGCTAGAGCATAGTGCACAACTTTTCAAAAGAGGCTTATTCTGTAGGAAACATGCCTTGTCCACCAACTCCTTCAACCTGATTTGAGCCGTAAAGCTCTCCCTTCTTCAAGTTTCTGGAGGAGCAGGTGATTAGCCCTTGGCCCAGGCTCTTCCCACCCCTTTGAAGCAGGATATCCAAACCACAAAAGAGCAAGAAACAATGCAAACCTTGTCTGACTCATAGGTTCCCAGCCTGCAGCTCAGGTCTGCATAGCCCCAAGCGAAAGTTTTATTCCAGGTTGGTGGAATAAGAACTTTATTCTGTTCTACTGCAAGAATGCCTTTATCTGTACACACTATTTGTCCCACAGGCTCTTTAAGTTCTGTAAAAAAAAAACAAACAAAAAAAAACATATCAACAGATCAGAACAGGGACAAGAAAAATGAACCTCATGACCTTATAGGGGATGGTCATCTCAAATATTCATATGAATCAAGTATCCTGACATGTACATTAGGACAAAATAACCTTAGCCAATGAGCTTGGCTTTTGAGTCTCCACTGGGTGGATGGACTTGGACCCTGACAAGTGTTCTGCAGGGCTTCCTTCCAGCCTTCCTGTCTCTTGACACATGTGGGTTTGGTTCCTAGCAAGTGGCTTGTCTTCTTGATCATTGGACAGCACAGAGTAATCTGGGATGCTCTCCAGAATGCCATATCCAGACCTTCAATTAACCTAAGCCTTCAGCACCTCCCAAATGATATCCAGCCTTAGACTTCCTGAAGGAAGGACATACTGTCCCTCAAGAGGTCCGACTCCCTGCTCTGCCCCAGAACACTGCTGAACACACCAGTGTTCCATAACCACTACTGGTGGTGAGTGGAGTTGGCACAGGTCAGTTTCTGTAATGAGCCAAAATGGCACGGAGTGCCTACCTAATTAACCAGACTTTGATACTCCAATTTTTGGATTTGTTTAACAGTGACAACCTCAAGACGTAGCAATAACATTTTTTCATTCTAAGGGAAAAAAATCCACTTGAGAAAGTACATTTATTTATTTAAGATTTTATTTGGTGGGGGGAGAGAACGGGTGGGGAGTGGCAGAGGGAGAAGCAGGTTCCCTGCTGAGCAGGGAGCCCACTCTGACTGGGGCTTGATCCCAGGACCCAGAGGTCATGACCTGAGCCGAAGGCTTGCTTAACCAACTGAGCCATCGAGGTACCTCAAAAAAAAGTACTTTTAGATAACTCACAACCACATTAGATAAAAGACAGATAGTTTTAGTTTGCATATCAAAAATGTAGTCTTTTTACTGTTATCTCTAAATTGACAGAACACATATAACTGTAGATTACAAAGGTTTTTCTACACATAAAAAGTTGACCTACGAAATTTGGTATATTAGAGTTTTCTCGCTATCTTAGCAGGGAGGAGAAACCTGTTTGGTTCTTCTTGATGAAAAATTCAATAGGCCAAAAATACCCAAACCAACTAAAAGGAAAAGGAGAAAAATCTAACAAGTATTTGGTGATTTATTACAAAAAACACAGCACTTACTACAAATGACACTAATGTTGAAAAACACATTTGCTATTTTTTTAAAATTTATTTATTTATTTATGATAGTCACACACACAGAGAGAGAGAGAGAGAGAGAGAGAGAGAGAGAGAGAGAGGCAGAGACTTAGGCAGAGGGAGAAGCAGGCTCCATGCACAGGGAGCCCGACGTGGGATTCGATCCCAGGTCTCCAGGATCGCGCCCTGGGCCAAAGGCAGGGGCTAAACCGCTGCACCACCCAGGGATCCCCCACATTTGCTATTGTTAAGCTGAGATTGTTAACTACTCCCACAAACAAAGGCTGACTTCCTATCACCTCACCTTTTACTGGTGTTAGAGAAGGCCTCAAGTTGTCCAGGTGATGGAAAAAGATCTTGTCACTTGAGGACCCCGGGGGGGCAGAGGCACCCATACTGTCTCCGTTCAGTCGGCTCCTCACTCGTTTTGGTGGATGAGGTTTCTTAAATAACTAGGATGAAAGAGGTGACACATTTTACAATGAAAGCTAACACTTACTGAGCGCCCTTTTATATGCCAGTAGTTACGTTTATATTTCACTTGAGCTTCACAATGACCACTAGGCACTACATTACCACACCTTCCCCTGGAGGAAAGAACTTCTAGGGAGGCTCAGAAGGATGCCAGAGGTCTCCCCCATCTCAGCAAGCAGGGATGGGACCATGAAACTTTTTAAAAGCTTGGGTTATCACCATGCTCTATGCTGTTCTGATTTCATAACTTTTCAGGAGTAAATCAATCTACTCAAACTATAGTTGACCAACAATTATTTTCCAATGATTTTAAAAAGTAACCAATTCTTTATAGCCGGATACCATTCTGTACCACTGTGGGCAGGCAAACATTCTAACTAAGTTATTTCTGACTTCAACATGGTCTTTCTCTCTGTGACATCATTTTGGTGTCTTTTAGATGCTACTAATTTGTTGAAAGTATGAACACTATTGCCTTCTTTGTGCATTACAATGCTATAAAGGGGAAAAAATAAAATAAAATCTTTCACATCCCTGTTCGGTATTACTATAGAACTAAAAAATTATCAATACAGATTTAAGATGATTTTTTTCAAATACTATAGATCTCCAAAATAGGCATAGAGCCATTTCTGTTAGTCTGAGGAAGATACTTAGAAAATCTTAGGAAAATGAGATTTAAAATGACTAGAAAACCTTCATATTTTGTGAATTTGACATTCTGGATTTCCAGAAGAAAAAATGTTTTGTACAGAGAAAGACATTTTAGACACCCAAACATTCAAACACATTGTTCCTATCACATATATATATATATAATATATATATATAGGCATAGATCAGGGTTCTGTTATTTTCTCTAAATGACACAGACTCTTCAGTTGCATAAAAAGACCCCCCTACTTTAAAGCATGTTCATAAATGGACATTTGCTGAAAAACTTTTAAGAGGACCTAGGGATAGAGCACCTTGCCAGGCGAGGGTATATAACAATGTACGGATAGGCTGACAGTTAAACCTAGATTTTTCTCTTTCTTTTTCTTGAGGATTTTAAAAATTTATTTGAGAGCAAAAGTATGAGTGGTGGTGGGGGAGGGGGTTGGGGGTGGCAGGCAGAGGGAGAAGCAAACTCCCTGCTAAGCAGGGAGCTCAACGTAGAGCTGGGATCATGACCTGAGCCAAAGGCAGACACTTAACCAACTGAGTCACCCAGGTGTATCTAAACCTAGATTTTCTAGGATGGCATACTTCGAAGGACTCTTATCAGTCACTGGAATGTCTGAGAAATATTCAAACTATAGTTCCCATACTGTCTGCCTCTTAAACTCAAAAAAGTGGGACTAAAATCCTTAGTGCATGTGTCTTGATTTTTTTGTTCAGAATATTTGTGTCTTAAGAGAGTACGAAACACTTCCTGTGCTTGTAAACCTCAGTAAAAAGGAAAGGTATGACTGAGATTCTTCAGCTGCAATTAAAGGTCATCAATAAGCATTTCACATTAAAAGTAAACACAGTTCCAGGGTGCCAGGGTGGCTCAGTCAGTTAGGCGTCCAATTCGAGTGTTGGCTCAGGTCTCGGTCCCAGGATTGTGGGATCAAGCCCTGCACTGGGCTGGGCGTGAAGTCTGCTTGGGGCTCTCTTTCTCCCTCTCCTTCTGCAACTCCCTCTTTAAAAGTAAACATAGCTCCTTGGTTGGGGGGTCGGATTGCACCATGAGTGGTGTGGTTACAGGTTCTCCTGCTGTATGTCATACAAAGATGTGTCCTTGTTCTGAGTGTTCTCAACTATCAACCCTGGAAACCTCCAAGTTGGTTTAATGTACAGAAAGGGAGCCCAAGAGAGAGATCTGAGGCAGGACCAGAGAAGGATAGCTAGGACAAAGTGCAGAGCCTGGGGCACCTGGGAAAAGCAGGTGGTTTGAATGGCCAGCAAAGTGTGTCTTTCCCACAGCGCTGGTTACCCCTGGCACATCACACTCTTCTGGTGTGGTCTGGAGGATGGGGAGGAAAGATGGTATAAAGTCTCTAATACGGGTTTGCTCACTATGAAGGTGAGAGATCTACTCCATCTGGGTACTGGGTGGCTATGTTCTTGGTCTTTCTGTTCAGGTTGGAGACAGCAGTTAGAGCAGCTAGTACAGGGCTAATTCTTGCCATTCCCATGGCATGCATCTCCTCCAGAGCACTCATCAGACCTGCATCACTAATCTAATCTACACACCACTATCTGTTCCCTCGACTACTATTAAGAGCTTCCTGGGTGGTATTCTGCTGCTAACTTGGTTCCCCTAGAGTGTGTGCATGTATAAGACTATGGACAGGATGATCTTTAAAACTGAAATAAATATGGGGGCACCTGGCTGGCTCAGTCGGTATAGCACACAACCCTTAATCTAGGGGTTGTAAATTCAAGCCCCATGCTGGATGTAGAGATTACTCAAAAATAAAATCTTAAAAAAAAAAAAAATCAAAATATGACCATGCTATTTCCTTGCTCAAAGTCAGCGCTGGCTTCCAACTGGCCTTGGGATGAAACCCCCTCTGGGTGTGCTATGGCCCCCAAGACCCCATCTTCTTTCCTGATTGTGCTCTTCCCATCCTCCCACCAGGTCTTGTGTAGATACACAGAAGCACATTCTGCACTAGTCTGAGGGGAAATTCTCTTTGAATATTTCTATTTACCTAGACTGCAGAAGGGAGGAGAAAGCAATCATCTCGGAACCTACTGAACCTATTGGGTGGTATGGCTCTTCAATGAAAACTTAGCCTAAACTTATTATATTATATGGCCATTCACCATCTATAGCAATATCAAAGCTTAAAAAATGAAACTGAAAGCAACAATAAGAATATCCATACCTGTTTAGGGATCTGACCAAAGTTATTAATAAATCCTATGGTGGCTGTCTCCTTTAGTGGATCATTTATGTTGTAGATATCCACTTGACCCTCATAAAAAAGATGGTGGAAGACATTTACAGCTTCTACTGCAGCAGGGCCTTGCTGTTTATAGCCAAAGATTAAGTCAATCCACTCATGCAGATGGGCACTCACGTAATCACATTCCAAAGCCTGTAATTTCAAAACACATGTTCAGTCACAGGCTGACTTTTATTACTTGCTCAGAAAGCAAAAAGAACTGGTCAGAGATCACAAGGAACTAAAGATAACTAAAAATCATAAGAACCACATCTGTAATTCAAACAAATGGGTGATATTTTGCTCAAAGTCCTCTTTTGTAAGGAAATCCAAGTTCAACTGCAAAGGAGGCTCCCATTACCTCACGGTGGACTCTGATGAATTCCCGTGGGTCCCCTTTTGCCCATGGTGGAAGGATAACATCTCCAAGCTTGGTGCCATTTTGTTTACAGCCTGTGCAATTGGATAAATTAAAGAGAAAATGAAAGACAGGATAAATAGTAACTTTACATTAAAGTAACAGAGAAATAGTGGGTTAGGTTCATCACCAGAATTATGAGATTTTACCACCAGAAAGGACCCTCTGAGATCATCTACTCTGGTATTTCCCTAAGTTTGCTCCTTAGAGTGTTCCCTCTCAGATTATTAAGCGTTAGCAAAAAAATAAGGGGCCCGCCCTGTCAGATGACTTCAGAAATGCTGAGTTACCCAAAGTTAAACATGTTTCCTCCTGCAAGATTCCTCAGAGGCACAGCCCTTCTCTGGGAGGGGTGTTAGGCACAACATTCCTGAAATTTAACTGACCACAGGACTCCTTTGTAATGAAAACTTTTGTGAGGCTACTGTTTTGAGTTTGGAAAAAATGCTCAAGTTCCACCCCCTTAGGTCTGCACATTTGGAAGATCATCAGCAATTTCTCTCAAATCTTTTGTTTGCGTTTTTCCTGAATGCTTAGAACTTGGTGAGTCATCAGCAGTGAACCACTACTGAATTTCTTATCTTTATGTTTTGACAAAATTTTGCCATTTACATGAAGGCTACTGGAGAAATACCTAATTTCTAAGTCACTGAGAAGTTTGAGTGCTCTTTTTGCTAAAGAGGAAATGAAAATATCAGCCTTTCAGAAATATTCGCAATACACGTGGTTTCTCCTATTTCTGATTCTTAAACTCTTTAGAGAGCGCTGTAGAACTGACATGTATTATGCCGTAGGGACTCTCATTAAAAAAAATCAAATCTGATACGTAACTTTTTGCTATTAGTATACCATTTAACAGAAAAAAACATCTGGAAAAACTATGGGGCTATTGGCAGAAGCAAAAAATACAAAGAAGTGATATTTATTCCATAGGAAACTGTTAATTTAGTCACAGCTAGATAATCTGAAAAATATTAAAGAAACTGTTTGCTATAAAATCCATCCAAAACAAAACATATTACATGGGACTGGTATCTCAGGAAACAGGTCCTGTCTTTTCATTTTTATGAAGTAAAGATCAAAAAGTCAACCTTAGCTTACAGTTTTCCTCAATACAAATCAGATGATCAATGTAAAAAATAATTCTATGAATAATTATGTTGACTCGGATAAACAGTTGTATTAGAAAATTTCAGAGAAGTACCATTGTTCAAATTCTAGAACACAAAGGCAGTTTCAAGTGAGGGCCAATAAAAATATTTCCCACAGAAACAATCTTATCCTCATCACTGTTATTTAATGGCTTTACTGACAATGTGATATAAAGTGAGAAACACAAAAATCAGTTTATTGTTTAAAGGAATGTCTTAACTTGTTGGAAAAAATACCATATGACTTAAGAAAAAAAAAAAAAAAAAAACAAGTTACTGCCATCTCTCCCTCTCTTTCACACTCTCAGTCCACTTCCTCTCAGGCCCAAGTTTTCAATAAGAAGCAAGTAATAATCCCCAGACTTGACATATAATCTACTTTTCAAAAAATATGTTTATAATCCCTAATATTTGTGCTATATAATTTTATTTCACCAGCACTATCTGCAATTTAAAAATTTAAAGGGAACATTCTGTAGTATACTCCTGGTCTGGTTCTGGTACTCTGCAGCTTCCCTGCATGTATACCTATATCCAAGGGTATAAAGATAAGAAGACTGGGAGAATGTTACTCATCCCAGAACCAGGGAAAAAAACCCAAGTGTACTTTGTTTTACATCATTTCTATCTTTTCCAGGTAGAGGCCAAACAACGTTTTTGTGTGTGTTTTTTTTTTCTTGGTAATTGAAATGAAATTTACCTAACCAAATTAACCATTTTAAAGCAAACAATTCAGTGGCATTTAGTACATTCACAATTTTGTGTAGCCATCACCTCTATCTAGCCCTAAAAGATTTTCATCATCCCACAGGGAAATCTTGTATCCATTAAGCAGTGGTTCCCCATTCCTCCTGCCCTCCTATCCCTGGGTAACCACTGATCTATGTTTTTTGTCTGTAGATTTATCTATGCTGGATATTCTATATAAACAGAATCATAAATTAAGTGATATTTTGTGTCTGGCTTCTTTCACTTAGGATAATGTTTCTGAGATTCATCCATGTTAGAGCGTGTATCAGTAATTCCTACTTCTCCATGGCTGAATAACATTCCACTGTATGTATATTCCACAATTTGTTTATTCATCAGCAGACATGTGGCCTGCTTCTAACATGTGGCTACTGTGCGTAATGCTATGAACAGGTGTGTATATGTACTTGCCTGAGTCCCTGTCTTCAGTTCTTTTGGACAGAGATCTCAGAATGGAATTGCCAGGTCTTATGGTGATTCTATTTTTAAAATTAGAGAACCCACCAAGCTGTCTTCCACAGCAGCTGAGCCATGGTATACATCCCCACCACCAGTGCATGAAGCTGCTACTCTTTCCACACTCTTCTCAGTTCTTACTTTTTTCTATTGCTGTGGCTTTTTTTCACCACAGCCATCCTAGTGGATGTGAAAGTGGTACCTCACTGTGATTTTCACTGGTACTTGCCTAATGACTAATGATGCTGAGCATCTTTTCATGTGCTTACTGGCCATTTGTATAACTTCTTTGGAGAAATGTCTACTCAGGTCATTGGCCCACTTTTTTTTATTGGGTTATCTTTTGGCTGTTGAGTTATAAGAGTTCTTTATATTCTGGATACTAGACCCTTAAGAGATATATTGCTTGCAAATATTTTCTCCCATTCTGTAGGTTTTCTTTTCAGCTTCTTCATAATGCTCTTGGACACAGAAGTGTTACATTTGGATCAAGTCCAAGTCATCTTTTTTGTTGTTGATGCCTGTGAATGCATCAGCAAACAGAAGATCATTAAGATTTAGATTTAACCCTATGTTTTCTTCAAAGAGTTTTATAGCTTTAGCTTTTTTTTTTTTCTTTATGGCTTTAGCTCTTACATGCAAATAGTGTTTTTTAAAGTGTGTGATTTCATGGAAGGAAGATTTATTATGAAGCTGAGCATGACAAAAATACATGACCCTTTTTAAATTTACTTATTTAAAACTGGATAATTTAGTGGGGTTTGTAAGTGGTCTGGGCTAAAACATTTTTTCAGCATATGTTATTATAACTGATCTAGTGTTTCTGGAAGATTGGGGCTCTTTCTGTACCTCTCCATATTTTTCTCTTTGAAAGTAGTATCCCCAGGGAAGAGAGTAGCATTTTCCAAATGGGAATTATAAGTGAACACATAAAACACTAAATGTGCATCCATATTCAAATACTGTGCATGCATTTGTCGTTTTTCCCTGTTCACCATCTATTCTATTCCTTTAAGGAGCCATCACTCAATCCAACTCCAAGGTCTACAACTTGGTATTTTTAGTTTCTCAAAAGTTAGCTCTAGGTCCGATCACAGGTGATGAGACTGTTTCAGGTCTTTTGCGGGAGCTATTGAGAGAGTCTTATTATCTTTCCCATTATACCTGGAGCCATAATTTCACAAAGTTAGAACTGCCAATGGACAATTAAAAATTATTTAAAACTAGTTTTAAAAAGAAAAATCCTCAGATGTATCGGATATGAACATTTCCCTGAATTTTCTATTAACAAAACTTCAAGGTAGTACAGTAATGGTTTATATGCTGAACTCTTAAATATGATATGATATGAAATATGAAAAATATATGAAAATAGAAGAATGTCTGGCAGGAATATTCTAAAGTGGAAACAATGGAATTTTGATGTTGAAAAAGAAATACTCAGAAACCTAGATCAGCAAACTATGTTCCAAGAAACTGTAGCCAAAATCAAATCTATTTCCCATAACTGGATTATACAAAGAAAGCAGAGTACTGACGAAATTTCTCTACTTCTTAGAATTATTGATTTGTTTGTTTTTCTAGATAATACTACTCTAACAGGATAGAGAAGAGGAATTAAAGTTATTCTAAAATTCTAATTTTAAAACATATTAGCATGCAAGCTGAGAATGCCTCAGGCAATACATAAGATTAAAGCAATACATGAAAAATGTGGCTATATCATTTTTGGCTATTAACTTCAACCTTAATAATTTTGAAATATATTGTCACCTCACCTTTGTTTTTATTGAAGTCACAATATTCTGACCATTAAATGTAATCTTTGTTAGTTTTTCAATTTTCCCAAGATTCCACATTTGAAACAGCTATTTTGGGCATAAATCTATTTTTCCATTTACACCCACACACCCAATTATAGTAAGTAATATCTGCTGAAACCACAAGGAAGTCCTTTCCTGTCACTGTGTACTGCAGACAATATTCAGGAAAGTTTCATTTCTATTGGTCTTTTCCAGGTTAATGTTCCTAAGACAGTGCCACAACTGTACATACCTAGATCAAAGTTGTTGGAATTGAACAGGAATTCTGGTAAGTAAAAAAACTCTGGGATAAGTTCTTTTACGTCTGCCATATTGTGCTTTGATGCTGAATACCAGGCCTCACGCACACTGTGGAACATCCGGTCAGCCAGGTCAAAGTGGCCTCCCTGTGGGCAAAATGAGAAGACACTGGTCTGTTAGAGAGCCATCCCCACCTCACGGATTCTGTCAAGCTCACTGGCTTGAAAAAATAAAATAAATACATTTGGTCACAATTCAAATTTCCCATCATCCTAGATCAAACACACACAATTTTAAGATTTTATTTATTCACAAGAAACACACAGAGAGAGAGAGAAAGAGAAAGAGAGAGAGAGGCAGGCTCCATGCAGGGAGCTCGAAGCGGGACTGGATCCCAGGACTCCAGGATCATGCCCTGGGCCGGAGGCAAGAGCTAAACCGCTGAGTCACTCAGGGATCCCAACACACACAATTTTAAAAATCACAAAAAGAAAATTAATCTCATTCTTTTGGGGGTGCTTCTTAAAAGGAGTGCTTCATAATTGTGCTTAAGCATGTATTTTGTAATCAAAGTGAAATCCAAATACAAAGACTTTTAGAAGCCATTTAAAAATTAATTTTTAGTGAGAGGGCAAAAGTGTAAGGAAATATGAATTCTTCCATAGTTTGATGATGCTCCTAAAAAAAAGATTCTACTGTGGCCATCTACAGTTGGAAACATTCAAGTTAAATATATGTTTGATTGATATTTTAAATTAACATGACATGCAAGTTCTCACACTTCTAAGAATTAGGTGAAAAATTAAGAAAGTAGGGCCAGGGCAAGCTGGAGGAGGAGTAGGGTCCCCAAGTCACCTGTCCCCACCAACTTACCTAGATAACTTTCAAATCATCCTGAAAACCTACAAATTCGGCCTGAGATTTAAAGAGTGAACAGTTGGAATGCTACAGAAAGAAGAGTTTGTGCTTCTAACAAGGTAGGAAGACGGAAAATAAATAATTAGATAGACAGAGAGATAGATAGATAAATAAAATAAATAAAAAAGAATCAAGTGGGGGAGGGCTGCTGTGAGGAGCCAGGCCAGGGCCTGGCGGCAAAAGCCTCTTGACAGGAAAGCCCAGTCCCGGAGAAGCAGGAACTTTTAAAAATCTGCACCAGGTTCTTCCCGGAGGGAAAGGCACTCACAGGGAACTTGGGCAGGATCCCAGGAGGGGTGGTGGAGCTCCCAGGTTCCTGGGGTCACTAGGAGAGGAAGTGTGCCTGGGGGAGAGCGCGCCACACACCGCAGCCTGAGCTCAGTAAAGGGCTGTAGCAGGCGCCCCGTGGGCCCCGGGAGCAGCTCAGGCGGGGGCTCCGCGCTGAGGGGGCTGCGAGGCCCAGGAGCGTGATTCCAGCAGCGCAGACCCCGGAGCTCAGGGCGACAGGGACACAGCCAGGATCCTGCGCTCTCCCCGGGACAGGTGGAGGCAGGGAGGGCATAGGACAGAGAGGACGCTCCTGCCGCCAGGTGCCTCCAGCTGTGCAGATCCGCGCCCCGTCCCGGAGCATCCAGGCTCCTGGGGACTGGGAGCTGCGGTAGTTACTGCGGGAGCAGACTCCAGGGCTGGAGAGGTGACCGCCGCTAGGGGTGGTGTTCCTCTTGGTGTCATCCTGTGCCTGGAGAGGCGGGGCTGCCAGGGAACAGGGGCCTCAGCATAAAAAGCTTGCACTGAGCTGTGCACCTGGCAGGGGGTGGGCAGCTCCCCCAGGTGCACACACGTGAGAATCAACACAGCAGGCCCCTCCCCCAGAAGACCAGCTGGAAGGACAGGGGAAGAGCAAGTTCTTGGTGGAGCAAGAACTTGGCTGGAAAGCTCCAGGGGAAGTCGAGGGATTTACAGTATATAGAACCAGAGGATGCCCCTCCTTGTTTTTTATTTTTTCTCTTTTTTTTTCTTCCTTTTTCCAGTACAACTCATTTTTAGCCACTCTGCACTGAGCAAAATGACTAGAAAGAAGAACTCAACACAAAAGAATCAGAAACAGTATTCTCTGCCACAGAGTTACAGAATTTGGATTCCAATTCTATGTCAGAAAGCCAATTCAGAAGCACAATTATGAAGCTACTGGTGGCTCTGGAACAAAGCAAAAGGATTCAAGAGACTTCATGACTGCAGAATTAAGATCTAATCAGGCCAAACTTAAAATCAATTAAATGAGATGCAATCCAAACTGGAGGTCCTAAAGACAAGGGTTAATGAGGTAGAAGAAAGAGTAAGTGACATAGAAGACAAGTTGATGGCAAGGAAGGAAGCAGAGGAAAGAAGAGAAAAACAATGAAAAGACCATGAGGAAAGGTTAAGGGAAATAAATGACAGCCTTAGAATTTAAATCTACATTTAATTGGGGTTTCAGAGGGCGCCAAAAGGGACAGAGGTCCAGAAAGTGTATTTGAACAAATCATAGCTGAGAACTTCCCTAACTTGGGGAGGGAAACAGGCATTCAGATCTAGGAGATAGAGAGACCCCCCCTAAAATCAATAAAAACCGTTCAACACCCCGACATCTAATAGTGAAACTTGTGAATTCCAAAGATAAAGAGAAAATCCTTAAAGCAGCAAGAGACAAGAGATCCCTAACTTATATGGGGAGAAATATTAGATTAACAGCAGACCTCTCCACAGAGACCTGGCAGGCCAGAAAGGGCTGGGAGGACATATTCAAGGTCCTAAATGAGAAGAACATGCAACCAAGAATATTTTATGCAGCAAGGCTCTCGTTCAGAATAGGAGGAGGGATAAAGAGCTTCCAAGATAAGCAGAAACTGAAAGAATAACTGACCACCAAACCAGCTCTGTAAGATATATTAAGGGGGACTCTGTAAAAGAAAGAGGACGCCCAAAGAAATATAACCCACAAAAACAGGGACAGAATAGGTATTACGATGACACTAAATTCCTGTCTTTTAATAGTAATTCTGAACGTGAATGGGCTTAATGATCCCATCAAAAGGTGCAGTTTTTTCAGACTGGATAAAAAAGCAAGATCCATCTATTTGCTGTCTACAAGAGATTCATTTTAGACCTAAGGACACCTACAGCCTGAAAATGGAAGGTTGGAGAACCATTTACCATTCAAATGGTCCTCAAAAGAAAACAGGGGTAGCAATCCGCATATCAGATAAATTAAAGTTTATTCCAAAGACTGTAGTAAAAGATGAAGAGGGACACTATATCCTACTTAAAGGATCTATCCAACAAGAAGACCTAACAATCATGAATATTTATGACCCTAATGTGGGAGCTGCCAAGTCTATCAATCAATTAATAACCAAAGTTAAGACATACTTAGATAATAATACACTTATACTGGGAGACTTTAACACGGTGCTTTCTACAAATAACAGATATTCTAAGCACACCATCTCCAAAGAAATGAGAGCTTTAAATGATACACTGGGCCAGATAGATTTCACAGATATTTACAGAACTTTACATCCAAATGCAACTGAATACACATTCTTCTCAAGTGCACATGGAACTTTCTCCAGAATAGACCATATACTGGGTCACAAACCGGGTCTTAACCCATACCAAAAGACTGGGATTGTCCCCTGCATATTTTCAGACCATAATGCTTTGAAACTAGAACTCAATCACAAGAAGAAATTTGGAAGAAATTCAAACATGTGGAGGTTAAAGGCCATTGTGCTTAAAAATGAAAGGGCCAACCAGGAAATTAGAGAAGAATTAAAAAGATTCATGGAAACTAGTAAGAATGAAGATACAACCATTCAAAATCTTTGGGATACAGCAAAAACAGTTCTGAGAGGGAAATACACTGCAATACAAGCATCCCTCAAAAAACTGGAAAAAAAACTCAAATACACAAGCTAACCTTGCACCTAAAGGAACTGGAGAAAGAACAGCAAATAAAACCTACACCCAGCAGAAGAAGAGAGTTAATTAAGATTTGTGCAGAACTCAATGAAATAGAGACCAGAAGAACTGTGAAACAGATCAACAAAACCAGGAGTTGGTTCTCTGAAAAAATTATTAAGATAGATAGACCATTAGCCAGCCTTATTAAAAACAAAAGAGAAAAGACTCTAATTAATAAAATCACTAATGAAAAAGGCGAGATCACAACCAACCAAGGAAATACAAACTATTTTAAAACCATATTATGAACAGATATACACCAATAAATTAGGCAATCTAGAAGAAATGGACACATTTCTGGAAAGCACAAACTACCAAAACTAGAACAAGAAGAAACAGAAAACCTCAATAGGCTGATAACCAGGGAGAAAATTGAAGCAGTCATCAAAAACCTCCCAAGACACAAAAGTCCAAGGCCAGATGGCTTCCCAGGGGAATTCTATCAAATGTTTAAAGAAGAAACCATACCTATTCTACTAAAGCTGTTCCAGAAGATAGAAAGGGATGGAATACTTCCAAACTCATTCTATGAGGCCAGCATCACCCTAATTCCAAAACCAGACAGACCCCACTAAAAAGGAGAATTATAGACCAATATCCCTGATGTACACAGATGCAAAAATTTTCAACAAGTTACTAGCCAGTAGGATCCAACAGTACATTAAGAAGATTATTCACCATGACCAAGTAGGATTTATTCCTGGGATGCAAGGCTGGTTCAACACTCGTAAAGCAATCAATGTGATAGATCATATCAAAAAGAGAAAAAACAAGAACCATATGATCCTCTCATTAGATGCAGAGAAAGCATTTGACAAAATACAGCATCCATTCCTGATCAAAACTCTTCAGAGTGTAGGGATAGAGGGAACTTTCCTCGACATCTTAAAAGCCATCTACGAAAAGCCCACAGCAAATATCATTCTCAATGGGGAAGCACTGGGAGCCTTTCCCCTAAGATCAGGAACAAGACAGGGATGTCCACTCTCACCACTGCTATTCAACATAGTACTGGAAGTCCTAGCCTCAGCAATCAGGCAACAAAAAGAAATAAAAGGCATTCAAATTGGCAAAGAAGTCAAACTCTCCCTCTTTGCAGATGACATGATACCGTACATAGAAAACCCAAAAGACTCCACCTCAAGATTGCTAGAACTCATACAGCAAGTTGGCAGTGTGGCAGGATACAAACTCAATGCCCAGAAGTCAGTGGCATTTCTATACACTAACAATGAGACTGAAGAAAAAGAAATTAAGGAGTCCATCCCATTTACCATTGTACCCAAAAGCATAAGATATCTAGGAATAAAACTAACCAAAGAGGTAAAGGATCTATACTCTAAAAACTATAGAACACTTCTGAAAGAAATTGAGGAAGACACAAAGAGATGGAAAAATATTCCATGCTCATGGATTGGAAGAATTAATATTGTGAAAATGTCAATGCTACCCAGGGCAATTTACACATTTAATGGGATCCCTATCAAAATACCATAGACTTTCTTCAGAGAGTTGGAACAAATCATCTTAAGATTTGTATGGAATCAGAAAAGACCCTGAATAGCTAGGGGAATATTGAAAAAGAAAATCAGAGCTGGGGGCATCACAATGCCAGATATCAGATTGTACTACAAAGCTGTGATCATCAAGACAATGTGGTACTGGCACAAAAACAGACACATAGATCAATGGAACAGAACAGAGAACCCAGAAATGGGCCCTCAACTCTATGGTCAACTAATATTCGACAAAGCAGGGAAGACTATCCACTGGAAAAAGGACAGTCTCTTCAATAAATGGTGCTGGGAAAATTGGACAGCCACGTGAAGAAGAATGAAACTAGACCATTCTCTTACACCATACACAAAGATAAACTCAAAATGGATGAAAGATCTAAATGTGAGACAAGTATCTATCAAAATCCTAGAGGAGAACACGGGCAACACCTTTTTTGAATTTGGCCACAGCAACTTCTTGCAAGATACATCTATGAAGGCAAGGGAAAAAAAAGCAGAATGAATTATTGGGACTTAATCAAGATAAAAAGCTTCTGCACAGCAAAAGAAACAGTCCAGAAATATAAAAGACAACCTACAGAATGGGAGAAGATATTTGCAAATGACCTATCAGACAAAGGGCTAGTATCCAAGATCTATAAAGAACTTATTAAACTCAAAGCAAAGAAACAAACAATCCAATCATGAAATGGGCAAAAGACATGAAGAGAAATCTCACAGAGGAAGACATAGACATGGCCAACAAGCACATGAGAAAACGCTCCGCATTCTTGCCATCAGGGAAATACAAATCACAACCACAATGAGATACCACCTCACACCAGTGAGAATGGGGAACCTTCTTGCACTGTTGGTCGGAATGTGAAATGGTGCAGCCACTCTGGAAAACTGTGTGGAGGTTCCTCAAAGAGTTAAAAATGGAGCTACCCCCTATGACCCAGCAATTGCACTGCTGGGGATCTACCCCAAAGACACAGATGCAGTGAAACACCGGGACACCTGTACCCCAATGTTCATAGCAGGAATGTCCACAATAGCCAAACTGTGGAAGGAGCCTCGGTGTCCATCGAAAGATGAATGGATAAAGAATATGTGGTCTATATACACATGGAATATTACTCAGCCATCAGAAATGACCAATACCCACCATTTGCTGCAACGTGGATGGAACTGGAGGGTATTATGCTGAGTAAGTAAGTCAATTGGAGAAGGACAAACATTATATGGTCTTACTCGTTTGGGGAATATAAAAAATAGCAAAAGGGAATAAAGGCGAAAGGAGAGAAAAGGAGTGGGAAATATCAGTGAAGGTGACAGAGCATGAGAGATTCCTAACTCTGGGAAACGAACAATGGGTAGTGGAAGGGGAGGTGGGCGGGGGGATGGGGTGACTGGGTGACAGGCACTGAGGGGGACACTTGACGGGATGAGCACTGTGTATTATACTATATGTTGGCAAATTTAACTCCAATAAGAAAAATTCAAGAAAAACTAAGAAAGTGATCAAAAAGTTATAACAAATTCAAATAGAAAAAGAATTTCTTTTGATTGCATAGCCTCATAGATATACCACACCTTCCTCAAACGAACTCCCTATTGCTGTTTTAGGTGGACACAGTGTATCTGTCTTTATGAGGAAGCTCACTGTAGGAAAATGCCAAAGTCCATACAATGCCACCAAGGCCTGGCACCTCTCTGATACCATCCTCCATGAGTTTTCTCTCCACTTACTCTGATCTAGACACAGTGGCCTCCTTGCTGCTCCTAAAACATCTCAGGCACATGCTTAACTCTGGGCCCTCACATGGACTATTCCCTCCGCCTAGGACACACTTTCTCCAGATAGCTGCATGAGTAACTGCCTCATCTCCTTCAAGTTTTTGCTCACATGCCACCTTTTCAAGGAGACTCACTCTGACCACTCTATTTATAACTGAACTGCACCCTCCTCTACCTCCTACTCCTATATTTCCCAGCCTCCTTTCTCTGATCTATATTTTCCAATAGCATTTATTATATTCCTAAACATTTTAAAATGTATTTATTTATTATTCTTGCCTTGTTTCCCTCAAGTAAAATACATAAGCTCTACCAAGCAAAGCTTTTATGTTTATTCACTGATATCTTCCATGTACTTAGAACAGTGCCTGGTACATAGTAAGTATTCAATAAACATTTTCTGATTAAATGACAGAGAATGTGGAGAAAAGTAATTATAATCAAGAAGACAGGAAATAACCTAGAGTATATTACTCTTTTTAAAATATTTGTTGTTAATTTAAACCAGTCAGGTAGAGAGCACACAGTACTTGCTTCTTTAACAAAAGGACCCTAGCTCTTGCTTACTATAAACAAATTCTAGTTTACTTATTAATTTTGATCCAGTGAAATTCCACTTTATGTTTGACTATATTTTGTGTCTAAAACTTCAAAGGGCTTCTTGTAAGGCAGTATACCAACATTAAAAAGAAAAAAAGCAACAATTTTAAGTAGAAAGAAGGTTTGACTAAAATAGAAAAACAGCAAATTTAGAGTTTTACCTGCAGCCTTAAGAATATCTGTGTGAATGGCTCCATCCTTACTAGATACGAGGCCACAATCATTGCAGATGAATAGTGGGTCCCATAGTGGTAGGCTGGAGTTTCTCCTGTTCAAAAAAATTAAAGCATAATTGAAAACAAAACTGTAAAGGTGAAAAATAAAATTGGTATTAATATGCTTGAAAACACTAACACATGTGATAGCTGTGACACTAAACACAATCAGTATTAGCATTTGTGGAGTTGAAAACTTTACGGCACCACTATCCCTCGCTTATCTGGCAGTAATCCAAATTAACTATAACTCAGTGCCTTTCCCCACAAACTTAGCATATCCACCAATTCATGTTTTGAGGCTTCCTATAATAGATAAGCCTTAATAGCAAACGATCTTCCACTAAAGTGGAAGTGGATATTGACTTACAGCTACTTTTCATGAGGTTCTGGCTTTGCAATGATCTCTCTTTAAATTGTTGTCTATGAATATTATGCAATTGTTATCACATATTTTCCTTGGAGGGAAAAAAAAAGGTCCACACAGGGAATATTGTTAGGCTTAGGTTTTTCTTTCCTTTGTTTCATCCATCTGAGGGGGACACATGATAAACACTAAACATAACAGGGGTGCCTAGGTGGTGAAGTCGGTTAAGCACCCAACTCTTGGTTTCAGCTCAGGTTGTGGTCTCAGGGTTGTGAGATCAAGCCCTGCATCAGGCTCTGTGCTTAGTGCCGAGTCTGCTTAAGATTCTCACCCCATCTCCCTCTGCCTTTCCCCAACTCACGAAAGCAGACACATATGTTCTTTCTCTCTCAAATAAGTAAGTCTTTAAAAACAAAACAATAACAAAACATCAAATATAATAAATAAGTATAGAGTTTCAGGAGGTAATCTATTATTATTATTATTATTATTATTATTACTACTGTTGTTGTTGTTAAAGTAAAAGGATGCCAAAAAATGCCTCAATAAAATTAGAAGACAGTTTAATTAAGGAAACTGTAGTTCCTGGTATATTATTATTTTTTTAAAGATTTTATTTATTTATTCATGAGAGACACACACACACAGAGGCAAAGACAGAGGCAGAGGGAGAAGAAGGCTGCACACAGGAAGCCCGACGTGGGACTCGATCCCGGGTCTCTAGGATCAAGCCCTAGGCTGAAGGTGGCGCTAAACCGCTGAGCCACCCGGGCTGCCCCTAGTTCCTGGTTTAAATATGATTAGAAATAAAAGCAGATTAGCCGATGGGAAATTTCTAACCTATACAAAGTAGACACTTAGTTTTCTGCCAGTACCTGATAAGCCACCTAAAACACGCCTTCTAAGCAGGGCCATTAGGTGGCATGTTAAATCTGATAGCTGTATATATGTGTAAATATATAACATATATAGATGTCATGATATATAAGCAATTTGGGGAAAGATACAAGGATGTCAGGCCACTAAATCATGGCTTACATGTGAAACTAAGGTACAAAGTTCAATGACTAGAAAAGTTACTTACCATTAGGATCTTCCCAGTCTTTATACCGCTTCTTATATTGAGCTAATCGTTCATCTGTCTGTGCTCCCATTGGCTTAGCCAGGTTTCTAAACGTCTTGGGATTAGTAAGATCCACCTCCTAAAATACAAAATGAAACCCACCAAATTACACTACACTTTTCATTCTTGCCAGTGAAGATACAGCAGCCGTAGCAGACAATGATTTATAAATATTTGTGGTTACACTGGGCAGAAGGGACTCCAAAACAATGCCTTGTACCTGCTGGTTATCTATATTTTACAGACAGGCACGAGGCAGTTTGTTAACTGATTCAGTTTGAAGGCAACTACTTAAGAAATTAAGTATTTATAGAAGACACTCAGGATCCAGGTTAGAGATGAGGAATAAGAGAAAATCCTTCCCAGTCTTGGCAAGAACATGGCAGGAGACTTGACACAGGAGCCCTAATTCATCTTTACCCTCCATCACCCATGCAACTGGAGTACCAAGTCTCCTTTTCTGTTCTCTTCCTCTCCTCCCCCATTTCACCCTGATGTCACTTCTCAGTATTCTCTTCTTAGAGGTGATCAGAAAGTGAAATAACTAGAGCACTTGGTAACTCATTCACCTCTGAAAGTCATCATACTAGACCATGGGACTTCCAAATGAGATGGAATCTTGCTTCTACCACCAATTATTTTAAAAGTTCATTTCTAACTGACCTAATCCATATACTTAGAACCAAAATTTACCACTGGAGGTTTCCAAAGTAAAAATCTGAAATATGTACCAGGGGGATATTTAATCTGTGTCCTTTTAAAGGGCAGCACGACCAATCAATTTTGTCAAATTTGTACTTTATTTTTTAAGATTTTATTTATTTATTCATGAGAGACACAGAGAGAAAGAGAGAAAGAGAGAAAGAGAGAGAGAGAGAGAGAGAGAGAGAGGCAGAAACACAGGCAGAGGGAGAAGCAGGCTCCATGCAGGGAGCCTGACATGGGACTCGATCCCAGGTCTCTAGGATCAGGCCCTGGGCTGAAGGTGGCGCTAAACTGCTGAGCCACCTGGAGTGCCCAAACTTGTACTTTAAATGAATCTACTTCCATGAATATAAGTCAAGTTAGTTATAAATCTGTCTTCTCAAAATCTATATGCAAAATCCCTCATTAATACTTTTTTGGTTAATTTAACAAACATAAATTGTATGCAATTTATGGTCCCGTTCTAGTGGTTGGGAATTGAGAGATCCGGGACTGTTTTCTTTGTGCTCAACGGATATATGTGTAAGAGCTACTTTGTGAAGGGTGCTGTGCTGAGGTTTCTAAATTCTTTTCAAGTTGTGATGATCATTCACTGAGTAATTTTAAACAGAGCGATGACTTAATTACAGTAGTGTTTCTAAAACTGGCTGCAGTGTAGAGGACAGAGGGACACCCACCAGGGGATACAAATTAACTAGCTCTTAAGAAAACAAAATAGATATTATGAATATCTAAAATATTGGTCAGTGATCTAAATTTTGTACAAGTTCAAGCTAAAACTCTTCTCATCTTCTTAAAATAAGTGCCTGTTAAGAACTTTAAATTATAAAAATCATAAATTATAGTATAAATTAAATTATAAATAATAAAGCAAGTAAAACATTTGAGCAATTTAAGTACCTCTTAATTACTTCTGAAAATGTGTTCCACTTACACAAAATGTTTTGAGATTTACCTCTGAGTCGTAATCTGCAAGGATCCAGGGGAAGACAGGATACTGCATGAGATCATTATACGATCTGCCAGCCAAAGTGTTCAAGTGCATCAAATACTGGAAGTTGCTGATTTCACCTCTCTTGGGAAATATAAATAAAGGTTCATTTCAGGACAATTATTACTACTACGTTCACTTTAAAAAATTTTTATGCAAAATGAGGTAAAAGTTTCTTTCTTACAGATTTCAAGACAACAAGACATTTGTTTCTCCCAAAAAGAACAGAAACCAAAGGTTTTTTTTTTTAATGTACGTAATTTACAGATTGTTGAAGTGCTTTTAACTGTTGAAGTGCATCTAACTACAAATTATGAACAGAGCTTGTATTTTCATTAAGCCTACCTCCCATCTTTGAGTCACAGACTTCTCTCCAACCAAAGTGCTAAGCAACCCAGATCTAAAAATAAGAAATAATTAAATAAATTATAGGCAATATAATTTTAAATCTGAGTAATAATCAAGGTGAAAAATTTAAATCATCTGGTCCGGGAATTTTTCAAACTATGGAAGACCTATTACAAATGGGTCATGAAATCAGCTTAGTGTGTTGTAATCAACATTCAAAAATATGAAATAACATGGAATTAAACTGAAGAAAATACAGAACACAGCAGGGTACCACACACAGTAAGGGAAAAGTATTTCCAGTCAACCTTGTGTTAGTATTTGTAACTCAGTTTGTGGGTTCTGAAATGTAATGTAAACAAAGTATATTTTTACTATGGGTTACAGCAGGAGTTTGAAAAACAATGACCTAGTTCAACTGTCTACCTTTTACAGTGGTCTATATGTAAACAAATTCAAAGACATTAAATCAGAATAATTGAAATAGTATACACAGCACATTTCCTAAAAGAGATGTTGAAAAGTGAATAAAAATATGAATATTTTATGACAATAAAGCCATTGCTTTTTAGGTCATTAGAAGTTATGGACTTTTTGGGATATCAGATGTTCTTAGAATGCTATAAAACTCTTTTTAAGGTTTAACAGCTTTATAATATTAGTAATTAATGATTTGAAGATTGTGAATTGCTCACTGAATCCACTGGAAAGTACTGAACTATGTATTTTATTGTATGAAAGGAAATCAACAGATTTATCAACCTTAGTTCTTAAACATTTCCAGCTTAATAGTACAGGTAATACTTTCTACTTCTATTGAGTTTCCATCAGGCAAACGGAACATACAGGAACTCTCCCTGGAAAAAGAGCTATGTTGATTCCTCAACTTTATAAGAAAGGGAACAACTGAAAAGATTAAGCTGGAAATGAATTTCTGCTTCTTGCCTTTGAGCTTTTTAACAGATCTTTAAGAACTGCCAACTCAGCACAGAAAGTAGCAAGAATAATAAAATAACAAGTTGAAGATTATCTAAGCAGGTGAAAGTACTGGCAACTTAATTACAAGTAGAAAAAAAAAGGTTCAATGTGCTGTAAAGGGACCTATTATTTCCTGTTATTTATCTTAATACAAATGGTTAGGAATAGAACATGATCTGAGGTTAACAAAAGCACATATTTAGCATTTGTATTGGCTAAACCTCAGCTAAAGAAAAAGAAAGCGACAATTTAAAAGAGAAACACACAATTTAATAGAGTCAGATGCACACAGACGGGAATAAAATTTTATTTACAAAATACAGAATCCCCAGTAAAATTTTAAGTCATTTTCTTGCATGTTGCAATCATTTGTAGCCCAAAAGCACTGCTTCTTTTCCAATGAATTATAAATGGCTACCCATTCCTGAATGACTATAAATGGATTCTTGAAATGGCTAGATCATCCAGAAGGACTTTCTAAGACTAAAAGCAGGTGAAATGAGCATAAAGGAACCACTGATAGGTTTGAACACCTAAAAACAAAAGTTTAAATGTAAATGTTAAAAAACAAAATTAAGAGAAGACTGGGCAATTTTCAACAAATAAAATAAGCAACAGAGTAATAATTATAGAAAAAACCCATACAAAATGATAATAAGAACTCAGAGGAGATGTCAAGTAGACTTATCGTGATCATCTTTCTCAATTACACAAATATCATATCATTATGTTGTATACCTGAAACTACTATAATTATATGTCAATTATGTCTCAATTAAAAAAGAAAGTCAAATCACCAACAATAAAAAAGAACTCAGGAAAAAATAGATGAAGTTACACATAATTCAAAATGAGGATTTTAAAGGGCTAACAAATATATACAGAGATCAAAATTAGTAAGATAAATGTGCATCTAAAAAATGAGAAAGCATTTTATAAAATCAATAAAAATAAGATAAGTATAAAAAGCTGGCAAGCATCTACTGAGAGAAGTTAACTTATCCACTAGTGGTGGAATATAAACATGTATAATTTTTATGGAAATCAAGTTGGTTTTGTATATCAAAAGCCTTAAGATTCATACACATTTTTTTTATGAAAGGAATTTTACCTTAAAAAAATAATGAGCAATCACATTTGTATTATTAGAACAAGGAAATTTGACAAAGATGAAGTATCCAAAAGTAAGACAACGCTTTATACATACAATGAATAGGTAGTAAATAAAAGTAATATTTCTGAAGAATTTTTTTAAAATGCAAGGGGAAATAGTTACATACAACACCGAATGGAAGAAGCAAATAAAAATCTGTGTTTAGAGTATGCACTCTATTATACACACAGGACCATATGCCTGTTTAAAAGACTCAAGGAAATCGATCAAACTGGGAGTGTTGATCTGACAGGAGCAATCATGCATACCATGTCTTTTTCCTTTTAAGTTTTCAGTATTTAAAACATTTTGTACAACCACTAGGAGGGGAAAACACTCATTAAAAATATTAAATAACTTCTCCCATTCTGTTGGTAAGGGCAATGTCTATAATAGCCAAACTATGGAAAGACCCCAGATGTCCATCGACAGATGAATGGATACAGAAGATGTGGTGTGTATACACACACACATACACACACACACACACACACACACAATGGAATACTACTCAACCATCAAAAAAATATTGCCATTTGCAATGACGTGGATGGAACTACAGTATTATACTAAACAGAATAAGTCAATCAGAGAAAGACAACTGTCATATGATCTCATGCATATGTAGAATTTAAGAAACAAAACAGGATCACAGAGGAAGAGAGGAAAAATAAGACAAAATCAGAGAGGCAGAAAAACCATAAGAGACAAATTGAGGGTTGCTGGAGGGGATCGGAGTAGGAGGATGGAGTAACTGGGTGATGGACAATAAAGAGGGCACATGATGTAATGAGCACTGAGTATTATATAAGAATGATGAATCACTGACCTCTACTCCTGAAATCAATAATAGAGGTTAATTAATTGAATTAAACAAAATTTAAAAAATAAAATACATAAATGTTAAAAAAAATTAAATAATACAATGCAGATGCAAACCATCCTAATTTCACTATTAAACTAAGATGCAAGAAGCAAACAACCTACCCCTGCTCCACACTGGTGTTCGGTCGTTGCCCAGACACAGACTCTGAACTGTCAGTTAGAGATGGCACTACAGCCAAAAACCTGGAAAATTTAAAAATAGCATAAAATTGGAAATGAAGTGAAAGTCAGGACTGAATGGGAGCCTCAGAAGGGATGATTCTTCAGACCTCAACTGTTGCATTTACCCCTCCACTACCCAGGCAAAGGAAATACACAAAAACTGGAATACTCTTATAAAAAAGGGTCAGATGATAGCTTCTAAAGCCAAATATAAAGGTTCACAGCAAAATCTATCATTCTGGATTTTAAATATGCTGTCATAGTACTGGAAGAAAAAAGCCTTGCCACACTGATTCACAGAAACTGAGTCAACTTAATCAAGTCCTGAAGAGTGACTAACAGCTAAATATTCACATGATAGCAAGTAACAATGATAACTAAACAAATGACAGAACAGGGACAACACTAAACAAATAAAGATACATACAAGAAAAGCAACTTTATGGGATGCTTGTACCTCTTCTTCAGAGTTGCTCACAATGTCAACATAAATATTTTAAACGCAGAAGAGAATTATAGGAAAATTCTCAGAATAGATGTGAATCCTGACCTTGGCACTTTAACAGAAATTTCTCAGGGAAAGACAAACTCATCTCCTTGTAATAGCTGCTAATTATAAGAGCAAATAATTTCCTAGCATCGAAAACATTGTCTTTAGAAGTGGACAAGATAGATAACTAAAATCTCAGTCACTTTATTATTTCCCACAGTGAAAAGAGTTTTGGATTACCAATCACCATGCACTTTAAGAACTACCCTCATTTCCCTTTGGTCACAGGTAGTATTACTGTACTGCAATGATAAGCAATGTTGCTTGGCATCAGACATTCCTCATAGAAGTAGGGTGAAATATAAAACTTCCCTTAGCAGAGGACTTGCTAGGATCTGTAATAACCTTCAAAGAATAAGAGAAGATCTCTCATATCTGTGATGAGTTCATAAAAGCCTCATTATACATACATGCAACAGATATTTTCAAGCACCATGTATACATAACTGCTTTTCTTTTACAAGGCAGATTTTAAATAGAGCTTATCAAAAGTAAAATATGGTGGTTAAGTTAGATTAACTGCTTTGATTTGGCTATGCTACTTTTTAAAGTCACAACCTCCCTTCGAAGGCCAGAGAAAGTCTCATATAATTATAATTTCTAAGTCAACTCAGTCTCTGCATTCAATGCAATGCATGCAATGCAAGGAATGGCACTGTTTTCTTTTTTGGTAAATAGGAAATAAGCCTATTTTGAACCAGAAGTATTATTTTTTACGCTACAGTTTCACCATTCTTTTACATTTAAAGACACGGGGACTCAGTGATAAAAGTGATGGCATCTACTATAGTGACCAGAAAGATAAATGGTATTTTAAAACAGAATAGCATCATTTTAAAAGCTAATTAGAAGAATCATATTTCAAGAGGTTGGCAAAAATGAAACAAGTATTTTCTTCAAAGAAGTTTACTCACTGATCTCAAAAGCCTAGACTTTAAAAAACTAGCTTATCTGGAGCTGTTTTCCTTCACCCCTGCCCATGATAGCATTATCAAGTATTCCTAATAAATAATACCTTTGATAGACTTTATTTCTAATTCCTTTTTGAAAAGCAAGGAGGTAATTGCGTCCATCTCCAGAGAAAACCTCCACAGCAATAGGCTGAAATGATCAAAGAGAAAAACATTACGAAAAACACAAACAAGGTTATTTATTAACTTTTCCACTATGAATATCTACAATGTTGAAGAAATTAACTTTTTAAAGAACATTTTTAGAGTCATGAATTTCCAGCAGATTAAATTGCAAAATAAACAAAGCCAATGTGGGACTCCTGGGTGGCTCAGTGGTTGAGCGTCTGCCCTCGGCTCAGGGTGTGATCCTGGAGTCCCGGGATTGAGTCCCATATCAGCCTCCCTGCATGGAGCCTGCTTCTCCCTCTGCCTGTGTCTCTGCCTCTCTCTCTCTCTGTCTCTCATGAATAAATAAATAAAATCTTAAAAAAAAAAAAAAGCCTATGTACTCTGTTCAATTTTTGTTTCTAAAATCTTTAATAGAATAGTAAGATAATTTTTTTAAAGATTTTATTTATTTATTCATGAGAGACACAGAGAGAGAGGCAGAGGCACAGGCAGAGGGAGGAGAAACAGACTCCATGCAGGGAGTCCCATGCAGCACTTGATCCCGGGATTCCGGGATCATGCCCTGAGCCAAAAGCAGACGCTCAACCACGAGCCACCCAGGTGTCCCTAATGGTAAGATAATTATAAAACTATAATTTAGAAAAATTACAGTGAAGATGCAATTTTTATATTAAAAGATAATATATGTTGATTTGGATGCTATAGGGAAAGGTGGATATTATTCAAGTTTTAGGCTGTGTTTAAAAAAAAGAGAGGGCAGCCCAGGTGGCTCAGTGGTTTGGCGCTGCCTTCAGCCCAGGGCGTGATCTTTGAGACGTGGGATCGAGTCCCATGTCAGGCTCCCTGCATGGAGCCTGCTTCTCCCTCTGTCTGTGTCTCTGCCTCTCTCTCTCTCACTCTCGCTCCTCTCTATATATTCTCATGAATAAATAAATAAAATATTTTTTAAAAATAAATAAATAAATAAATAAAAAGAGAGATGTATTATAGAGCGTCGTGCACCCATGTGATGTGAGTTTGTCTATTATAAAATCATCTGAGGAAATACTGTAAGAGATAGTGTAGATCCTATAAAGGCAAATATGAGTTTTAAAATAATACATCCTCTGAAAAAAGGAAGATGACAAGATGTTTAGTACTACTAAATCAACTCACCTGTAGGAGATACCTCCTTTTATGTACTTCCTTGATATCTTCATATGCAAAAATGCTGCATGTTCTCTTGAGCTGACTGGGGCCTTGCCTGGCACCTCTGGGGATAATTGGCTCATGCATACTATAGGCAGCCAAGAGAAAAAAGATAAACAGAAACACAGCAAGAGATAAATTCACTGTTCAACAAAGGGTGTGTTATTTTCAACCTATGAGTAAGAGCAGGGAACAATACATCAGAATATGGAGTTCAAAAAAAAAATGTTTAAGAGAATAATGTATCAACTACTCAGCAAAGAGCCCTCTTTGATTAATTTTTAAAAAATCCCACTGTCACTCTCAGGGCTAACTTATCTAAGAGACACAGCCAGTATAGTGCATAGGCCCACATTCTTTTAGGCACCCAAGAAAATGTTTTAATTTTTTCTGAAATTAGAAGAAAAAACAATTTTTTGGTAGAAAAAATGGTTTAACATATAATATGAATATATTATCTTTAAACAACACAGTCACAAAATATAATTTTTAGTATTTTTATATGGAGTAAGGGGCCACTGGAAGTCATAATATGGCCCTGACTGTTGCTGATAGTTCAGTATTCGAAACATCTTCTAGGAATGGACCCCAGAGGCCACGTCTATATTTGGCAGTTAGGTATTCAAAATGTTAGAGAGAAGAGCATGTTGACTTTGTAAGCTGTAAGCTTTCTGTCTTCCTTCTGGCTTTGTCTGTCTCCTGGATTTTTGTTACCCACTATCATCCCATCACAGGACCAGCAGAAGAAAAGGAAGATAGATAAAACTCAGTTAATTCCTGCCTGTGCTTCAGTCACTGCTTCAAGGGTACTCAGAGGACATGGACACTCTTCCACCATTTGTAAGAGAGTTGTGTAGTTACCTGCATTTTCCCTGTAACTGTGTTTGTACTAAAATTTAAAAACAACAATTTGCAATTCTGAATAAATTTATAAATATGCAGATCATAATATAAGGAATTTGGGTCTAATGCTATTAATGCATAACAAAAAATTTTATTTAATTTTCATTTTGATAAATAAGACAAATGTTTTCTTACCTTGAAATAACTATTACCCTTGTGAATATTTAGTGATACACAAACTAAAAGATAACATTCTTAAAACACAATTTTTGGATTAAAACAGAACTATATAAATAGATTGCTTTCTCAAGATAGCTGCACTTTGTGTCTCTTCATTCATTTACTTACTTTGGAGGTAAGGTTTCAATATCTCTTATTTCCCTGGTTGCTGTCATTGTAAATCCATCAATCACATAAAAATGCTCTTTACCAAAAAGAAGTAGCCCCTCACTGGTATCTAGGCCCTGGACCCGAGCACAGCGGTACATGTGTTGAATCTATAAATAAAACCATAAATGTTTATTAATATAGTTAACAAAAACCCTGATAATTTTTTTGATATAACGAAATGTGGATTTAATGGGCATGCAGGATTTTACCAAGATGTAGTCTGTTACGGTATCCCCTGAGCTAAGCGTATTAAACCTGAGTTTAAGCATGTTAAAAAGAGTCAGCTAAAACTGCCATCTGATTTGCAGTTGAATTCAGTAAAAGGAGACAACCATTTTATTCACATCCATACACCTATCCATCTAACTCACTTCTCCCACTATTCACAGAGTACTCACTGGGTGCCAGGGACATGTGTACTAACTAGGCTCTAGAAGTGATGAACAAGTTAGATAAGGAAGGAGACAGAGACAATAAACTTGGCAGGAAAAAAAGAGGACTGAAGCGTATATGTAAGATTAGGATTATGCCCTTGGTGAGGCAAGAGTGAAAACAGGTCTGCTGAGTCTGACAAACCTGAGTGAATTCCCAATGCTGTCACTTAGTTGTGGATTTAGCCAAGTTTCTTAATTTCTTTGGGTTTCTGTGTCTTCCTTTGTGAATTTCAGATACAGTCTGGCACGTTGTGAGAGTTACTAAAGTAAGGTACGTGACCATGTTAGAAACCGTTGGCTGCCTTCTCTTCCACACAGCTCAATTTTGTCTATTTCCACAACAGCTCCAGGGATGGGGACTGTGACACACTTGTCCCTGTTTGCTCCCCACCTGGGGTCTTGCTTGCCTGGCAGACTGCTGTGCCATTGTAAAAAGCCAAACTTGGCAGAGGTGGTATTTTCCTCAGAGGAAGAAAGAGTTGCTTAATCTCTCAATGTAAGTATTGTTTTCTTTCCAACAGGCAGGATCTAGTTTTTCTTACCTAAAAACTATTTCTTGCTTAAACTCAGTTCAACATGAGTCAAGGAAAAAAATATCAGCAACTAAACTACAGTCAAAGAAATGTTAGTCTGAATATACTTCTTGCAGTACTCAAACTTAAAAAATGTACTCATGAGATTAAAAGTTTAAGAAATGACAGCATTAGAAAACAGTAAAATACACAAATGTATTCATTTTCATCACATCTGTACTACATAAAAACGTAGAATGTTATAGGAAAAACACTGATACTTTAAAAATAATTCTATTGTGTAATACACAAACACAAAAATGTTTTCTGTAAGTGCACAGCTTGATGAATTTTCTAAAATGCTAAAAATATGATGCAGCCAGCATTTGGATTAAGATATAGAACATTCCCAAGACTTCAGAAGCTTCTCTTATGCTTCCATCAGATGTAATGTACTTTTAAAATTATGTGTCTTTTAAAAATATTTTCATTCAGGCACCTGGGTGGCATAGTGGTTGAACATCTGTCTTTGGCTCAGGTTGTGATTCTAGGTCCTGGGATCGAGTCCCACATCAGGCTCCTTGCAGGGAGCCTGTTTCTCCCTCTGCCTATGTCTATGCCTTTCTCTCTGTGTCTCTCATGAATAAATAAAATCTTAAAAAAAATTTTCCTTTTTTTTTAAATTTTCATTCAAGATTAATTGAGCTGTATATTCAAACAGAATTTTTAAAATTAACCCCTAAATTCTAGCTATATCTTAGTGGGTAAGATTAAAAAGGTTACAACAAAGATCTAATATGAGAGGCAAAAAGAACATTCTTTTAAAAAGGTGATATAGCACATTAATTAATTCATTCCTTCATTTACTTAATTATTCTTTTATTTACTCAAGAGATCTTGAGAAATGAGACTGTACCCAGTGGGGAGTTCCTAGGATAGAGATTATGCAAGTGATGGAGAGAGGGGCATCCTGGCAGAAAACACAGTGACTAAAAGCACAGACTAAAGAAATAGCATTATGGATGTAGTGAATTGCCAGATACAGGTGCTGCAGGGGCCTTGGCTTATAAGGCAGAGCCCGAACAGGTTGGCAGAGAGGGAAACAGAAAGGTAGGGTAGTCTTCTGTGAGTGAAGGAGAACAGGGCTTAAATACAACCCTGAGAATGAATGACAGTACAGATAGGCTGAAGTTGCCTGTAGATGGTTCATGGAACTATGCAGGTGTAGAAAAAAAGACAAGACCAGATTACTGAATGGTGTGCATGGTCTAAAATAGAGACTTACAGCAAGAAGTACAGTCTAATAAAGGGTACAGATAAAGAATGAACTAGGTATCCAGTGTTAATATTGTCTCATGAAATTTTGGGTTCAGTGTGGGTTTAGTATGTTCAGACAGGTCAAAAATCCTGAAACCAGGACATGTAGAGTACTGAAACCAAAAGATTGCTTACTTTTCACACGGTATTTTATTATAGAGAGGAAAATATTTATCTTCTGCCACCAAGTAAATATCCTATCAGGTTCCTGTTGTAAAATGCAAATAGTTACTTCAATGTAATCCTTACTTTTTTAGAAGCACAGTACCTTTTCTCCTTCCTCCAGTAGGCGTAGCAGGGTGGCATTATCCGTTTTCTCCTCCTCCTCTATAGAGCTGCCCTCTGCAATCTGGTCTTGTAGCTGCTCCTGGCTCTCCTCATCTCCCCCATCAGGTGCGGATCGAGACCGTTTCAGAGGAGGCTTGACCAGACCTATGGGACCATAACCACAAGAGCCCTGTGACCTTGGCAGGGGCCATTTGGGAAGCCGTTGGGGCTCCCAGTCCCTCCTAACATTTCCAAATTGAGATAACTCTCAATTGGTACAGGGAGGCAACACAGTGCAGTAGTTAATGACAGAGGCTCTACAGTTAAATAATTGTGTAACCCTGGACAAAGATCTGCCTCTCCAAACTGGCTTTATCATCTATAAAACTGGGACAAAAACACTATCTTAGATGGTTGTGGAGGACTTAATGAGTTACTCATGCTTAGCATCATGCTTAATAGCAAATTCTAAATAAGTATCAGATGATGATAGTAACAGAGCATAGTGTAATTGATGGTAAGAACGGTACTGCTAAGGACAGGTGTCATTGCAGGGATACCATAAATAAATGATCAATCACTATCGGAAACAAAATTAAAGAGAACAAGTTATAAATATTATTATAAAAGATCTCACCTACTCGGAGGGCCCATGAGGACTCTCTCAAGACTTATATCACAAGCAACAGTATGATTGTTCATATATGAACAGAGGTGATTAAAATACAGGGAAAGATCATTTAATTTGCAGATTAAAGCATTCTATTGTCTACATTTTGATGACTTTATTAATAATCACAGGAGGTGACATTAAAATCAATTGATGAGATACCAAAGTATGACAAGCACTCAAAATACACTCTAAATCCCACATTTAATTAATATTCTTTAGTTATTCCAAAAAAAGTCATGTTACACCTACCAATGATAGTTGCCCTAAGAATTTTGAAAAAGGTAAGACATAGATCAGAGGTTCTTCTTTGCCTTAAGAACCTTCTTTTCACATAAAAAAGAGTATGTAAGTAAGAAAGAGAGCTGAAGTCCTGCTGAGAATATCCATAAGGGGATAAAGCTTATAATTACATTTTTTAAAAGTAAGCTCTATGCCCAACATGAAGTTTGAACTCACAATCCCAGATTAAGAATCCCATGCTTTACCAACTGAACCAGATGCCCATATCATTGCACTATTTTTAATAAATTAAAACTTCCAATTCTATGTCTATTATAACACCTTGCATAGCATAGTAGTGACACCAAAATTTGTGAAATTAGGAAAATGAGGCCAAGACAAGCGAAGTGCTAAAGACCCAAACACAAGTCTTCTGACTAACTCTGTGAATTATACCTTCACTTATGCTCAAATAATAGCTTTGGATCCATTTCCATAACTTTGTTGGTGTACTGTCAAGAAAACTAGAAGACTTTTATAAACTTGCTCAACTACTAAAAGTTTTAGGATTCTATTTAAAACCTTAGATAAATTATGAAATGCTTAATAAGTCACAGTCACCATGAGAGAGAAGAGGAAAATTATAATCAGAGAAATGGGTCACAATTTTTAATGGCGTGTTTTGCTGACATGGTCGTATATTATCAATTTTTTAATCAATGGGATCTGAAACTAATTTTTAACTTAAAGTTCTTAATTTATATCCTAAGGCTTTGTTTATAGAGTATGCCAAGATCAGAGGCTTCAAAGAGTTAAAACAATGGGTTGATTTACTTTTTCAATAGAAACCGAATCCCCATTTTGTGCTAGGCATGTGCCAAAAGCCATAAAGTGAGAAGAAAAATTATCTCTGCCCCTGAGAAACTCATAATTTAGAAAACAGAAATCAGTGAAAAATCACTGAAATTGTTGGGAAATGGGCAAATGTATCTGTGGACAGGAGAGTGGGAAAAGGTTTCAGAGAAGGTTGATTTGATATTTGACCACGGTCTTTGAGGCTGGGTAGGGTTTGTCAGGATCCATATCAAGGGGTAGAGGGCACACATATGTAAAAGTACAGAATCAAAAAGTCCAAATTATCTCATGTGTATTTTACTAAGCTCATAAAGTACAGTTGTGGAATAATGTGTCTTAGCTCATAGGAAGAAAGACCATGATTTCTTAACTGTTGTCTAACATGCACTAATAACACATTTAGTAGTTGTTTTAATTTTATAAATATTTATTTAGTTATCAGGGCCTTAAATTAAAATGTCAGGTGTCACTGAGAATCCTGCCAAATGTAATAAAAGCATTATCAAGCCAAAAAGGCACATTCCATCCATCTGTAGGCAATAAAGAGCCAGTCTCTTTAGTTCTGATACAGAAAACAATCTTTAAGAAGATTGTTTAAGATTCTTTAAGAATAGATAAAATATGTATGGATACTTTTATCTAGAGGATTGGCCCTACTTTTTATGGTAGATCATATTTTCATAAAAATTCAAATATAAGAAATACTCCAAAGAGATTTTTACTTCAATCAAAGAGGAAGGCTGACCTTTGACTTTAGCAATAGTGTCTTCACCGTGCTCTGGTTCTTGCTGAGCAGCTTCACCTTCTGAACTCTCTACAATGGCATCTTGGACAATGGCTGGATTCCCAGAGGCTAGTCGCATGTAGTATTCTTTACTGTCATAACTTATGGCTCTTCTGTATCGAGCGGGTTTCTAAGAAATAGCAGAAGAAAGGATTCAAATAATTATTTTCAAGAATTAAAATATAAGCTTCCCAAAGGAAGTATGGTATCAAGACTTCTTTAGGTGTTACCTTTTTAAAGGGATTTTTAACAGACTGCATTTATATACAGTAAATCCAGACTTCTGGGTTAAGTTTCTCTATTTTTAAAATGCATTGACTTTTAAAACAGACATATCAAAAAAACAATATTAGCAGTTTTTCTTCCTGAAATAGAAATAAATCATCTCTAGTCAAATAACGCTTTCACGTTAGTATTATATGGCCTCACTGATGTATTAGGAAACCTTCCTAGACAGTAAAGAGAACACTCAGTTTTGGAGAGCATCAAGTTGCAAGAGGATGTCTGGTTTGCATAAGGGCTGGAACTTTGCTTCCATCCCAGATAAGGTAAGTAGTCAGGCCTAAAGGCAAATGCGTTCAATTGGAATCATCAGTGCCAATGTTACTTCAGATACTTAGAGGTAAAGACTAAGAACTGCAGTGTTCTTCCTCATATTCCCAGTTCTTACTAAAGCTCCAGAAATGGCCCAAACCTTCTGAGAGTTCTGACTCAACACAGAATCAACCATCTTAAGGCCAGATGGTACTCTCTGCTTGGCCTGCTCCTCCAAGCTGGTACCTCCAATTTGCTAAGACATCCCTGTTGTTTGTTGTGTAAAATAATATGCTCCATAAACTCACTAACTAAATGAGTATATTCAGAATATATATATTATACATATATATATATATATATCCATCTTGAAGAAGAAATTTATTATCTAGAAACATTAGAAAAGATTTGATATTTTTGGCATATGATTCAAGAGCATTTCTTTCTCAGATTTAATATTTATCCTAAAAATATACTTTGCAACTGACCTAAACCTTTCTTTCCCCCCTTAAAACCATAAAATAATGAAAAAAAAATAAGGTCTCGAATGTCCTACACAACTGTAAAACCATAGGGAAAATTTAGTATGTTATACAGGTTCTTTGATCAGAATTAGACCAGATTTTGGATTTAACAATTAAAAAAAGGATGCGGTTTTAAACATGCTTTAAAACCTTTCCTTTGTAGAGGCACCTGGGTGGGTCAGTTGGGTGAGTGCCCCACTCTTGGTTTGGGCTCAGGGCATGATCTCATGGGTCTTGAGATTGAGCCCCACACTGGCTCCGTGCTCAGTGGGGAATCCGCTTGAGCTTCTCTCCTTCCCCCTCTTCTTCTACATTTTCCCCCCTGCTCATATGCACTTTCTCTCTCTCTAAAATAAATAAATAAATCTTAAAAAAAGAACCCTTCACTTTTTAAACGTTATTTCAGTTTTCTTTTCCAAGTCAGAATAGCTAATTAAAAATACTCTATTGGCCCTACTCTTCAAGTCAAATAGTCAATATGTATTATCCACAATAATGTTTATTTCAAGCAAGACCATTTTAAACAAATGATTTCCAATTCAAGTGGAAAACAGGTGTCCAATTGGTTGGAATATTTAGACTAAAACACTGAAACTATTTTGAGATAAAAAACTATGTAACTGAAGTCACACTGCCCTTCTTTTAAATTTAGATACATTCAGATACAGAGTCAGGGAATCTAAAGAGCTATAAGCTAACTGTGGAATGATACACAAGAAATGGAAATTGAAATATATGACAAAGAAAAGTATTAAAATGAGGTAAAATCATATTACAATGAAGGAAGAACCAATGTGATGAGCAAACTAACAAGAATATTGCAATATTTCTGAAATGTAACAAAGGCAGTAAACTTTGTACCATACCACTTCTTCTATACAAGGTATAACAATTATCTTCAACTCAAAATTGTTTATTTTGAAAATGATGAAAGCATAGTTAGTGATGGGCAAGACAATGAATTAATAGATGTGGGACATCTACTTGATTACTGACTTCAACTTGGAACTCTAAGTCTTTTTCCCTAAATATTTTGAGGTATATTTCTGGATTCTAAAGAACTACATCTTTTTTTTTTTTTTTTCTGAATTATGTACTGAATCATTCTGGAAAGAGAAAACTATTTTAACTATTTAAATAAGTTAAAATTGTATTTTAAAAAGTGATCTATTCATACTCTTAGTTTTCATTAGTTCCTTCTGATTGAAAAATAATTTTTAAAAGAGAATACTCCTTGAATTCTCAAAATACACACTGTTTAGTATTTGGAAGAATTAAATGAGCAAATAAAAAAAAAGTTGAAGGTGTCGGGCTGCCCATTACTAACATGCGTCAGAACTTGTTAGTTTATATGTGAAGCAATATACATTTTATGGTGAAAGCAGTGAATACTCAGCCTGTTAGTGAGCAGCACACAGGCCCTAGAAAGCTAATTAGAACAAAGCTGAGAAAGACTAAAACCCTTCTCAGCATGAGTGACACCAACTTTTCAACTCTAAGGAACTTACAGGAAGAACAAATGGAAAGTCAATCTTTTATGTTAGTCTAGTCTACCATGCACTAGAAAACAAAAACAAAGAAAACTGCAAGTATTTTGCATTCTCTTATGGTAATTTGTGTTTTACCTTTTGAGGAATGATATCATCAGGTGTCTCAGGCTGTTTACTTGGGACCTCAGACTGAAAACAGGGTATTAAGTATAGAAATATCAGAAAAAAAACAACATAAAGAACACCACAAAAATAAAATTTTCTTGAGGATTGTATGAAATATGGAAGATGCACACACTCAAAGAAAATTAATATGATATCCTATGTTGTTTGAAACAATCACTTAGCATCTTGTAACTTTTTTATTATTATCAAAAGTAGTTTTAAAGTAGAAACTACAATAAAATTCTCAAGACTACTCAACAGGACTTACTTATAAATCACAGACAAAATTTCAGCACAGGTGGCCAGAGTCACGGATGACTGACAGGCAACTCCACATGGCTTTGAAAGGGAAAAACTGAAAACTGGATAACAGAATCCAATACTTGCTATTACCTTCCACCTACCTTTCACTGTGCTTATCCCTATATCTGTTTTGTAACAGGAGCAACTGGTTTACTCCATTATCTCCAATTCCCCATACCGCAGAAAACATGAGGTGCTTATTAGTGGAAAAAACATTCTCCCATAAAAGCCCAGTGACCTACTTTCTTTATTCCTTTCACAGATATAACCCCAGAAAAGCTAAAAGCAGAAGGTAGGAGACTGGGGCATCAGCCTCCAGACCAAAAGTTTTGGTAAAAAGTACTTTAAAAAGTATTAGGTGGTTGCTTTATATTTTATTCTCCGAATCAAACAAAAGGGCAAAAACCTCTGTTGGGCTGTCCTGTGTTGCTTAGGCACCTAAATATACAAGCCATATATGGGCAATAACGGACCCAAGAATAATCCAGTTTTTCTTCCTTTTCACAGTTTTATCTGGAGATGACATCTAGTGCTTCTCCCCACATAAACATGCACCGGCAAAATAATTTCACAAATGTTTCCTCCCTAGGCAAAACAAACACTGGACTACTGGGCATACTTTCAAATACTTCACATGGTTTTAATAAATGTTTCTCTTTAAAACCCAACTTTTAAAAACATACCTTGTAATGAAGAATCATCTTTAAAATATACATCTATGTTCTCTATCTTGGTAGGGGTTTTGGCTACACGAGTGTAAAACACACAGATGTGAACACATAATGGAACACTTAAGATTTGTATATTTCAATGTATGTAAAATTTATGACAACAAAACGGAATTACAAAGACTGAACTCTACTGATGTACATGTGGAATTATGAAGGAGTGAAGGGTACTGATTCTGCAATTCTCTCTGAACTTCATTAAAAAAAAAAAAAAAAAAAAAAACAAGATAATTTCCTGGATGTGTGACAGACCAACATAGCAAAATAGACCTATTACTGCTGTCGAAAGCAACTTTAATGACCACTGTTTACCCCCCAACCAGAATGTGGGAAAGGTCTGACATTCACTCTTTGTTTTCCCTGCAGGGTATAGTACAGTGCTGGTTTAATACATATTTACATTGATCCACTGCCTGGGGCTCTCATTTTACTACAAGGCACAGCATTCAATCAATTGTAAAGAGATATGCTATACTAATAATTTTAGTGTTATCATAGCTCTCTTTTACTTAAAATTCTATAATTATTATAATTATATTTACACAGAAGTCTTAAATTTTCAAAGTCAAAATTTCTAGAAAATAATTATTTATTTCTCTTCAAATTTTTCTATATTGCTAGCAATGGAAATTTCCTGAATGAGCTGCTTAGTTTCCATGGGTTCCATGACATCTATATATTACATAAAAAATATATGTAGGGGTAGCCACAGGAGACTCCTTTAATTAGAAAAGGAAACTTTGAGTAAGTCGCTTACCCTTCTGTCCCAAGCAGTCCCAGATTAAAAGGTAGACAGTGGGGTCTTCAGCACAATGGTTTTTGTAAACAATAGTTAATTTGTTTGAGATTATTATTCCATCAAAATAAATTCATGAAAATAAGGGGATCACAGAATTAAAACCTGGTATTTATACCTAAATATGATTTTGTAATGGCAAAATATGGAATCTTATTCTCCTTCCATAGGATTCAGAGTAATGAGACAGTTGCTGAAAAGCCACTGGATTTTATATTTTCATCATATCCAAGGCTCACATCTTAACAGTATCTGCAACTGACATTACCTCTTAAGATACAGAATTACAGTGCAATTTAGCATAGCTGTTTTGTTATGGAAATTACCCCATAAGGAAAGTCACTGTGCAAAGAGGAATTATTTTCATGTGAGAATAGATAAGTTTCTACATGTATCTAATTTTTCTCATTACAAAAATTATTACTCTTGCTTTTATTAAAATAATTTTTGGGGATAAACTTTCTTTTTTTTTTCTTGGGGATAAACTTTCAAAGCATTTATGTCTAAGGCAAATAAGACTCTAAAAATATAGTCTATATTCTATAAACAAACATCCAATTTAAAAATCAAGAAACAAAGTTCAAAACTTAGAATGTTAGGTAAGCTATCCTGTATACAGCGGACAGCAGTATCAAGATTTAAGAAATAAAACTTTAATGACCAAAGGGAAAAAAAACAACAACCCTCAATTCATTTCTAATACATCAAAGATTTTAAAACAAGAAAATAAATTTTAATCATCACTGTATTCTTTCAGCTTAAGCAACAGAATAAAAATTAAAATGCCACCTAGAAACAGTAATTATTCTTAATAAGGCAAAAGATTAAACCAATTAATTGTCCTTGCTCAGATAAAGCCTGTTTTACCTAGCAAGAGGCTTTGAAAGCATTTTTTAGGTTGGCACAAACCCCTTACATCACAAAAAATATTGACTATATTTTATAAACATGCAGGCAAGGAAGGCAACACATTTATAGGAACAGAAGTGGAAGAAGTGATAGATCTCTAACTCTGGGAGGTAATCTGGAATATTGTTCAGGGTAGAGGTGGATTTTCTATAAAGTTAATAAAGAAAGCTTAAACTTCAACAGTCCTCACTTCCCACGGGATCCTTTCAAAATCCTGGAAAGAGGCACCTGAGTAATTTCATATTCATAAGTTTACACCCTTTTTCTTATATAGCCCTCTGTCAAGTTATACTTGAGGCCCAAATTTTATAATTTGTTACCAGCCCTTTTTAGTGGAAAAATTTCAGAATTAGGAAACTTCTACAGAATGCTGAATTGGAAAACAATGGAAAAAGTCTCTAATTTTGGGAGGAACAGTGCTGGTAGTCCACTCATTCAATATTTATAAAGTTCTTGATACTCTATTAGCATCAGGCAGACAAAACCTAGTATACTATTTCTGTCTGGAAGAAATTCACTGTCCACCGATAAGGTCATCAATGGTTGGAATCTCTTCTCATTTAAAAGTAAATCAACTTCTAAGGAAGTGTCATCCTATATACTCATGTCATACTCTACTACTTAGGAGCTGTGCCTAGACCTTTCTCTAGGTTTTGACTCCTCATCTGTAAAATTGGGAAAACTGTATTCATGTTGTGTTCATTGTGCTTTTATTTGATCTTCTTTTTTGATTTTATTATAGAAGTCAGTAAGATAACAGTTACTTCTACTTTTTGGAATTTTCTTGACACTCAACATTGCCAGATTGCACATTCCATAAAATAAAAGTGGACATTTAATGGCGTTTCAAATTTACAAGGATTTTGAACTGGCAAAACCAAAATAATTAGTCATTCAGAAAATTTCGTCAGAGCAGATCAATCTTGACTTGCATATGAACTAAGCCACACAGATTCCACATTCTGTAACAGTCTCCCCTTCCCCACCTGCTCTTTCCTTTTTTGCTAATGTATCTCCAACATTTCTAGACTGCCTTGTATTTCCCAATATGTAACCCATCTGGTTAAAAAATAAGTTCCATATGGTGCATACTTATTTCTGAGACTGTCTGTTTAGATTTTACAGGCTCGTGAACGCCTTTGCTTACGTAAAATGCTAATATTACTAAGGTTGTAAGTGTGAACTCCAAATAGGTTATTTTGTTTTTATCTGGTACAGAAGTTTAAATATATTTTTATAATGTGAATGGCACTGTTGTAAAGAAGGAAAGGAATAAACAATATAAAAATGTTATGGTTATGTAAGTAAAAATATACTTCAGTTAAATAAAAAACTCAAAAACATATGCCTCAGTTAAATAAAAATAGTGAGTTGGTCACATTTTTGGGAGAGCATGTTTATCTTATATTTGAGTATTTTTGAATGGATTCAATTTATAGGACTGTTGACTAAATAAATATTTTGTCAAATTGTTACAAGCTTAAAGTCTTATTTATTTGGGGAAAAAAGGTTAAGAATTAAAGACTGTATTACTGGTTAGCTCAGACAAAAGTAGTTGCTAGTAAAAATCTGCAAAATATGGGTGGATTAATTTTTTCCCCATAGTGCAGTAGTACTAGAAATTATGGTGCTTTAAGTTACAGCTGTACCAAGTATGACGTTCTTGACAGAATGGAATAGCTTTGAGAAAAGTGGACTTTAGAAAGCTATCTTGAAAAATCTCAATTATATATTAGCAGCTCTAAGACCTATGTCCTAGAAGTATCAGGACAGAAGTGAAATCACTGAGTACAAAATAAACAGAGCCAGTGTTTTGGTAGAAAAAAAAAGAGACACTGGAACAATGCAAACTGCCCTCACATTATAGAATCTGAACTATTTATTAGAAGATTCATGTTCTAAGCCTCTTTCATAAATCTTAATTTCTTCAATTGTTGACAGAATCAAAAATAAAGTCAACAATGTGAAAGTACTTAAAATCCATGAGGGTTTTGAAATTCAGTTTTTAAATAAAATATAATAAAACTTCTACACTGGGCAGGTGTTTGTACTGTATGACCTCATAGATTCTAAAATCATATTAACCAAACATCAAGAAGAACAAGCCAAAAACGATCTTCAGTGGATGAGTCTTTGCAGTGATCTGGGTTCCCAACAGGGTGTAAGAGTTTATATTAGATTCATCTTAGAGGCAGCTAAACACTAAAAGTGAAACAAAGCTTGGGATACATTCCCTTGAGAGATAGTCACTTTTCTCTCTTAATGAAGCATAGTGTGGTAAGATTCCTGAATCTCGGAATATGCTTTTCCAGACTATATTTTTTAAAAGTCACGGTATTAATTTTTTAAAATTTAAATGATACCTCAAAAAAATTAAATGATATTAGAGGGAGACGTAAGAATTTTATTTATCAAAATGGAGTATACATTTAAAGAAAGTCACAAAACAGTGGTCTAAAAGTTAGGGATTCTCTAGAGCTGTCTGGTCCGTTACAGCAGACCCATGTGAAATGGGACTAGTATAAATTGAGATGTGCTGTAATTATGAAATACAGATTGCATTTCAAAGACAAGGTACAAAAACAGGTAAAATGCTTCAGAGATAATGTCTTTGTAACTGATTAAACATTAAAATGATAGTGTTAGAAAGCTGGGTAAGATAACTGGTTGAGACCCCCTCTCAACTCCCAAAGCTGTGATTCTATGACAAAAATTAGTTTTCTACGGACAAAAGTATTCTTCATTTTGGAGGCAAAGGATTATTACTGGACACTGAAGAATCGAATTATTATTTAGAAATGTTATAAGGATTTTCAGAATTAAATTCAGTAGATTTTATACCCCTGTGTTTTCTCTTTTAAACTTGTAGTAGCTTTATTGGGAGAGTATATATTTTCCTGAACTTAAAAACATGATTCTTGGACCATCATCAACTTAGACAGAATTCTTCTGGTCATGTGCAAAAGTCTGAATAAAGGCTTTTGGAAGGGTGACTTGTCTGAATAAAAAGAAACTTACGGGCAAAGGCTGTGTTTTAAACTTGAGGAAATCAGTAATGAAGTTTCTTGACATAGAAAGATCTACATATTCAGGCTATTATTCTTTAGCTGTCTTCTGTATTTCTTCAAAGATTATTACTTATGCCAATATTTATTTACTTAACAGTCACTTAGAATAGTGTCTGGCAAAAAATAAGCACTATATAAGTACTTCACTGATTTTAACCAAGCTAATCCCAACAACTTTTGAGATGGAACTGTTATTCTCGGTGTGTTTTTCTCCACATGAGACACAAGGACACAGACACCTAAAGTGGCCAAATGGCCTGTCCTAGGTCAGCCAGCTAGTGAAGTGGTAGGGCCAGGTTTTAAATCCTGGCAGTCTGACTTCAGAGCCTGTAACCTAAACCACTTCACCAGTCTCCCTGTTACACTGCTGCATTGCTTCATTATATCACCACCACCACCACCCTGCATTACGAATTTAATATAGTTTAGTGCATTCCCAAAATTAGATATTTTAGGTAACTGACCTAGAAGAAAAATGCCTACCAAGAAGAAGAAAATTTGGAAGAGCCATTACCAACATTTAATTCTGCATACTCACCGCCACATTTGTCTCTTGCTCCGTTTCTGGCACATAAGGGTAATGGTTATAAAACATATCATTTCGCACCATTTTTTTCCTCATTCTGCAGGGCCCTTCTGTCATCTCCAACATCCACTTGTCTAGATGGGAACCGATGGGGGGACCCCACAACCCTCGCTCCCGCAACAGTTCGTACTCGATTTGGCACCACTCTTCTGTCACGTACTTCAGGGCATTTTGCTGACGCTAAGGGGAGGGAGTCCAGGTTGGTTTTCAAGCAAAAGCAGGAGTAATCATTAAAAGTCTACAAATAACTTAAAACCAAGTTAATATTTGGAAACAAAATCAGTATATATCATTTCAGTCTATATCATAAAAGTAAAGTTACATTTATTTATGGTTACGGCAGCCTGCTAATTTTGTGAGAGGGTGTGATTTTTGGGGTGGCCCAAGTGTTTACATCAGCGCCAGATACATCAAGGTAGAGGGTGCAGTATGCTTGAACAAAGTAACACTGAAACAAGAAAGATGGTAATATTACCATCTGAAAATACACTGAAATGGTTAAGTCCAGTGTAAATTGATAGATAACATGGTAGTTTAAGGATGACTCTCTTCCTGCCACCTCCAAGTTATAAAAACAGGTACCAGAACATGCACAGGAGAAAATCTAGTAAATGGGATCACACTGCCATCATCTGAGCTTACTGGTAAGCTTAACATTTCCAAAGATTTTAGGTAAAGAATATAAACATGCAGCTTTGATAAAGAACTTGATGATCATATAAAAATAAAAGAAAAATCATTTTCAAAGGACCACTGGGATAGATCCAAACTATTTTACTTAAATGAAAATTTATGAAGTGGTATAGCTTGCTAAATTATCAAATGTCAAGATGTATAGCAATTCAGCAGATGATTATAAATTATAACTACCTTATCTAATGATTCATGGAATTTAAGTATATAAGATCAATCTAAGAAGATTACTGAATGAATAATCTTAAAATTACGTGATATCACAATAGTACTTATGTGTTCCTGGTAGGGAGGGGACTCCCTTATAACAACTAGCTAGTGAATGCCCATAAAATATTAGCAGTTTATCATTCAGAAACCTTCAATAGATCTAAATCAGCCACACTGGAAATAAAATATTTAGGATAAGTTGCTGAGTAATTATGAATTCACCAAAAGGATTTTACTGAATTTATTTCTTACCAACATAATCACCCAAGTGCTTATAACAAAAAAAGTTATTTTAACTTTAAGGGTTTTTCTTTTTAATTTTAAGAGACTTTGATGCATATTTTCAGAATCTCTTTGTTAACTCTGAGAGGGATTTTCTTGTATTTTAATATTTATTAAGAACAACACTTGCAATATGTCAGTAGCTAATGTCAATGGGACTCAGTTGTGATTTCCAGTTTGTTGTTTTTTTTAATACCACCTACCTCTAGAAAATTCAAACTTTTTATCTTAAAAACAATGGCCAAAGCAGCCGTTGGGAGGGATAATTAAAAACATCAACTGACAATGAATGCAGCTCAGCAACTTACTCTTAAAAGGGATAAAATCATCATGAAAAACAGAGTCCTTTCTCATTCAAGGAATACAAAGCAAACCTTTCTTGTGGTTATGAATTCTTACCTCCTGATATTCCTTATATTGTGTGTCTACTAAGTCACGGACAACAGCAATATGTGTAAACATCCACTGAGAAATCTCCTAACAATGGACAGAAAAAGAGTCTTAATATTTCATGGATTTTCCTGGAAAAATGTTAACTCGCCTTAAAATAATGCTAACTAAATTTATTAAAATCCCATGAAAGACACAACTACAAAACAAAACAAAACAAAAAACTGATAGATTAATTTTATGACAAATAGATTAATTTTATGACAAATCTAGTGGAGGCTTGTGTGATGGACACAGATCAACACCTCCTATGACCCTTCCCCATGCCCCTTCAAGGATGGGACAGCTCCTATAGCTTCTGAGGGTGCCTTCAACACCTTCAGGGATCATCTCAGCTGTAGAGAACTGCCAGGAAACTCCAAACTGAATGACTGGCTGATCTGGAGGTAAGAAGGTTCAGCATCTCAGCTCAGTATAGATCAACTGTGACAGTCCACTCTGGCCTCAAAGTTCCACTTAGGTCAGTTGAGGCTAGACCCACCTTGTAACCTGGTATTTCCTGTAACCAATCCTGCATCTTTTCCTACCCTTGTACAGACAGGGACCATGAGAGCACCTGTAAAAAACACCTTGCACCAAAAACCCTCTCAGTGTACTTCCTGGAGAACCCAACCTGATGCAGGGAATGAATGACACATATGGTTTCTCTTAGGCCCTTTTCAGAGATGCCACTAAGATTCTAGGATGGTAAAGGCAGTATGATGAGGAAGAAATTAATGGAGGTAGAGGAATTAAAAAAAAAATCAATCACAAATACATATGACAAGATGATAAATAAAAACCCCATTTTGTTCTGCTATTGCTTCAAAATTTATATGATTATCAGTAACAAAATTATTGAAAGTTTGGAAAAACTGGGAAAAAACTACCCATGGCTGATTACATATCAATCACTGAATCTCATCTTATGTCCAATTATGAAGTGGGTCTGCATACACAACATTCACAATGCAATTTTATCATAATATATTGGGAGAGGTTTCCATAATCTGGGTTATCTCTTTATCTCTTCTAAAAGCAAAAATGCAGAAAAGTTCTACTTCATAATGTGTGCTTCTACACATGAAGAGTGTTATATAAAACGCTACAACTAAACTTTGAAATATAAATTTCTAGTAATGCCATTGATGAAACCAAGCAATGTACCTGGGTGGAAAGACTGTGTTTATTAAGACCACTTTCCTTTCGATTCCTTCTCGATCCTGTTAACTTGGAAAGCCCAAAGCCACTGCTGACACGGGACAATTTGGACTGGGTGGTAGGCACTAAAGCTTCTCCTCGACTTATGCATTTCTTTTCATGGGCTATGAAAATTAAAATTAGATTACTTTACAATTTCTCCATGTATTTATTAGTCTTAACATTTTTGCATCATGGCTACAAATCACAATTCTATAGTTTTAAAAGTGGCTTATATTACAGACACAGACATTCTCTTAGATATTACAGATTTACTTGCTGGTAATCTTGTATAACCATAGCAGCTTGACAATTAGTGTACTAACTGAATTGACATTTGGTGGAAACTTTACAGCTCTGCAATAATATGTAAACTTATTTTAACTGTATTCAGTTTCTATGTTAATAACAATTTATAACTCCCCACCTAAAATATTTGGTGCTGTGAATACTCTGAAATTTAGAAGGTTTTGGATTTTAAAAAAGTGATATGATACATACACTGTATTTTATAAATACTGAGGGTCAATGGTAGTAAACCATAACTGAACACATTAATATCTCTGCAGCAAAATGTGTGAATATTTACACTACGTAGAATAAAAATACATTAGGTTTTGCTACCAAGCGATTTTAGACACCAAATTCATGAAAAAAAACTTAGGTTTTAGGGCTTTTTAAATTTCAGAATTACAGAGAAGAGACCATAGATTTGTAGCCAAGACAGTGACCATAATTACATCTGCAAGCAATGTTCCAACTTCATAGATGTCAGATGTGTAACACATTTTAGATTTTTTAAAAAAAATCTGAGAAGAAAAGCCAAATCTCAACATAGTCATTCTAGAACGGGTGTTGCTCTTCACTAATGCTGCCATCATAACACCCTTTTGGGAAAATTTTAATTACATATCCAAAGTGCACCCATATACAACCCAGTTGCATGTAAATCTCGTAGCCACAGGATCTCTGAGGACTCTCTTACCCAAATGATTCTGCCAACACTTTAAACCAGCTTCTTCAATGAGCGGCCTTGCTATAGCTATGTCCACGTGGCCCCTTTCGTTCACAGGTAGAGTGACTTTGAAAAGCTCCTCCAAGGCTTGTTTCTTACTATGGATCAATTCAGTCCAAACTCTGTTGACAGCTTTTATAAGAAGCTGACGTCCTAGGAAATGAAGAAAAGCCATTTATCAAAAACATATACCAATCCACTAGCTATAGCTCTCTTTCTGCCAAGTTGGGTAAACCACTTAATCACTGATATTGCTAGCCCCTTCATGAGAACACTGTGAGACTTGATGATACTTACATTTGTACAAGTAATAGTACCAATGCTAACGTGGCATTTGCCATTAAGAGAGCTGCTTATCAGTAGTACTAGCTGCCTCTCATTAGAGGTGCAAATATTGCTTGAAACAGATGGCTGCTACTACTGTTTTTATTCTCTTATATTTGTTTTCTCTTTTCCCAGTGATTTTTGTAAGTACTGTACATTAAAATCTTTGGGGTGGATTGATTTCTAATTGGGGTGGATTGATTTCTAATGTGCAGTGGTCAGTAGAAAGTCAGATAACTATAAGAGTGTTATATAATCCCTAGCATACTAGCTACAGTGGGTTGGTATATGTTGGTGGGCATATTGATGTACATTCAGGAGTGACCTACTGGAGCACTGGTTGTCAATGCTGGCAGTTTCTGAAGTGAGTCTGTTGCGGGAAGGGACAGGGTATATCTTAAAAATTGGAAATGAGGGGTGCTTATGTGGCTCAGTCAGTTAAGTATCCAACTCCTGATTTTGGCTGAGGTCATGATCTCAGGGTCATGAGATTGAGCCCCAGCGTGGAGTTCTCTCTCTCTCTCCAGCTTAAGTTCTCTCCATCTGCCTTTCTCTGCTCATACACTCATTCTCTCTTAAAAAAAAAAAAAAAGTGGAAATGGGGAGAATGGGGAATAAAAAAGGAAGAAAATAAACTACCTTCACTAATATCTTGGCTGTAACCACCATCTGGTTCAATGTCAGAGGGGATCATAATGTGCCATGTAGTCATGCGGGCTTCTGCTTCCAGTCCAAACCCATCCACATTGCTGAAAAATTCCAGTCAGTTTAAACTATACGAAGGAAATGATTATAGCTGAAAACCATAATGACTAAGTATAACTCTCCAGACACAAGTAAATGCTGGCTCTATCACAAAGTTCTATAATTGGCAAACAGAGATTTGGCAGGTGCACAAAACAGAACTACTACTTTATCATGAAAATGCCATTTTAAAGGGATGATCTCACAAATCCACTTGACTAAATGTAATTAAACTAAACAACAGCATCAAGATGAGCATCTTAATATTTAAGGTGTTTTTTGATCACGATTAATATTTTTACCTAAAAATTACAAAGTTCCTAAGAACATTTTCCTCATATGCCTATGCACCACCTCCCCCCAGTCTCTCTCCCATCACCCTTTGCTCCAGGAGCAGTGACAAATTTGCAGTTTCCCGAAAGTGCCATATGCTTTCCTCCCTCAAGGCAATCACATAGATGGCTCTTTCTTCCTACATCACTTTCCCATCCTTTTTGGAGAGTTAACCTCCTTGTCAAACACATTCAAGTTGTAACTCAGCAGGTGTCTCTTTCCAGGTAGGGGCACCAGTTCCATGCTCCCAAAGAACCATGCTTCCAGCAGAGCACTTAGCGCACTTAGCACACCTTGCCTGGTCTGGCTTAGTTGTCTATTTTCCCTCCTAGACTGCATGTTCCAAGACCCTGCCATGACGTCTTTCTGGCTCACATTTTATCCCAGTCCCTAATTCAATGTCCAGACATTAAATAAGTATCTGTCAAAGCAATCAAGGAAAAATACTAATTACGCCCATTTAACATATACCACTGCATTTATTCATTATTCTTTCCTTTTTATCCCTCTTAACCTCCAACATTGTATACTTTGTTTATTTTAAAATAAACTTTTAAAAAAAATTACATACATGACTTAAGGTGATTAATGACCAATTTAAAGACATGGAAAATTACAGAAAAAATACTCATTCTTTTATTGCAAAAATGTTACCCTTGTGTTTATATTTTCTATGAAGTTTTAAAACTGAGATTAAAAGGAAAAAAATGTTACTATCAAAAAAGTAGGACAAAGAGTTTTGGTGGAATGACAAATTCACCACGGTGGCAAACTGAACGTGAAAAAGTTACCTTCCAACATGTAGATTAATAAGGCAGTGAGCCAGACAGCTAATGAATTCTTGGTCATGGTTCCCAGGTCCCAGGATCAAGTTCCTGTTTACAGTCAGTACCCTGAGAGAATCTAGGAGAGCTACTTGCTGTGGAACAGTTTTGTGTGCCCGTGAGAACTGGTACAAGATGGTCCTATTGAGGCAGTGATAAACTGCATCAAGTGACAATCCCTGTGATCTTCTTTTTGACTAAAGATAAGAAAGATACTTTATTTAGTAAAATAGAAACAAATAGTCTGCTTATCATTCGCATATAAATATTAGGTTTATTACATACCAGGTGCCATGCTCAATACAAGGTGCTGAGTTAAAAACCAAAAAGCTCTTGCTATTATGAGGTTCAGAACCCAAGAGACACATAAGTATAATTTAACGAGATGAAAACCACATGCCCCATTGAGAAGAGCTGCTAAAACTCCTGTAGGCAGAGCAGCCTGCCTGAGTACATATGGAAGTGTAATCTAAGGAGAATCTCCTGCAACAAAAGTTTTGTTAGGGTGAATGATCTCTATTCACAATTACTGAGAAAAACAAACAAACAAACAAACAAATCTAAAATGTTAGTAAAAAAACCTTTGACATTCTAGATTGATTTCCTCACTTGTAAACTTTTCTTAGGCTTAAACACAAATTTATCTCTTAAAAAATTCTTAGATGACACAAAAGAACCTATGCACCATATGCTAATAACACGTGGTAACAGTATTTTCTAGTTTCTACGCTGTGTTGAATAAGATTAATCACTTGTGGCAAACCAGGCCAACATTCCTAGTCAAAGGTACCACACGCACACACACTCACTCACTCACTCACTAAAATGACACCTTCAAAGAACTACAATGAACTCTGTGAAGATTTAAGTATAAGAAGAAAATATTCCTTTCATATCAACTCTTCGTGCTCTGTAAACCTTTACATACAAATGTAGCATACTGTAAAAACAAACAAAAAAACCAAGTCATCAAATTGTATTAACTTAAAACCATATTTGAACCATAAGAAAGTTACCCAGGTATTTGGGTAGCAAAGAGCAATACCAGTGGGGAAGCCAGTGAGAGCCCAGAGCTTAAGAGAACTAGGCAACTTTACAAGGGACACGCTGGTACCACCCTATGGGTAAGGAGGGGAAGGGTTAGAAGTCTATGGTTTTTACTCACTTTCAACAAGCTGAGCTTTGTATTAAATGTTAACATTATCTTATTAGTTACATTTATTTCCAATAATTTTGACACATTAGGAAAAGTTTTTCAATAGGAAAATATGTACTCTAAAACTAATAGTGACAATAGATTACCTGTGCAATTAGTTGAATTATAAAATCTATAAGAAGTTTAGATTCTTTGTTGAACATGCCTTGCCAAAGTTTGTCCACCACACGTTGTGTGAAATAAAACACATTGTTCACCAATACCTGGTAGCTTCCTCCACTGGTAATAGGCAGGGATGCATCTTCCCCTAAATTTGAGCAGGAAAAAAAAGAATCTAAGAAACTATTATCAACCAGCAGAAGACCAGAAGCTCCAATAAATGAAGCTAAGGCAAAATGAGTTCATCTACTACATTCAGAAATAAGACCACTAGCTCTTATGTACTACTTTAAGAAAATGATGTTCATGGCCAGAAATCACGACAAATGTTGGAAGAAACCATTTCTGCAGTATAAAATAGTTACAGACTGAGAGTATGAAGTCTCTTACTGCCTCGAGAATGTCTGTGATAAGCAAATAGTTCCTCAACTTAAACTAGCAATGACAGAGGATCTCTGAGAAAAAAAAAGCTGTCAGGTTATTTGCTGTGAATAGATTCTGTATAACTAATAAAAGGTAAAACAAGTCATCAAGCAAAACTCTAGTTCTGAATGTACCTTTGAGCACAATGAAGTAATATATGCAGGAGAGGTTCAGAACAACTGTGAAAAATAAACTACAATCAGTGCCGGTGGGGCCAAAGGGGCACTTCTTCCTCCCTCCACGATTACCTTCAGTACTGTTTCTCTTCAAAAAGCTACTCCAGCGCCTTCAGTGTGTTTGCTGTGTCCATACCACTTTAATCTTCCTAACAAAATGCCCTCTGTAAGCTCCCCCTTCCTAGATATTCTGGAGCTCCACTGATTGTGATTATTATTCCTACTAACTAAATTATTCCATTATGCAAAACTCTTCATTTTGTATCTTTACATAGTAAGACTGATACTATGTAAGTAAGATTCTCAAGTGATAAAAACAAATGCAAAATTTGACTTGACACCATGCTTTGAGAGTTACACATTAAGACAACACTAAAGATTTCTTGGCAATTTTGCAAAACAAAGATAATTTAATAGGATGGAAGTTCTCTGATTAATATTATTACTGGGAACTCAAGTAACAAATATGTTAAATCATTACTTTTTCTTCTCCTTTAAATTCTGTCATTATTTTATATATAAATGTTAGCTCCATTGTAAATGTATGAAGCTTTGAATTTTTATTGTAACTAGATAGGGACATACAGAAAAAAACATCATAGTAGGTTTTGAATTTATGTCCTGGAAGCCATCCTAAAGAATAACATAGGGGTCGAGGTGCCTGGGCGGCTCCGTGGGTTAAGCATCCTAGTCTTTATTTTGGCTCAGGTCACATTCTCAGGGTCACAAGATCAAGCCCTATGTGGAGTCCTAAGCCCAGCTCCGTGCTGGGTGTGGAGCCTGCTTAAGGTTCTCTCTCTCCCTTTCTCTCTGCCTCTACCCTCCTTCAGAAAAGAGTAACATACATATACTTCTAACCCAACAATTCCACTCATGGTATTTATTTAACAGATATGTATAAATACTATATACAAGAATACAAACAAGAATATTTATTGTAGCTGTATTTCTAAGTGTCCCAACCTAGAAACTACTAAATGTCCAACAACAGCAAAATGGATACATTTATATATTCATACATTCATATATATTCATTCATATATATTCATATGATAAAATACTACAGAGTGATGAAAATAAATGGACTTTTGTTACAGGCAATAACGTGGACAAATCTCACAAATGTGTTGAGTATACAAAGCTAGACTACAAGGAATACATGTATGAGTTCATTTATAAAGTTCAAAAGGATGCAAAGTGAATCTGTTGTTGTAGAAGTTGGGACAGTGATTCAGTGAGCAGTTATTGGGTCAGGGCAGGAGGGAAGTTTCTGGGGATGTCTATAAAGCATTTTTATCTGAGGGGCTTTATATAGTCATGATGTCATATTTCTAATTCATAGAGCTTTATAATTTGATTAAGTATATCACAGTAGTTAATTTTTAAAAGTATTAGACATTCATAGAAATGTAGCTTGTTTACATAATATGGATTTTTTTGTAGCTTGTTTACATAATATGGATTTTTTTTAAGATTTTATTTATTTATTCATGAGAGACACAGAGAGCGAGGCAAAGATACAGGCAGAGGGAGAAGCAGGCTCCCTGCAGGGAGCCCGATGCAGGACTTGATCCCAGGACCCCAGGATCATGATCTGAGCTGAAGGCAGACACTCGCCGCCACCCAGGCATCCATGTTACATGGTTAACACATTCTCTTTACTTGTGCTCTTCCTCCCACCTGAATGTACAGATGTGGACAAGCAACTGAAGTACTTCCTGTTGCTGATTCTTTATCCCAGATTCAAAGGGAAGAGCTATATGGGCCTTTTCCTCACTACAGAAAAGACCAATAAGAAGGGAAGATGCACAGAAAGGAAAGATGAAGTTAAAAAGGAGATATACTTGGGGTTTAGACAGAGAAGAAGAATGATCAGGTACTTTTAAAAAGTGAAAGTAAAACACAGTATTACCCAATAAGACATCAGCTGCAAGCAAATGGTCCATCACACTATCCAAAATATAAGTCTGGAATTCTTTTTGCTGAGTTCTTGTAGATCTTTCAGGGGAAGCCTAATCAATAAAATTTAGAATTAGAAACAGAATCAACTAAATAAAGATAAGGGTTCAATCATTGTTATATTATCATACTTACACAGTCAAATAAAAAAAACTACTGGTAAATAACAAAATATGATATGAGAGATGGTAGATATGCTTATATTTTCTTTTATTTTTCTGACCACAGAATTAAAAAGAAGCAAAAGTGAAACATCATCTTCTTTTGAATCCAGTCTTCCAAAAACAATATTCTAAGCACTGTAGGTATTTAATAAATATTTGATAGTATATCTCACTTCCAAAGACAGCTGGCAATTTCTAATGAGATATAGATAAAACTATAAAGCCATTAAAACAAATACCAAGGCTCAGAAATCTAGTATTCTAGTAATCAATGGGGAGGGGAATGTTTATATCAATAGGTTAGCTAAACATACAATTTAGCTCTGAGCTTCCCATGTATCAAGGAGAAAAAAAAAAGATGATATGGTTTACAAAGCTTTTTATTGTCTATAAAAAGTAGCACACTAGATTGGCAGGAAGCATGCATTCCTAAAATTGTTCTTGGAGGAATGTTCTCTGTCTTTTTATAAAGAGGACAATGATAACTCTATAGGTAATGCTTTTGATAACGGTTTTATACAATCTAAAGATGATTTTAAAAATTATCTTGAATAAGAGCTTATGGCACAAAGTTAAACTACAGTACTCAGATGGCATTTCTATTGGTAATTAGGGTAATATAATCCAGGTGCCTAAACGTCAAGTGTCTAACCTGTGAGGTGGGTGGCAAAGCACTGGCAGTCCAGTGGATAAAAGGTGGGAAAGATCCTTTTGTCATTCTCAAATGCCAGTGGTTTTAGTCAGCTTTTGATAAGGGCTGGATATTAAACAATTCAACAAACGGACATAAAATTTTTTCTTAAAAAGAGATCTTTATGTTTTAAATACAGGCATAGCACTGATGCTTTGTAGATCCTTGAACAGATAGATTTGGGACTACGTTTATGACCATGTTACAAAAGTAGGCTTTAGACTACTGTTGTGAATTTAAAATTAAAATCTGCTCTACTTCAAAAAACCCATTTCTTTCCATTCTGATTTTCAAGATACTGATAAAGGAGCAGTTAAAATTTAAATTCTCTATTCAAATAAAAAATCTTATTCTAGGGATTTGAAAACCAACTAAACCAAAGTTGCAAAAAACATTTTTCTGTTTTCCCTGTAAGACATATTTATTTTGTTTTAAAATGACAAAATATGGGCCTTAAATAGTTAAAATAGTACTAGTGTTACAAGGAGACAAGCTGTATTACTCAAATCTTACCAACAAATCAATGTCCCAATAAAGAATGATGAATGAAAAAACAAAATAGTACTACTGTTCAGGAATTTGGTCTGGTATTAGAATAATTTAGGAAAAAGTGAAGGACATGTCATGTTGTTTTTGATCTTAATAAATTTTCCTGTGTGGCTGAACAGATTAATAACAATGGTCAGCAGGAGAGCCCTGGTCACCCATGCCCTGCTTAGGTCACCCATGCCCTGCTTATTCCTCATGCTGATGGTACAGTGAGACCCCATCCCTGCCAAATGAAGAACAAATGAGAATGTTTTAAGTGGTAAGCAGCAGATTGATTAGATCTTTGAGGATTACCTTGTAATCAGATCAGAGACCATTTTATCAAATAGCTTGAGCTGATCAAAGTTTACCAGAGTAAGGTTCTCCATTCACAGGAGGATTTGAACACTCCTGAAGATGATAGTGTTCATTCTGGATCATAATAACTAAAGGTGGTTAATGGGTAAGTAATAATGAGCAGAGTTTATCAAAACTTAACTAGACAAAGTTTTGGGGTCTACAAACAGAGGGACCACAGGACACAGAGAAGTAGCTTCATTAACAATTTTTATCTTTACTTAATTAAGAAATATTATTTTGCATTCTGCAAGGATTTAAGGCTGGCTCAGTCACCAATTGACATTTAATCCTCTGAATCCCCTCACAGAAGCTGATATAGGAGTGATTATGACCCAGAATTTATACTTGTCATCAGCTCAAATTGCTGAGTTTATTTTTTTTAATTTTTTTTAATTGCTGAGTTTAAATGTTATTGGTGACATTTATTGTAGCCTAGCTTTTTAAGGATTTAAGACTATATAAATACATGCACAGTGTCTCAGAGGTGTTTTTTTAAAAAAACATTCTATGGACTTACTATTATGTACCAGATACAGTGCTTAGTTTTATGTACATTATCTCAATCTGCAAAATATCTCTCTGAAGTAGATACTATCACATTTCAGAGATACAGTAACTGAGGCTTAGAGTGGTTAAGTCACAACAAGGATTCAAACCTCAGTTTCTTTGATGGTAAAGTCCATGGCCTCACCTGCTATACCATACGCTTCCAGCTTTACTAAAAGTCTCCATAGTGAAGTTAACAAATGCATAAGAGCAACTCTGCTACAATCTCCTCACCAATCTTTTAGATAAACCTGGTTGGCTGCACCAGATAACTGTGATGAGTTCAGGGTAGAAGGAAGATAGGGTGAGCACTATGATCTGTTCTGGCTTGTGGCCGTCAGATGCCTTCCCTATAGAAACAGGGAAGCCAGTCAATACCAGTATTCAAAAATATCACAGCCTCCTTTTTGCAGCCTATAGACGCTGTGCAGAATCTTTGCGTGTACAGGCCAGATAGCCCATGGAGCCTGCTGCTCACATTCAGGGCAACGTGGCTCTGAGAGGAAGACTTTTCGTATCCTGTGGTTTCTGTAATGGGCTGAAGCCCTTAAGAGGATTTTGAGCTTCTTCACTCTGGCTGCAGTATTCCTCTTAACTTATCTCTTCTCTTTGCCCCCTTTTGCCCCCTTTTGCTACCTTTTGTTTACTGCCCTATAGTCACCCAGGGTAGATTTCACACTGATTTGAATGGGGAAGTCTTTTAGAAGATGGCTGGAATACAGAGTCTTAACTCCTGAGACCATGGAGAAGTACGTATGGCATCAGACAAGCACACTTCAACTCAGCCCCCTTAGCTCCATTATCTTTCAGGTATAGCCAAAACCTTTTCTATCTACTTTCCTGCCGCCATGGTGGCATTTGTGCACAGCAAATTCACTGGACCCTCCATTAGACACGGTGGTGACAGCAGAGACACACATGAGTTGGGAGCAAGGCTACTGGACACCCACAGGTATATGACAGTATAGGTCACTGCATTTTCTGAGTAAGCCTTACGTGCCAGGTCTTCTGTTAGAATCTTCAATGTATTATCTTATTTAATTCTCATAGCAGTCCTCAGAGACAGGTTCTATTTTATACCATTTGAGAAGTGGGCAAACTATAAGGGGTGAAGAGAACTAAGAATGGCCAAGGTCACACAGCTATAACCAGCATACATTTCCCAAAACAGTTTTGCTGGTGATTTACATACACTTAACTCCCACAAAAATCACGTAGGGGAGATTGTATATAAATTATTTCCCAGAGAATGGACTGAGCTCAGTGAGATGAAAATTCTTATATAATAAATAACAGGGCTAGAATTCAAAATAGGTATTTCTCACTCCAAAACCTCTGCTCTTTCAATTACGCCATACTATCTCCTCTGTACTTGGACTCAGTGTCACACTCTGGCCAGCCTGTATGAATGGGAATCTTATTTTTATAAACTACTAATAAAGATAATTTCACACATTCTTTTGTAGATCAAATCAAGTAGATAATCTCATGGTGAGACTCTTACAGTCCTAAGACTGAAGATGGTCTGCCTCAAATGTACCAAACTGAAAATAAGTTGGTTCAAACCCCATCCTTTATGTGTAGGTAAATGGTAAATATACAGGATAATTCTCTTCTTGAACTTCTTCAGAGATAAGGACTTTATAATCCCAACGTTCAAAATCATATGCTTGCCATTCACTTTTTTACACCATAGGAAGACATGTGGTGCAATAAATGTTTTGTATGTTTATTCTGTACATGTGTAGTAGAGTTGAAGTTCCTCAAGGTATTAAGTTAATTTTTAAAAGCAAATGTGTATCTCTTATTAGACGATATCATATCTGCCTGTTTGAGTACTGCCAGGATGTAGTTTTAGTTAAATGATTAAAAAAATACACAAAAGAATACATCAAAAAACTGTACTAATTCTGTGAGAGATTAAAGGACATGTGAAAGGTGGTGACTAATTTTAAGGAGTTTATAATCTACCTGGGAGTTTCAATCTTGACATTCCCTGTTTCTCCCTGAAATATAACCCTAGCATCCCTGACTTCCCAGTACAGATACAATTCCACTATAGGGCAAATTACTATCCACAACAAAGAGAGTATTAACTAAAGGTTGACACATGCTATATCAAATCTTCTTTTTGAAAAATATAGAAAACCAAAATAAAAGACAATTATATCATTTATTCAAGGCTAGTTAGCTATCAGGGTTTCTACAAGACTGAAAATTCTATTACTGGATAGATCTCTCCATATATTTCATACATACATTTCATTATTTGGCTCAGTTGTGCTTTCTTACACACACTTCTTCTGAACTTTATTATCCTGTTATGTCCTGATCACCATTTCATTTTGCATAGAGTGCTCCAAATGCTTACCCAATACACTAAGGTGCTAGCCATATTGCTTCTTAAAGTTTCCAAGGGGGGGGGGGGAGTTTCCAAGGAGGACAAGCTCTACTAGGCATGCTTTTAAATCCACCGAATGAATTATTGATGATAGTGATTATTTTTCTGCCAATATTAAACACTGTGGTCCTGGTTAAAATGCTTAGCATGACTGGTATCTAAATTACATTAGCAATTTCTTTTAACTGACTGAACAGAGACACTTTCACATGAACAGGATAAAATATCTCCTGCAGTTTTAAGGTTTCAAATAAAAAAATTAACTGTGTTAGCCACTAGAGGGAGCAGAGAAAGTGCAGATTCAGTTGCCAAAAGGCCAAGAGCATATGGGAAGTTCCCCAGAGAGAAAAGCAGTTAGTCTTTTGCATTGACTGAATCTTTAGAGAGCTAACGTTATTATTTTCAGAGATGTGGAATGAATGGACTGCTTGACCCTACCTATATGAATTGACCAAAAGAATATGAATGTACAGGCAACTAGTCATATACTAAATTCTCTTCCTTTGATCTTTTGAGATTTTTTCCTAGGTGAACATTTGGTTTTCAGGGATGATCAATTTCCAGAGCCAGCAATATGGCCACTTAGGGCTCATTTTTGATGTGTCAGCTGATCTGTATCATTTATTAGGAAAATGGACAAGTGCAATGGAGTAAATGTGTCCCTCCAAATTCATATGGCAAAGCTCTAACCATCAATGTGATGGCACTAAGAGATGGAGCCATCAGAAAGTAATTAGGTTTAGATGAGGTCATGATGGTGGAGTGCTCATGAGAAGATTAGTGCCCTTATAAGAAAAAGAAACACTAGAGCTTGCTCTTGTGCTCACTCTTTCTCTCTCTCCCTCTGCCATGTGAGAGTATAGCAAGGCAGCCATCTACAAGCCAGGAAGAGGGCACCAAAACTTCACCAAGCTGCCACCTTGATGTCAAGATTTCTCAGTCTCTGGAACTGTGAAAAATAAATGTCTGTTACTTACTTAAGCCACATAGTCTATGGTATTTGGTATAGCAGTCCGAGCTAAGACAGCAAGCAACCTAGAACTTTGCTGCCTTGGGGAAATTTCAGTAAGTGCATATTAAGCAAATACTGTGTGCACTGCACCATGTTTTAAGCTGCACAGGACCCCAAGAGCAATAATACCTGATAATATTACAAAAGTGGGACGAAGTAGGAAGTTATAAGCTGAGGAGACAAGGTCGCTGTGAGTGGCATGAGAAGGTGTTGGTACATGAAGGCCCACGGGCCAAATCCAGCCTATGTCTGTTTTTGTGGCAAAGTCTTACTGAAACAGCCATGCTCACTCATTTATGTATTGTCATTGGCTGTTTTCTAGCTATAATGTTATAGTTGAATAGTTTTATAACAGAGACTGCATGGCCTGTAAAGCTTGGAATATTTACTCTTTGGCCCTTTACAGAAGAGTCTATCAATTCCTGCCTAGGGAAAGGATGATAAAGGGCTGAATTAGGGATACGCTTGTGGGAATGGAAAGAAAATAAGTTGTTAGAGTATATAGCATATCTGAGATTTAAAAAAATTCCCATAGTCTGTGATATGCTCTGCCTGTACAACCCAAAATATGAAATCTGAAAGGCATCTGGCATAAAATGTGCTTGGTTATTAATGTTCTAAGTATAAAAACTACACAAGAGATGCAAATGCATTTTTTTTTCTTTACCTCCAACAAAAGATCAATTAGTGGAGTCTGCTTGCTGGCAGGAGTAAGACAGAGGTTGTCAATTATTAAGACTCGCATGAAGTCAAAAACAAATTTTTTGGCTGGGTGATTGGTCAGATAGGTCTTTGTGCCCACATTGCAATATTCTGACTGGCTTCTGTTCATCCCCGTGTCTGCTGCAAAGGCTTTAAATTCTTCTGCTGGAGATCCAACTTCATCATCAAGATCAGTCACCTGGTAAAATCAAGCAGGAGTATATGCTAATCATATTTGATTTTATATGATATTTTCACTTTCATGTTTCCTAAAAACTAAATTACAGTAGCAACAGTATTTCCCTTCAGTCTTTTACCTCGTATTAAGCTATTCAATACATTACTTCACTTTGCTTATTTAACTCTCATTTCAAGGTAGCAACCGGGAACCACATGTCATGGTTACTTAATGCATGGTCTTTCTGATATTAAGCTGACCAGTCACTAACCGTGTATCTGTTTTATGTTGAATTTTAGCTCTATTGTGGATAACTGTGCTTAAAATAAATGAAATGAGAACATTATTTGCATATTGAAATACAGCTACTGAGAAGTCAAATGTCACAGAATTTCAGAGAAAGATCTGGCACAATGGTAGCCCCTAAGGGCTGATCCGCTTTTGCAAATTAAGAAAACCCCAGATCAATAAACAAAATAAAACCAGGGCTGATTTTGAGCCAACAGGAAAAAAAAAGACCAAAAGACAGATTATAAATTGCTAAGAAGGAAAAGGTGTTGAAATAATATTGTCTGTTTAAAAAATATATATATATATATAAATCCATATACATATGGATTTAAAAATCCATATTTATAATTTTATATTATATTTATAATTATATTTATAATTAAATATTTATAAATCCATATGCATATGGATGTGGCTATATACATATTTATATATAGGATTTAAAAATTACAAACAAGCCAAGGTATTAAGGTCATGTGTTTTATTTCTCTTTCTCCTAAATTCCCCACATTTTTATAATGAGTTTTTCACCTTTATACATGAGGAAAAATTAGTATGAACAAGGCAGTTTATTTTAGACCCTAGAATAAGTGGTAAAATAGAAAACATCATGAAATTCTGAAGTGTATGGAGTGGTAACTGTCTCTGGAGCTTTGTTTTAAAGGACAGAAGAAGTACCTGTATTACCTATGATATAGTCTAATAATTTTCTATTAAAATACTATAAAATATTTTAAAAGTTGAACAAAATAAGTAAAGCTGAACGAAGAAGACACAGACCTCATTTTTGTATAAAGACAACCAATCCTATAATTAATCTGTAAAGACTAAGTCCAGGAGATGCCTAATTTCTGAAATAAATAAAGTGGAGACCAATTCAGACTGACCAGAGTTCTGTGACTTGAATACGACATTTCACAACAACACTGCTATGAGCACATAAAGCAAGAAATGGGTCTGCGATGACTTGAAGAGGGAAGTGATTAACCAAGGATTTGCAAGAACACAGTACACAAAACAGGAAGTAGGGTTCACTGCTATTTTAGGGAAAGCAGAAGGAGAGTGTGGGGAGGCGACACCAGACAATAATGTGAGAGGTGAGGCTATTAAAAGCTTAAAAGCTCAAAAGCTTAAAAGACTGGGAAGAAAATGCTGCTAACCATTGGAGCCGAGTAATTCCAGTTTGACATTCCCTCTGCCCCCTTTCCTACCATCTCTGAGTAAGGGCGGATGTTGAAGGGGAAGACCGTGGCTGCTAATGCACACAGGAAGTCAGGGCTCATCCACATGGAAGCCAGGTCGGGAACGTTGTGATATAAGTATCTAAAGAACTGCATCAGGGTCACAGGATATTCTCGGAGCCAAGATCCCTCTTCTTCTGATTGCCAAGGCTGTCATGGGGACAAGAAGAGAAATAATATGTTAGAAAAACTGACACTGCTAAAAATTGCTTTAAAAATACATTACTCACTGCTTTTCTAAAACTGGGTATGTTGATGGTTCAGAACTCTTACGAACTACACACATGAGCAAATATACATAAACAAATCTAGAAATGAGCTAAAACAAACACAATTCTAGAGACTGGCAGAAGGTTTCTCTATTCACTGATATACTCACAGCTCAGTAACTGGAGTCAGTGGTTTTAATTATTTATCATTATCACCATGAGTATAGTTGGTGCCAGTAGTGGCTGTATTATCCACAAAGCTGTCCCATCCTCCATCATGTGAGAATTAGGAGTAACATAAAAGATGGGGAAGTTACTTCACCTTTCTGAACCTCACACTGTCATATGTAAAATGACAAGAATAACACTTCCAACAATATTCAACTGTAATATTATGATTTATAATAAGAAATATATATACTTGGTCTTTTTCCCGTCCCATTCTTGGCACAGAGGTACTAAAACCCTTGGAATGTCCTAAGAAGGGACACAAAGGTGTCTTTCATTAATCATAACAAACCCCTTTCAACCACAGCTGAGTTAATGTTAATGATCAGACTTAAGGAAAGCCCTGAAAGATAGAGGCTTGCCAGGGGAACCAACCACCTGATTAGAGGGTCAGAACTTTCAGAACTAACTAACTGCACTTCCTAACTTCTGCACTTCCTAACTTCTAGGGAGGGGAGAGGGACTGGAGATTGAGTTCAGTCACCAGTGGCCAATGATTCAATCACGTCTATGAAATGCAGCCTGCATAAAACCCCTAAAGGACAGGGTTTGGAGAGCTTCTACGATGATGGACAGAGGTGCTGGGAGAACAACAGGTGGAGAGGACATGGAAGCTCTGTGTCCTTCCCTATACCTTACACTCTACATCTCTCCCATCTGGCTGTTCCTGAGTCATATCCTTTTATAATAAATTGGTAATCTAGTAAGTAAAATGATTTCCTGAGTGATTTGGGAACCTCCAATGTATAGCTGGCAGGTCAGAAGCACAGCTAACAACATGGACTTTTGACTGGCATCTGATGTGGGGGTAGGGAACTGCAGTCTGGTGGGAATGATGCTATCTCCAGGTAAACAGCATCGGAACTGAACTGAGCTGTGGACACCCAGCTAGTGTGGTAAACACCCCCATGTATTTTGTGACCATAGTGTCAGAAGTAAAGCAGTGTTATAGCAGAGTGTTGGGAGTGGAGGAGACACATAAGAGTGTGTTTTTTCCTTAAGAGCAATTCAACAGGGTAGCCCAGGTGGCTCAGCGGTTTAGTGCCTGCCTTTGGCCCAGGGCGTGATCCTGGAGACCCGGGATGGAGTCCCACATCGGGCTTCCTGCATGGAGCCTGCTTCTCCCCTCTGCCTGGGTCTCTGCCCACACCCCCCGTGTGTGTGTCTGTCATGAATAAATAAATAAACTCTTTAAAAATATATACATATCACAGGCAGGAGGAAGTACCAGCAGGTTTAAGTATGTCTGTAAACTTACTGAATTCAGCATGCTGCGGAGCATCCCCAATAATAAAAAAGCAGCTTCTGTGCACACATTATGGATAGAAGAGACCACAGTTCCACTGGAGGCAGGAACTCCAAAGATGAATGTCCAAATGGAATCTAAATCAAACTGCAGAGGTCAAAGTGAATGAAGATTAGCCACTGCCAATTTTTTCACCTAGAGTCCCTTACAAGTTCCAATATTCTAAGACTTCAAAACTAATTAGGTTTTTTTCAAAGTGATCAATGATGGAGAGATAGATCTAGCATTCTTCCCTCCTAAATTCTGAAAATTTGTAAATTTTTACATTTATAAAGAAAAGAGAATACTATGTATCATCCTGTCTTAGGTACCTATGTTAAAAACATTGTTTTCTACTTTTTTTCTGTAACGAAAACAAACAAAAAGAAAGTACATGCTAATTAACCAGGAGATGATATTATAGAACTGAGATTTTAAGCACAATCTTTTAAAAAAAGCATGTGGGACTCACTTTTTTCCCCCCTCTCCTAGCAATGTTCTAATTCACTTTTAGGTTACATACAGATAAGATTTGACAAAATAAAAATCAATTGAGGAGACTTATTCACAGCACTTTTATATAACACTTTATGACTATGGTGTCATGCTTATTTTGAAAAATTATATAACCAACCAAACTCTGTTAAGCCTGAATCTATAGTATTGTGACTTAATGTAAAGGTACAGACTTTGTTTTGGTTTAAAAGGTTTTGTCAATTACTAGAATAGATCTGAATTAGCATTTGGCTTTATGATGGAAGTATAGTAATTGAGTTGAAAACTAAATTCCTAAGTCATAAGCTATATATAGATATCCACAATAGTCTTCAACTAGGATTCAAATAAAGCTTTAGTGTTTTCCTAAAGTGGATGTCACCAATCATTAAGAAATTTAAAACATTTTTGTAATCAGAACTTGCACTAAAAATCCTATCCAATTAATTCATGGTATACATACCACTCTCTTTATTTTTATTTCTATAGAAATGACATTATACTTTTAGATAAAATCACATCACTTGGATTCTTCAAGTCACCATTAAAATACCACCCAAAGTCTTTATGCACACAGGATCATATAATCAAAAACAAAACAAAACAAAACAACAAAAGACGAAACCAAAAAACCAAATAGGGAAAAAGGACTTTTTGCAAAAGTTTTCCACGGTATCTTCAGATTTTTCCTCCCAAATCAAATTCTAACTGTGAGAAAGGGATGGAAGCCTTTCGGTTTTACTGTGAGTAACCGATCACCATGTGGTGATTTTCCGGCACATATAATCACACTTACGCCTTACTAGATAATTCCTACCTGGCAACCCTGCTTACATCGGCTGCTGATGACAGGCACACTGACCTGCAGGTTCTCAGGCAGCTCACTAACTGGCTGCTGTAGAAACAATGCCATGAGGAGAAAATAGAGAGCAGGGACATTAGTGTGTTTAGGAAGGAATGACTGAAGAACTGGGAAACCAGGAAAATGACAAGCATCCCGGTTAATCTCCCTGACCGTCGATCTCCCGCCAGCACTCCTGCCCACATTGAATCCTAAGAGGAGAGGAAACGTAACAGTAAGTACAAGCTGAATAACTGATTGCCTTGCTGTATTAACAAAGAAAGGAGTAATTCACTACATGTGACATTTCTACCCAGAATATCCGTATTAATACAGGCAATTAACTATTCCATTGTTGAATTAATCTTCCAGTTAAAAGTTCTACTTTACTATCTCTGATTTCAGCAAGCCTGTCTATTGGAGTACAGGTCTTGAAAAATACTTGAGACAATCAGATACAAGAGGTAATGTAAATTCTCCTCATTAAAACAATGCCCTTGTGAGCTCTAAAATTTCCCTAAGAAGAAAATAAAATTCAAAATGTGGCCAAAAGTTAGGATATACAAAAATGTACCTTAAAAAACAAAAATTGCTGTAATTATATTTAGCATGTAATTATAATTAACTATATTTAGTTAATATGTCGTTTGTCCTGAAGATCATGTTAAACTAGTTGATTGCAAATTATGTACAAGTTTTGAGACAAGACAAAATAAAATAAATCCTTCCTCACAACATGATCCGTGATTCTGTTGGAAGGTTGCCCGGCGCTGGGACAGCAAATCTGAGTCTGCTGTGACTGTGGCTATCTGAATGAACAAGCAGAGTTCTTCCTAGAAATACAGCTCTGCTAGGAAATGGTCAGTGCTTATGGATGTGGCTTACATAGCATCTGTCTTTCTGTCAATCCTGATCCTTTGGTTATGTAACTAATCAGGATACAACTACAACTTGAATATTTAGTCCTTTTGCCTCCCCATACCTAGTGCAATGCTTGGCACAGAATAAGTGTTGGCCAGAGTTTCAATGTAAAACTCATATGAAGAGCAACCAAGAGATGAAGGATTTTTATTTACCCTGAAGCAATTTTTATTTCAAATGAATATTCATTTTTTTCTTACAATTTGTTTTTTTCTAGGATGAAGTGAGCACATATTTGCTACTATTTAAAATAATAAAAGAGAAGTTCGTCTAGCTAGCTTTTTAATGATTCCATCCTAAGCAACTTACTGTGATGTGAATTAATGTCCTGAAGTTTTTTCTAATTAAAAAACTGCATAGCAATTTGCCAATCTCTTTCATATTATCATCTCATTTCTCAAACACAATAAATATGTGAGTTAGAAATTGCTATGATTATTTTTATATGGATGGAAATAAGTTTATGTGGAAAATATGCAATTTGTTCAAAGTCACAAAGCTGAAGAGTGGTGGCCCTAGGACTCCAGTAAGTATGTCTCTATTTTAGTAAGAGAGACTAAAGTAAGGAGACTCCAGCCCGATGTCTCTATTTTAGAGTTTGTAAAGTTACACTATCTCCCTTGGCCTTCTTAAGGACACTGGCACATTTCTGAAAGACTGGCTGCAGTGGGACACTGGTGGTTTTTGCTTATAGTGAATTCTAAGCTACAAAAAAAAAGTCTTGAGTTTTAAGAAGTCAGAAGACATAAAGTAATAATTTTATACATTCAATAGGAAAATAAATTTTGAACAAATTACAGGTTCTAAATGAAAACTAGTACCAGCATTTATTTCCTTTCTAAATTCTCACATTCTACTTTTCCCTATAATTAATTTTAAGGAATACTTAGTATGTTACTAACAATTAAGATTCAAGTTAAAGCTATGTAGAAGGTATTTTATAAAGAAAAATTTGATAAAAACTAATAAATGTGAATAAAACATGCAAGAACAGGTTGCTCACATCAAATAGAATCAAATTATATATATATATAATATATATATATATCTGTCTACAAATATATATATGTGTGTTATCACACAGGTATTTAGGAAAATTAAATTGAATCAAATTTATATTAAACTTAAATTCCTAGATTTCTTTTTTAGAATAAGAGAAGCATATGCAATTTGTAAGCAGAATGAAGGACAAATAAATTCTAAGGCATGAAGTCAGGTAGGTCAGATACAGAAAAAGCATCTTTTTCTGATATTACTGAAGTGACACAGGTCAGACAAAAGAACAGGATTACCATTTAGAAGACAGCTACTTAGACACTATTATTGTCTGACTCAGGAACCTAATGCACTTAACAGTGTTACTTTCCTAGTTAGAGAAATCAATCCTTAATTTGTATTTATTAGGTTTATTTCCTATACAGTATAACTTATGATAAAATATACATCTGCCTCCAGAATCATTAAGCTCAAAGGAGATGACACATGTTAAAAGACTTTGGCAAACCACAATGTGCTGTATGAATCTTAGGTGCTAACACTACTGTGGGTGGTTTTGGCTTTTGATGAGAAACAGTGCTATCAATTGGTATTTAAAACTCACACATTCAACAGAACACACATTCAGCAGAATTCGCATTTATTGCTTACTCTCCTAGCAGCTATCATTAAGGTCAACGAGTGAAATCTCTTGCTTTCAAACTGTTTATAATAATGTTTGTAGGTTATATCCCTCTCCTAAGGTCATTGCAAAATAGTGAGACTTTTTAGATCATGAAAGTATATATATAATGATAATTTAGAATACATATTTGAAAGCCAAAAATTTTCTTGAGAAATCATTTCACAGTGAATTCTTTTCTTCATTACAAAGTTTCTTCAGCCATTCTCCAAATAAAATAACAATAAAATCATCTTATGCTGTAAAATCTGTCTTCCTATCATTTTCCTTAATATTTGAGAAAGCAGTGTAGGCAACACCTAGGTACTGATGCTTTTACATTTTTTTTTTTACAGATAAGTTGCATATTCAATCTGGACTCCTAAATAACACGGGCAAATATGTATTCTTGATGCTTTATTCCAGACTACAATTACATAGCATTTTAAAATGTAATGTTATAAAGAAATATATTTTCAAAATACTTGAATTAAAAATACCTTAAGAATTGAATGACTATAATTTTCAATAAAAACATCATTTTAAATATATATTTTCCAAAACAATGTCATTAATGTGAACAGAAATATAGCAGTTCAAATGAATCTAACATAAGAAACTATAATTTTCTAATTTTACTTAAATGCTTAGTTCCATGTTAAAAACAGCATAGAACTAGCAAGCAGGTAATAGGGAACTTTGGCTGAACTTTGAGCTTAGATCTTTGAGAGGCAATATAACTATTAAAAGCACAGTTTTATTGAATCTAATTGACCTGGATTCAATTTTTGATACTTCCTCACTGACAAGTGACTTCATCTGTATGCCTTGGTTTTCTCATTCTCTAAAATGGGTGTGATAGTATTTATACCTCTTGGGACTATTGTGAAAATAAGTTATTGTGAAAATGAAAATGTTTAGTAACTGGCACAGAATTGGCACTCAAAATACTGATTGTTCTTAATTTAGTTTTTGATAATTTGCTAATTACCTACTTACAGATCAAAAAGGGAACTATAGAACAACAACAAAAAGAGAATAAGGGATTCTCTTGAGTTTTCACATTGTTAATATCCTGTGTCTGACTTTAGTTTGATTTGTAATTAAAAATGCCAAATTTGAAACTAAGTTTTTTATTCATTTGTTCACTCATTAAAATTCATAATTCTGGGGCACTTGAGTGGCTCAGTCAGTTAAGCATCTGCCTTCGGTTCTGGTAATGATCTTGGGGTCTTGGGATCGAGCCCTGAATCAGGCTCCCTACTCATCTGGGAGAGTCTGCTTCTCCCTCTCCCTCTGCCCCTCCCCCTGCTCGTGCTAGTGCTTGCTCTCAAATAAATAAAATCTTTAAAAAAAATAATTCATGATTCTTAATGATTGTCAGATAAATTGAAGAGTATATAAGCTTTGATAAGATTTTAAAAAAACAAACAAAATACAAGAAAGCTTATTTTTAAAGCAGCTGATGGTAAGTCCCATACCTAATACAGTTCCAATCTTATTAGTTAAGACAGAATCTGTCTGTTCCAGCCACCCTCCACCGCTGAGTCCTTCCTTAAATTTGATGAGGATAGACTGATTACTCAGTAGCACAACAAGAATCCTCATGGCTGCCGTAACTGTGGTGGAATGCAAGTGTTCTTCCATAAACATCATAATCCAGTCAAAACCCAGTGTCTTGACCAGTTCTTCACAAGCTCTATTTAAAGGCAGATGAATTCAGAAGAAAAAAACAGAACATTAATTTCAAGGATTAGTACTCAAAATTTCAAGAAAGACTAGTTTTGTTTGAAGATACTGTAAGTTGCAGGGTTCAAAAAATCTATTAAAAGTCAGTAGCAGGTCTTCCTTTACTCTGATTTAACTAGTAATAGACACTGCTACCATCAAGTCTAAGAAAATTTTACTTACTGCAAATTAATGCTTGTCTTTTCTTTAGATGTGTAAACTAGTTTTAACAAGATATCTAGAAGTCTGTTCCTCAAAAGTATAAGATTAGCAGACACAAGACCTCCAAACTCTTCTTCAGTTCCTAAAATGAAAATATATATATTAAATTGCCTTAGTAGATAAACCAGTATAAAATACACAACATTGTTCTCGGAAATCTCACTGAAAAATACATTTTTTAGGAAATATTTTCTCTAGGAGTGCTTTCCACTAATGTGGACAAGCAGAAGCGTCTATTAACTACTTCTCTTTAGAATCCTGAAAATTGTTCATTACATTTGACATATCTAAAACAAGTAATAAAAGGATGTAAACCCTTTCTTAAATATTATTTGCCCCACCAGTAGAGTGAAAATAGCCATATGAATAAAAATATCAATCCAAATTCTTAATTGCCAGTTTCATTTTGAAGGATATAAATAAATTTACAAGATTTAAAAATGAAAAATAGGAACATAAACTACTCAATAAATTTGTAATGTATAAAAGAGAGATAAATAGAGCTACCCTATGACCCAGCAATTACACTACTGGGTATTTACCCCAAAGATACAGATGTAGTGAAACACCAGGACACCTGCACCCCAATGTTCATAGCAGCAATGTCCACAATAGCTAAACTGTGAAGGAGCTGTGTTGTCCTTCAACAGATGAATGGATAAAGAAAAATGGAATATTACTCAGCCATCATAAAGGACGAATACCTAACATTTGCTTCGACATGGATGGGACTGGAGGATATTATGCTGAGTGAAGTAAGTCAATTGGAGAAGGACAATCCTATGGTTATACTCATACATGCAATATAAGAAATAGTGAAAGGGATTATAAGGGAAAGGAGTGGGAAAAATTAGAGAGGGAGACAAATCATGAGAGACTCCTAACTCTGGGAAACAAAAAAAGGGTTGCAGAAGGGGAGGTGGGCGGGAGATTGGATAACTGGCACTGAGGGCACTGAGGGGGGCACTTGATGGGATGAGCCTGCGTGTTATACTATATGTTGGCAAATTGAACTTCAATAAAAACAAATGAAAAAAAATAAAGAAGACTTAGAATTAAATAGCATAGAAGAGAGGCAAAGGCACTCAAATGCACAAGAGAAAAGGGAAAAGAAAGGGAGGAAAGCAGAGAACTTATGGTTCTCAATGGATAGGACTGGAAGCACAAAGGACTGGCATCCATGGCCAGGTGTTCCAGACCCAGGCCTGACAATGATGGGCTCTGGCTTGGTAAATCACAATCTCCAGGCCTTCCTTTATTCTAGAACTGAAGCTCGGGCTAAACTTGGACTTTCAATGGTCATTTGCTTTTATTTGTTTGGGCAAGGGATTCCTTTCATCCTTAAACATTGTCTTTTAAAATGCTAATTCTGGGATCCCTGGGTGGCGCAGTGGTTTAGCGCCTGCCTTTGGCTCAGGGCAATCCTGGAGACCGGGTCCCACGTCCGGCTCCGGCTCCCGGTGCCTGGAGCCTGCTTCTCCCTCTGCCTATGTCTCTGCCTGTCTCTCTCTCTCTCTCTCTCTCTCTCTCTCTCTCTCTCTGTGTGTGGACTATCGTAAATAAATAAAAATTAAAAAGAAAACTTTAAAATGCTAATTCTGTGCCTTAATCATTGGGAAGGGTGCTTCAAGTTTACCAAGGGAGATTCAAGATTCCCTTCTCTTCTAAGAGGTAAGACTGATATTTTATAAACTGCTTTATTAAAAACATACCATACAATCTAAATTGAGATACAGAGAGCTTCCTTTCAATTATTCCTTTTCAGTAAAATGGTGATCCACCCAGAAGTGAAAAATTTTCCTTAGACTGATTGATTGTTTGATTTTTCTCCTTAGATTTACATCTAGTTTTCTCACTGTTAGTTTTGCTTCCCCTAATTTTAAAATATAAAACAATAAAACTCTGAATTTCCAGCTTAACCTCTTCCCACTCAGACTGATGCTTTCTTCCATAGTGCACTACCCTTTTATGGTATTTTATTTTCCACTGATTATTATATTGCTGTTCTGCATTATTTAAGCAATCTTCTTTTTTGTAGATATATCCTGAATGTTGTATTAATTACTTCAAAGAATAAACTATGGTTTTAATTTTTTTGGAACATCACATTGCAGTTAATATAGTCTTTTGTAAAATACTTTTTTTTCTTTTTTAAATAACATCTTTAATTAAAGTTTTTGCAAGGTAAAATTAAACTTAAAAAGTCTTAGTCTTTGTAAATACTTTTTTTCTTTTTAAATAACATCTTAATTAAAGTTTTGCAAAGGTAAAATATTAAACTTAAAATAGGTCTTAGTACATCAAAATACTAAATTCTCTAACTGTATTCCAAGATGGTCTTTAAAACATAATATCCTGTATATCACAGAAGAGCAACCTTGATCTGCAACTGTACAGAATGAATTTTACAAACATAATAAATATACTTACGCCCTTATACATAACAGCATGTACAACAGCAGTTGACAATAGTAGCTCAGAATATCAAAAGGATTAGCCCCTCCCCCAAAATTGTAGCCCTGACACATATTGGACCGATTTAAGGAACCGATTTAAGGAACCTCCTGTCCATGTCAAATAAACAGCAAATGCCCTATACTATCAAGACCAGTAGTATACTTCTGATTTTTTCTATTATTTCAAATGTCAATGAAATGATGAGAATACCAGTCTGATTAACCTGGCAGATCAACAGAAAAATTTAGCAGTTTATACATTTCCACCACTGTGCTCTTCTCAAAGAAAATGTTATATTAGTTGTACTAACTGAATTCAATAGCCAGCAAGAAATATGGAGACTAGAGAAATACTTTTCATATATCTTTTTAATATTTGAAAAAATGTTATATATTTCCAAAGATTTTTTAAAGGGCTTTTGCTAATAGCAATTTACTTGGCTTAGATTAATTAATTCAGAGCTAAGAAATAATCCTTGCAAATGGCAGAAAAATGTAGTGGTCAAAAAGCTTCCAGTGTTGGTCTGGATTATCTGGGTTCAAATGCAAGTAGTATGATCTCAGGTAAATTTCTTCTACTTAATCTTTCTGGGCCTCAGTTTCTTCCCTTGTAAAACTAGGATAACAAAAATACTTACTTCATAGGATTGTTATAAGAATATAAAAAGCACTTAACCAGTGCATGGCAGATATTAGACACTCAGTAAGTATTAACCATTGATTTTATCTTTAGGCTTCTCATCCACTGCTAATCTGCTTTATCAAAGAAATATCAACATTGTTCCAAATAAGTATAGGAGTAGATGAGTGGTCAGCAGCAGCCTTATGTTCCGCTATAATTTGCAGGAAATCCCAGGTTTAAGGAATTTAAAGAGACTCTTAAATCCAAGGTTCTCTTTTGAAAAACATGATTATAACACTTTCTCTTCTTATTCATGAAGCACCAGAGAGGCTGTGTTCCAGGTGGTATAGCCAACAGAGGAAAACACCTTTGTGTGGTACTGATTCAACAGCATTGTTTCTCCACTGTCCAGATGGATAGTGGTATAAGGAAAGTCATTTATGTGATATGATTTAGGAATAATAGGATAATAATGGAAATAATGCTGACAAATATAAGATATTGTGAATTTAATTACAAGTTAATGTAAAAGGTTCTTTCAATGCTTTCCCAACAAATCTATCCTAGAATACATAAAAGGAAAAATATGGACCAGAAGGGGAAAAAATATGCATCAAATGAAGAAAGGTTAAAAAAGAAAAGTGGGGGTGCCTGGGTGACTTAGTTGGCTAAACATCCGACTCTTGATTTTGCCTCACATCATGATCTCAGGGTCCTGGGGTCAAGCCCCATGTCCTCAGGCTCCACTTGCAGTGGGAGTCTGCTTGATACTTTCTTTCTCCCTCTCTCTGCTCCTCCCCCTGCTCATGGTCTCTAAAATAAATAAATCTTTAAAAAAGAAAAAAAAGTGGTTTTCATGGGCTCAGAATCCCACAACTTATGAAACTATTTTTATTTTTATTTTTTTAACTATTTTTATTTTATACTTACATAAAATGATTCCAGTAAGTGTTTTTCCCTGATTACTAAATATTTCATAGGAAAATGAAAATAAGTTATATAGATATAATTCATACTATCAAGTATCTGCGTTTCTGAAGAGATGTATATAAATTTTTAAAAATTAATATTCAAAAATCACATAGAATAGAGTTTGCTATTTAAAGGATCACTGCTATGAATCCTCTAAGATTTAATTAATTAATTCTATTTTTAATTTTTTTTACACAGTGATTTGACATCTATATATGTTATGCTATGTTCAACCACATGTGTAGGTAGCTACCATCTGTCACTATACAACATTTACAATATCACTGACTATTCTGTACCTTTCATCTCTGTGACTTTTCTTTTTCTTTTTTTACTGCTTTAAGAGTTTTTTTTTTTTTTTTTAATTTTCTTACAATTAACATACAGTATTGTAGGGGCACCTGAGTAGCTCGGTTGGTTGTGTCTGCCTTTGGCTCAGGTCATTATCCTGGGGTCCTGGAATCGAGCCCTGAATCAGGCTCCCTACACAGCTAGGAATCTGCTTCTCCCTCTCCCTCTGGACCTCCCCACCCCTACTTGTGTGCTCTCTCTCTCTCTCAAATAAATAAATAAAATCTTTAAAAAAAGAAAAACAGGGATCCCTGGGTGGCGCAGCGGTTTGGCGCCTGCCTTTGGCCCAGGGCGCTATCCTGGAGACCTGGTATCGAATCCCACATCGGGCTCCCGGTGCATGGAGCCTGCTTCTCCCTCTGCCTGTGTCTCTGCCTCTCTCTCTCTCTCTGTGACTATCATTCAGAAAGAAAGAAAGAAAGAAAGAAAGAAAGAAAGAAAGAAAGAAAGAAAGAAAGAAAGAAAGAAAGAAAGAAAGACAAACATATATTAGTTTCAGGTCACGATTCAACAATTCTATACATTTCTTAGTGCTCATCAAGTAAAGTGTACTTTTTTTTTTTAAGATTTTATTTATTTATTCATGAGAGACACAGAGAGAGAGAAAAGCAGAGACACAGGCAGAGGGAGAAGCAGGCTCCATGCAGGGAGCCCGATGTGGGACTTGCTCCTGGGACTCCAGGATCATGCCCTGAGCCAAAGGCAGACACTCAACTGCTGAGCCACCCAGGCACCCATGGTAAGTGTACTCTTAATCTCCCTTATTTCACCCATCTCTCTACCCACCAACAGGAAAGATTTTAGTTTTTAAGTAGAATTCACACCCTATTAAGTTCCATAGGTAATTCTGTATATGCTTATTATATAGGCTTGACTTAACATAAATACATCTGTGAAAGACCATGAAAAGTAATGTAAGGAGAAAAGTAATATAATAGCATCACATATAATTATAAATTGTGCAAGAAAACAGGGCATAGCAATTAGTTTTCAAGCTCCAGACTGGACTCACCAGTATCAAGCTTCTCTTCATTGTTTATTTCCATAACTACAAATTTCTCACAAACCGCAAATGTTGGTAAAGTAGAAGAAATAAACTGGCCAAACCTTTAAAAACAAGAGAAAAGTTATGGATTTTAGGCTTTTTCTCTCCCCAAACACAAAGAAATGAAAAAATAATACTTCTTGTTTTAACTAATCTTTTATAGACCTTTAAGAGATTGTGTAAATTTTACTTCCCCTAGGAACACTGTAATTAACATTATATGTTACAATATTTTAAAACATAGGATAAAATATATTTCTCCAGAAATTAGGCCTTTAATGCACTAACCCTTTAATGCATTTTTAAGAACTGAACAGTATGATCCAAATTAAAATGTCCTAACATTATCTATATGGATCCACTGTAGCCTGCTAATTAAGAACTTTGGTTTTAGAAACATGGGTAATGTTAAAATCCTGGCTCTACCAGTTTTTAATCTTGTTACTTGAGGCAGGTAACTTAACCTCTCTAGGTTTTAGTTTCTAAATTGGTAGATAAAAATAAAAACTTGATGGGTTTCAGTGATAATTTTAGCAAAATGATTATTATAGTTCCAGAATAAGATTTAAATAGTTACTGTTAAAAAACAAACACACTAATCTCCAAAATAATTTTCAAACTCCAGTTTTAAATCTGTTGCAAAGTTACAAAAATGTCCTTAAGGTAAATAAATATTAAAAAAAAAAAAAACCATGGTACACAGATTAGAGACTAGTCTATAGGGAATATTCTAATCAGTCAGCGTGGTTTTACCTGTGATACCTGGGCAAGTACGTGAAAAGTGATCAAATTGAGTTTAAGGAATTCTCTACTTGGAAAATACTTTGGTTAGGCTGCATTTTCCTTCCATTTTAAGATGGGAATTACCATGTAGATATTAAAATTATTCTACAGACAACCTGTAAATATGCCTTAAGCCATTTCTCATTAGCTGCAAAATAATAAATCATATGAAAGGTTTGAATATACAAAAATAAAATCTCATCATCTGTTTGGGTGACAGAAAATAAATATATAAAAGAGATGGCATGCCCACTACAGGGGGCAGGGTAGGAGATTGTGCACAATTGGCACATACACTTGAGAAGTAGCAGGGCTTAGGGAAGATGCACCGAGAATTCGTATACTGAACACATTTAACGTATAGGACAATCAATGTTGCTGGGCTCAGTCCTATATATTTTCTTATTCACTAGTGGCAACAACTGATTTTGCTATATAAATACAAGATACTGATACATGCATATTTTTATGCCTTTCAAGTATCTGGAATATTAACATTACAGGTATGACACATGCATAAGAACCAATTACATTTGTCTCATTCACTTTAACCTCACTGATACTTTTAGTTAATATACAGATACAGAAGTTTTCACTACCTGAGGAGATCATTGCTATTGGGAAAACCTTGCAGTAAGAAGCTCAGCACATTACTAATAGCAGCAATAGTAGGTTGGGATAAAGACATATCTCGAAGAGTCAGTAGCAACTTGGGAATTAGCTGGAATTCCCTCATTAATTTGGCATTCTTTGAAGCTTCACTGTAAGAGAAAGAACATTTTATATAGACCAAGTTATCATCTCTTCTATTACTGAACAATTAACTTATGGATATTAACTAATACCTGGACTCGGTGAGTAGTTCAATAAAATGTTCAAATAAGGAAAGATGAAGTTCATATGGTGCATGGAGCCAAACCTACAATAAAAACAAAGAATAGTGGTACATTTAGGGTTAAAAAAACACCCCGAATGACTATCCAACAAACATACATGCAACACACAAACTTATTTCACTTATATAGTTGACTGAATATAACCACTTTATAAAATTTTATAATATTTTATAATATTTGGCGAAGTCCTATAAAAATGCTAACGCATAAAACTTCTGGTTCTATTTATAAAAGATTAATTGCTATGGAAATTACCCTCCAAAACAACTGGAAAGGTAAGACGTATTGAAAAATCATCTGTAAATCAAGGACTGAATATTATTACTGAATACTGAACACAGCATACAGAATAGAATGAATACTGAGTGCTGCATCCAGCAGACAAAGACTGAGTGACTGGAATCTCATGTGGAGTCCAAAACTGGAATCAATCACTGCAGTTGAGTACAACAAACAATTCCTGGAATTTATGAGTCTGAGACTAGTCTGTAGCCCCACCAAAGAGCATGGAGACTTCCTAATATATAGGGAGTTGAATAGAGGCCCTAGAAGTGAAATACCTGAGTAATGGGGCTAAATTAGTACTAAAGGTTACTCTAGGTCCACCCTAACAAATATTAAAAGTGTGACTCAAAAAGATAAATACAATGTTAAAGTTCATACTTTTATAATGGAACACAACAAAATCTAGCACTTACTAATGTAAAATTTAGTATACAATCAAAAATTACCAAGAACACAAAGAAAAAGGAAAATATGATCCATAAGTAGGTAAAAAATCAATTACTATACATAGCCCAGAAATTACAGAGATGATAGAATTATCAGGACTTTTATTTTTTTTTAAAGATTTTCTTATTTATTCATGAGAGGCACACAGAGAGAGGCAGAGACACAGGCAGAGGGAGAAGCAGGCTCCATGCAGGGAGCCTGTTATGGGACTCAATCACAGGACCCTGGGATCATGACCTGAACCAAAGGCAGACGCTCAACCGCTGAGCCACCCAGGTGCCCCTATCAGGCCTTCTTAAAAGTTATTAAAAATATGCTCGAGGAGCACCTGGGTAGCTTAGTCGGTTAGGCAGCTGACCACTGATTTCGGCTTTAGTCATAGTCTCAGAGTCCCACAACAAGCTCTGTGCTCAGTGGGGAGTCAGCTTGAAGATTTCTCTCCCTCTTCCTTTGCCCCCTCCCCCAACTTGCGCATGCTCTCACTCTCTCTCAAATAAATAAATAAATCTTTTTTTTTAAAGCTCCATAAGCTATAGAATATAACCAAAAATATGAACATGAGGAGGAAAAATAGAAAGCAATCAAAGATCCAAAATGAACTTCTACAGAGGAAAAGTAAAATATTTAAAGTGAAAACTATACTGGATGGGACTAACAGGAGACTGGATACTGCAGAAAATAATTCAGTGAGCTTGAAGACACAACAATAGAAACTATTCAAAATCAAGCATGAGAAAAGAACTAAAAAGAAATTACTAGATATAGCATAAGTGACTTGTGGGAAAATATCAAGCAATCTAAGACATATGTAATTGGAGTCCAGAGGAGACTGGGGGAAGGCACTAGGAAAAATAGCTGGAGAAATAATGGCTAAAAAATTTCTAATTTGATAAAAATGACAAACTCACAGATCTAGAAAAGTCAACAAATCCCAAACAGAAGAAAAAGAAAAGACAATGGAGTGATGGACATCTTTAAGGCATAAAAAGAATTTTTAAAAGTCAATTAGAATTCTATTCAAAAAATAAAAAATGAAGACTTTTTCAGATGGGATAACTGAAGGCCAGCGGACAGGCACCATGAAAAATGCTAAAGGTTTTCCAGTTAGAAGAATCATATAAGATGGAAATCAGGTACTACACAAAGGAATAAAAATGCCATGAATATTACATATGTGGGTAAGTATAAAAGAATTTTTAAAATTTTCTTTAAAAGATAACTTGCTATTTAAACAAAAATATAGAAAGTATTATGGAGATCATAAACATACAGAAATAAAATGTTGGACCATAACAGCACAAAGGACAGGATGAAAGAAATCGAAGTTTATCTTTGTAAGGTTTTTATGCAATAGGTAAAGTGGTATAATATACTTTGATGACAGAATGATTTGTTATAAATGTATATTATAAATTTTAGAACAACCACTAAAAAGAAAATGCCTGTAAATTCTATTACTATTATCTTATTTTTATCTGTCAGATGCTGTTTTAAAAATAGGGTGAATTAAGTATTTATAGACTATTATGTTTTGCATTAATTAGGAATGCTATATGATGCCATAAAATGAGAGAGATAATTTAAAATGAAACAAAATATGTTGAGCAACCAAATTTCTGATGTTTGTATATTAGATTTTTATCAGATACTTGAAACTAAAGATAACCCATGATTTAAACATATCAGTTTCCAGATAAAAAAAAAAAGCCAGGTTTGATTAAGTAGGTCTCCTTAGAACTCCTGTAATTCTCTCTGCATACCTTTATCTCTATATTTTTACACATTTTTATTGGTCTATTTATTTGCTCTTCTCTTCTAATGGACTTCTTTATTTTTGCATCATTAGCACCAACAGGATGCCTAGTTCAAACATGCTCAAAAGGTATTTTCTAAAAGAATGAGAAGTTTGTGTGTTACAATTTTGAATATCAGGTTGAGAAATGTATACTTTATTGTTTGGAAGGGAAATCATCAGAAGCTTTTGAATAATTAGTATGATTATGCTTTAAAAAGAATGAGGTCAAAAGATCTATGGATAGGTTGAGGGAAGGAGGAAAGAAGTGGTAGTTACCCTAGTAGGTAAGAGAAGAGTTGATCAGGGCTTGGGCTAGGATGTAAAAGTAGAAACAAGAAGGTAAACTATAGGAAATATGGAAATATAGTCTACAGGACTTAATTTCAGACTGTTTATAAACAGGGAAGAAGAAGAAAGCTGATTTTTCAATTTCAAGCCTCGGTGACTAGGGAAATGGTTTTATTAACAGAAATACAGTTAGAAGGAAGAACTAATTTGGGGGAGGTAGTTAAGTTCAGGTTAGGTGTTGCTGGGACATAAAAATGGAAATGTTGATCAAGAGATCAGAACTAAGTGGGGAACTTAGATGCCAAGCTAGAGATTCAGATCTAGGGCTGAACTTTGTAGAGATGAGGCTGTGGGAAGAACATGAAAGGAAGAAAACAAAAGGGGATCCCTGGGTGGCTCAGCGGTTTAGCACCTGCCTTCAGCCCAGGGCATGATCCTGGAGTCCCAGGATCGAGTCCCACATCGGGCTCCCTGCATGGAGCCTGCTTCTCCCTCTGCCTGTGTCTCTGCCTGCCTCTCTGTCTCCTTCTCTCTCTCTCTGTGTCTCTCATGAATAAATAAATAAAATCTTAAAAAAAAAAAAAGGAAAGAAAACAAAAAAAGGTAAAGAAGTTGGACATCTTTAAGTAAAATAATAAAATTTTCCAAGCCGGAAAATTATGGGGCAAGTAGTAAGAAAGATACAGGAGCTGCAGGCTAGCAAGAGTCAGAAGGTGCAAAAAGAGGGAGACACTGGAGTGCTTGGGTAGCTCAACTGGTTAGGCATCTGCCTTTGGCTCAAGTCATGACCTCAGGGTCCTGGGATTGAGTCCCGTATTAGGCTCCCCTTCAGCAGAGAGTCTGTTTGTCTCTCAACCCCCCCCCCACTTGTTTTTTCTCTCTCTCTCTCAAATAAATAAATAAAATCTAAAAAAAGAGAGAGAGAGAGAGAGAGAGAGAGAGAGAGAGAGCAAATGCAGAATTTGCTCCTGAGCTGCAGGTACTGTAGACGGAGTATGGGCCAGGATGCTAATATGCATTCAAATAAAGTTTCAGGAAAGCAATTAGGGCACATAACCTGTTTTTCTGTTTTATTTTTTGGGGGGTTTTTTTTTAAAAAAAGATTTTATTTATTAATTCATAAGAGACACAGAGAGAGAGGCAGAGGCATAGGCAGAGGGAGAGCGTGATGCGGGACTCAATCCCAGACCTGGGGATCATGACCTGAGCCAAAGGCAGATGCTCAACCACTAAGCTACCCAGGTGCTCACAAAATCTGTTAGGAATTTATTTTTTTTATTTATTTATTTTTATTTATTTATGATAGGCACACAGTGAGAGAGAGAGAGAGAGAGAGGCAGAGACACAGGCAGAGGGAGAAACAGGCTCCATGCATCGGGAGCCCGACGTGGGATTCGATCCCGGGTCTCCAGGATCGCGCCCTGGGCCAAAGGCAGGCACCAAACCGCTGCGCCACCCAGGGATCCCCTGTTTGTTAGGAATTTAAAATAACCGACAAGACAGAGATTATAGTAGTTATGAGAAAGAATGGTTTTGGCCTAGACATTACAGCCAGCAAACATTTAGTACTAGACATCAATCTGGGTGGTAGGGATACAAATGAAGACAGGATCTCTGCACACGTGAAGTCCACAGCCCCACAGGGGAGATATATACTGACATCAAGTGTATAGTATATAAAGTATATAGTGATGAGTTGTAAAGTACTGTGAATGGGAAGTTAAATGGATAAGGGATATATGAGAGTAAGTGGTACCTATTAGAATTATTTAATGAATATACGTTTGCCTCTTATAATGCCAGAGAAAGCAGCAAATTAGCTATAGTTAGATAAATGCCTTATACACCATTTCACTTCTACACTACTTGTAAACTGGAAAACCCCTGGGGAGAAGAAACCCCATCACTATTCTATTTTTGTACTTTACCAATGACATTAACAGGAGCATCATAAAATTATAGAACTTAAACACATCCTAGAGACAAATTTTTTAATACTTAACTCTATCAACATGCAGAGTAAGACATGGATTCATTGACTGCATATTAACAATTAGTGTTCATTTACATACTTCAAAATCACAAAGTAGATCCTGGAAGGCAGTTGAATTTGGAATAATGGAGGTCTCATGTCCACTATCAACAGTTCCCACCAAGGAAAACGTTAGATGGAGAATGTGGCTGTTAAGGAGGGAACGTTTCTTCTTAAGCAGCATCGCCAGCAACTAGAAGAAACAGTATCATATGCCCACTGATTAATCATATCATATACGCGCGCACACACACACACACACACAAACTCTATGTAAAGCAATTCCTTGAGACTTCCAAGCTGATTTCTAAATTTTTATTATGACAATATAAAATTAGAGCAAATCTAATAAGCAGGGTCATCCCAACTACTCTATCATTAAAATATCTTCTACATGAACGCTTTCAATCCACCTATATGTAATTTGTTGCCAAAACATGTACATACAACTTTTTTACTCTTTTTCTCCATTTTATTACATTTCACTACAAGGATTTTTCTTTTGCAACATAGACTTCATAATTTCAAATTTAAAAGGTTGAATGGTAATCTCTGGAATGGATATAGAATTATTAGTCATCCTCATAATGTTGGAACATTTAGAGGGCTCGTGTATTTTCATGAAATGTGGTGAGCAATGCCACAATAATCATTTTGAAAGTTTTGCAAAATAGAACACTTACCAAAATAATGTGATTAAATCTACAGAAAACAAACAGTAAACAGTTTATTCACTAGCAATGAACTGCTGGCTATAGTAGAAGAAGGCATTCATACTTCATCTACACTAAAGAGATTAAATTTTACTCCAAATACTTGTTTCTTTTCTGACAAATAACTTTTTGCTTAAACCTAGTAGGTTGTGGATACATGAATACTGGATATTTTTAATCCCACTTGAGTTTTCAGGACTAGCAATGGCACAGGTATTATAGAGTGGTTCTCACATTCCCTAGGTAAGAGAACGGGGGCGGGCGGTCAGTAAAAGATGACTGGATGTGGAGGGAAGAGACGAGGAAAACAAGGAACTCTCTCAATCTATCACCCATTTAGCAGCTAGCGTGGGCTGGCAATATGACCCTGTTTCATTTCACTCCAATTTCCATAGAGAAAAAGAATTCTAAAGTTGCAAATAGATCTGAAATAACTGAATAACTGAAATAACAAAGCCTAATTCAAGAGTTTATTTTTTTTTTAATTCAAGAGTTTAGGAAACAAGATTTGATGAAATAGGATAAAAAGTTTGAGCCAAAATAAACAATTCACATTCTCACTTGAAATATATTACTTTTACTAAAAAACTACTGACCTTTAAAGTACATTTGGATGAAAAAATTCTTCCAGAGTTTGAAAAAATATAAATAATAATGAAAATTATATATATATATTTTTCCCTAAACATGAAGTAACGTGAGAGTGAAGCTTTATGGTTACAAACCTGGTAGCCCTTGATTCTTTCCATTTCTTTGCTGGCTAGTGGGTTACTCTTGACAACACAAACCAGGGCCTTGACTGCTGCATATAGCCCTTCCACATCAGAAGCCATGGCCACCAGGCCCAGGATGGCTGCCGCTCCACCAATGTACTGCAAAGTAGTGGCAACAGGCTTAGGGACAAATGTTCTTACTCCTGATTAAAAGACAGTGAAAAATAATTAAATTCCCTATGTAAACAAGAACTGAATAAATCATCTTAAGAAATATTTAATTAATTTTAAATTATACTCTATCCTAAAATAAAAATTCTAAATAAAAATTCAAGGTCGGATGTGGAATGTAATAAATGCTAATGTCTACACTCAGAGACGAGGTGGGAGTAAAGGAGTGAGTAGAGAAGGGTGGGGATTCGAGAGCAAGCTCAAAGGTTTTGACTGTGTAGCTTTGGACAGCATAAAGGCAAAGTACAGAGGCCCTGAGAATTCACTTCTGAGGTGAGTGAGGAGAATGCCTGACTAGGTACTGCTGGGGAATAAACTTTGGGAGGGTAACAGCCCTTGAACTCTGAACTGGGGAATGGGTTGTGGATGTCATCCTGGCAAAGACCAAGTATTCCCAAGATGAGCCAAGCAAGGCACTTCAGTAGCCATTACTCAAAACTTTCTAGTTATATAGTCTGAGTAACAGTACACCAGTGACAGTGACGCCAGAAGAGCATAAGCATGTGGAAACACAGCACTAGAACTCACTTCATGTCAACTAAAGAAACCTCGCTTCTATGTTCCTAACTTTGCTTTTTTTTTCTAACCTTGCTTTTAAAAGAAAGCACTGTTTGAATGTCATTTGCCTACTAATCAAGACTGAGTTTTCCAAAAATAAAACTAATATGCATTTTATATTTCTATGTGCTTTGCAGTATCCATAATATTTGCATATATTATGGCACCAAATTTTGAAAACTACTTTCTGAAGTAATTAGGGCCAGTATTACTAGTTTATAGATAAGAAAGTTGAAGTCCAAAAAGCTCAAATGTCTGGTATAATGTCACACAGTTATAGAATAGGAGCAGGAACCTCAATCTCTTGAACTCTTCACTCACTGATTTTTTTTACTATACCATGTGCTGTTATATTTTTGCAAAGGACATAGAGCAGAGCTCAGTAAATACTTGCTGAATTGAATAAAGAAAAAATAACATGTGCATTAGCATAAAGAAAACTGTTTTATAATGCAATGTGGTTATGAAGAAAACCAAAGTTAGGATATGTACACATCACTGAGACAATAAAAGCTGCCAAGGACTGATAAATACGTAGGATTCTGACCAACAGACCACTAACTTTTTATTAATCTAAAAAAGAACCAATATTAACGTACTCTAGATATATAATGGCTGGTTCTGAATTTTGGATGACATGACTGGATTATGTCTCAGGATTCTATCTAACCAAAAAAATCAACTCTTTTTAAGCACACATCAAGTACGAGGCTCTGTAGAATGTCCACCAGCTTTAACTTCTACTATAGTTGGAGTCACTGTTTATACTCCAGAGGTCTTATTTCTAGCTCATTTCCAAATAACAGATGCACTCACGGGTGCCACCACTGCTGCACCAAACCATGCAATAATCACCAATATTTCTAAATCTTTACATCTCTATCCCTAAATGTAGTGTGAATTTTACCTTGAAATTACACAGAAATATGTAGTCAGCACTCATTAGTGCTGACAAAATAGGGAAAAAGTTAATGGGATTTTTAAAAAGGTTATGATTTTTAAAGTTGACTGGAGTTTGAGATTGTTATTAATTTCTAAATATTGTAAGAACACTATAAAATATGAATGCAGTGAATGCAGATTTGAAGGCCAATAAAGGAGTCTGAAACAGTAAGGCAATCTGACTCACCCAAGTATCCAATCAGAGTAGCTCCAACTGTCCGTGCAGGTCCATTAAGGTGTCCTGCTGAGTTGTGTATCAATTTCACAGGAGTGGCATTCTCATGGGAAGAAATGCCTAACTGAAGAATAGGAAAGGGGAGAAAAATGTAACTATAGAAGAACAGTCTGAACATTTTGATTGGAAAAAAAAAAAAAACCAAACAAACGAACACACGACCATGATTTGTAACATCATTTCTTTCTCTTATCAGAATATTAAAAACATGGGCATTCATTTTTTTTTTTAAGTGTGCAAGCTCTTCCTATGGATAGAAAGTCACAGATAGTAAGTTAAGTACAATCTACTGAGATAAAGATGGTGAGGGGTTCATTGGAAATAGCTTCAGAGATCTTTCCAGACGAAATTCAGTCATGGATTTAAAGTTCTTAACACTAGCTGTCTCACGGTATTTCTGATCAGTGAACATAATATTAACTTTACTTCATATCCAAGTAAATGTCACATATATTATTCAAGTGTTTATAGATAAAACATGCCTACAAAAGAGAAATGATAAGTTTTGCATATGTAACACAAATATACACATAATGGGCTTTCAAAGCAAACACAATCCTAAAACTTTAATTCTATTGTTCCTTGTAGAACTAAATTTATCTATAGTTCATGTTCCTTGAAGGATGGTCCATGTACTTACAGACATATGCCTGCACAAGAGTTGTCAATACTTACTGTTCCCAAATCCTTTCCTCCCATTCTCTCGATTTCCTCCCTTGGGCTGTGCCTCCTCTAATCAGCCAGACAGCTTGCCAAGTTCACCTAAGACTTCCACCTTGTTAGACCCACTGCTGGTCAGTCCTTAGTCCTAGTCTTTTCTGGACCAGAGACATTTGCCACTGTGAATTACTGATTTCTATCACATCAAACTCTCCTCATTTTTCTCCTTTTCTTGCTGGCCGCTACTCCTCACTGTTTTTTGCTGGTTCTTCATCTCCATAGCTCCCCAGTACTAGATGTCCAGGTCTCAGTCTGGAACCTTTCTCTTCTCTAGCCACATCTATACTTAGATAAAAGCATCTAGCCTCCCGGCTTTAGATATCACTTCTGAACATCCATGGTTCAAACCTCTACCTCAAAGTCCAGATTCACATTTCCAATGGCTTTGAGATCTCCAATATACTTCTCAAATTTCTCTAAAACATAGTTCTGAGTATTCTTCCCCAAAGTACTCTTCCAGAAGTTTTCTCCAAATCAGAAAAAGCAACCCTGTTTTCCTCAATGTCAGAGCAAAAAAACCTTGGAGTTATCCTTGATTTCTTTCTTTTCTTCATAATTCACACCCAATTTCCAAAAACTGTTGGCCTCATCTTTAAAATATACCTCAAATCTGATCATTTCTCATCATGGCCACTACTATCCTCCCAGGTGTCACCACCATTATAGTCATATGAATTATTATAAAACTAATCTCCTTGTTTCTACCTTTGTCTGTTGTCCCCCTTAAGTCTATTCAAGGAAGGTCAGAGCCATCCTGACTAACATTTCATTCATTAGGCCTGGAACCCTATAATGCTTTCCATCTCACTTGGCTCAAGCGAATGTCTCTACCACTGCCTATAAATCCAATACAGTCTAGTACCTATTACCTATCTGAGTTCTTCTTCTACTACCCAGGTCTTCTCTCATTTGCTCCAGCCTCGCCACCTCTACAGCATGCATGGACCTTCCTCAGGGCCTCAGCACTTATACCACTGGGACAATATCACCCATGCTGTGACTATATCCCATTCTGCATGTTCTCATGGCTTGCTGCCTCTCCTATATCAAGTCTTCTCCAATTTCACCTTTAGAATGAGGCCTCCTACAACCATTCTATTTAGCACTATAAGTTGATCACTTTCTCCTTCCTTGCTTTATTCTCTGCACTCTTCACCTCCTAATATAACCTAAGATTAGGTCATTTCTTTAGTTATTATCATCTGTCTCTTCCACTACAGTGTAAGAAACATAAAGGCAGGAATTTTCTCTATATCCACTTCTGTATCCTAAACAAAGCGGTACTTGGCACATAGGAGGTGATCCAGAAAAAAGTTAAGTGATACCCTTAAAAATAGCAATTGTTTTCTTTCGTTTTCTGTAATTCAATTTCTTAATTGCCAATAATAATATTTTAAAAAGAATATAAATCATGCACAGAGAAGGAAATTCTCACTTTTCCAAATTAAGCTAATTATCTAACTATGTTTTGGCTTAAATCCAAATCCAATAAAACAAATATAAACAATACACGAAAGGCACTATTTTCAATAACTATTCAAACTTGGGTGGACCCATAATGATGTTCTGAAACACTTTCCTGGGAAAACCAGCCACAGCTTACTGTGAAATCATTCTGCTTACCTGCTTAGCGATGGCTTTGCTGTCCAACTTGTTGTACACTTTCCGGATTCTTGCCACCGTTAGGGAAGACACAGAGAGTGCATATAGGCCAAATGACACCTTTTCTTCTGGTACTAATGACACAGGAGATGGGACTACACCTTCAGACTTTGCATCTTTACCTTCAAATGAAGAATAATCCTTTTCAAAATTGTCAGTATTTCTCCTTTTCTTACACAAATGTTTTATTCTTACTATCATTTTTAAATGGGTGGACTTGAAAAATCGTTTGAAGTGGAACATTAGGGTTAAATTTAAAAACTGTAAATTTTCAGCTCTTCATTTATTTCTTTTTACAAAATAAGAGAAAACCACCTAGTAATGGACCTTCACATTCTAAGTTTTAATCTTAAAGTGTGTTTTACAAGTAGCATAATATAAAGGAAAAGAGTTTTAAGTATTATCAAAGAAATCATACCTCTCCCCCTTTAACTTCAAAGGAGAAAGAAAATGAACATGAGTGGAATGCCTATAAGTTTTGTTGCAGTAGGTCTCTTCCCCAACGAGAGCCCCCATATGTGCTTCTCTATATTCTTCTAAGCTAAGTAACATAGCAGAACAGTTAAGAATATAAGTCTTGGAGCTAGATGGCTTAAGTTTGAATTTTCGCTTTATCACCTAAAAGATATGTGACTTACACATTTCTGTGCCTCAGTTTCCCCATCTGTAAAATGAGGATTATAAAAACAGTATGTAAGTACCAATGTTTGAAAAGATGAACAAGGGGCACCTGGGTGGCTCAGTGGTTGAGCATCTGTCTTTGGCTCAGGTCGTGATTCCTGGGTCCTGGGATTGAGTCCTCCATCAGGCTCCCTACTGGGAGCCTGCCTCTCCCTCTGCCTATGTCTCTGCCTCTCTCTCTTTCTCTCTCTGTGTTTCTCATAAATAAAAAAATAAAATCTTAAAAAAAAAAAAAAGATGAACAAATACGTGTGAAGAACTCAGAACAGTTCTGTCCTTCACGTGTATTAACTTATTGCAGAGGCTGAGTGCTCAGTCTTAGCTCTTATTAGATCTCTCTAAATCAAGAATATGAGTGAAAGAGGGGTGCTATGGTGGCTCAGTTGGTTGAGCATCTACCTTCAGCTCACGTCATGATCTCAGGTCGGATCAGCCCCACATTGCACTTCCTGTTCAGTGGGAAGTCTGCTTCTCCCTCAGTCCCCCTATACAGTCATGCTGTGTGTGCTCTCTTTCTCAAATAAATAAAGTCTTAAAAAAAAAAAAAAAACAAAAAGAACACAAGAGAAAGACAAATAACTTAGCCACAGGATTATCATCATTTATAATAAACTCGTCCTAATTCTTCTGAGAACATCACTTGGAAAAAGTACTGCTACATCAGTTCCTTTGACTCTAAATTTCTTTTGGAAGAAAGGATAAGAAGAAGTAGACTGTAGGAGTAAAGGGATAAGGAAATCTGATGTTAACTGGTCTAACCTGAAAAATATTTATGAGTGTGTATTTTTTGGAAACATCCTTCCTTTCTTTAACCAGAGTAGATAACACTTTAAAATGCTTATATATGGGGCACCTGGGTGAGTCAGTCAGTTAAGCATTTGCCTGATTGGCTCCAGTCATGATCTCAGGTCCTGGGATGGAGCCCCACGTGAGGCTCTTTGTTCAGCAGGGACTCTGCTTCTCCTCTCTCTGCCCTCCACTTGTGCTCTCTCTTGCTATCTCTCCCTCTCTCTTACAATTAAAATCTTTAAAACTAAAATAAAATGCTTATTTAGGAAAAATTATAGAAAGAGAAAAAGGTTATAGTTTGACTCTTAGAGAGCAAACATATCTTGGAGCCAATAAGAGAAACTAGAAAGTTAGTGATCAGGCATGAAAACAAAAATCAGGAAAGTATAGCACAATCAGTGGAGGAGAGCATCTGGAAGAAGAGTGAATCATCATCAATAATATCACATTGAAGAAAAGTGAAGGAGAGGTCTCTTTTATAAGAGAACAATGTATAACCCTATCCACACCCTATATACAAGCCTGTATATACACGTGTATATGCACTTATTCATGTACCTACATGGCAGCTTCACACATTAAGCTTCACACATTAAGTTACTCACATGGCATACATACGGCCTGAAAGCTTCCAACATAATTTGGTCCTAGTTCATAAATGGTAGTAACATTTGAAGGAGGTAAAACTTCTTCCAGAAAATGAGTGGGTCCAAGACGCCAAACCAATGAAGCAATTTGGCGTTGGGCAGGTGGAGTGCCAACATATGCATAGACTGTGCTGACCACAGGTGGGTTAGCAGAACCTGAACCTCCAGGAGTACTGTGAACATAATGCAGCTGTAGAAAAAAAAAAAAAATGAAAGCAAATGTAAGAGATACAAACCAAAATCTCCCACTTTCACCAGGAAAATAATCACTTTCTGCATATAGTTTCATTATTCCAAGGTCATGTAACTTTATGCACAAAATAGTTGGGTTGAGAAATACAAGGGCAGACCAAGATTCTGGAACCTGATTTGGAAGATGGAAATTTGCTATTATCCAACTCTCTGATAAACTATCTAAAAAGGGAAACAATCAAATAGAGGGATACTATTACTGTATGGGGATTGGTTTGCATATCAAATTAACATTGCTTCTATGAAATTTTTGGGTTGAAATAAAAACAGAGCTTTCCAACTATGGAATTCAAGTAGTCTTGAAATTATGTCACCTTCAATCTGAGTGTGTCAATAAATTATTCATGAGAAGTGTTTTAAATAATGGGTAAAGTGCTACAAAAGTTCTAAAATTTAACAGTCTGTTATGTAATTAATACAAACATAATCTCAATGTAAAATATATTCTCAGATTTGAAATTTCACTAGTGTTTACTGACAAGGTGCAAAATTATCATTCAATTCATTTGTAGTAACTATATAATTAGAACATAAGAGAAAATAAAGTCAAGTGGTTTCTTATGGTATAGGCAGCTTCTATCACTCGATAGTACGAAGGATATTTTACAGTAACACGTTCTCGACTTCAGATTACATCTATCACTCCATATATTACAGAAAAGTTCTGGTGATGTTAACAGTTAAGTATGAAGACCACCACTCAGCCTAAAGTTGGTTTCACGGGACTGCTGACTCCTCACAGGCACAGTGATAACGACGATGTAAATATATTGATAATAAATCTACCTCTCAATTCTAGAAGCTGAGGATATTTTTATTTTAAATAACATTAAAAATAACAAAGGAGCAACCTATTAGAGAATCCACAAGCCCATTCCAAATGCAATCATGTGTACAGAAGAAACAATACAATTCCCACAGAGTGGATTTTAGGGTTTATCTTATTGAAATACAAATGTCACAATAAAATATCATTAATGAAGAAAATACATTCAAGGAAGCTAACGATCTCAATGCTTTTTAAACTTTAATTCACAAACAAGGATAAACTTTGCTTCTTTCAACAGATAATTGCTATAAAAATGGATACTATATTTTAGATACCTATAGCATTTTAACAGCTTGCTAGCTGAGTTCTGTCAGAAGTAACTAGCAGCATTCATCCTGATACAAAAAAGGAACTTCTGATTCTTTACTGTTTCAATTCTCTTATCTCTCTTCTGAATATCATAGTATAGTATACCTATATCTAGAGTAATATTATACACTCATTCACCCAGCGAACAGTATTGCAATACCTAACTACTATTATCAGGGCTATTAAATGGATGATCTGAAAACAAAGATGAATAAAAAAGTTCCAGCTCCAAAGGAATATAGTCTACTGGAATGCATAACATGACAGAGTGACAAAACTGCTCATAGGTTATTTAGGCATCCTTCACCTGGTTTTTCTTTCATGAAAAATCACTTAGCAAACTGGCTCAAGTGCTAACATATTTACAATCTTTTTTAGTACTCAGTAACCTCTTCTTTCTCTTCTTCTCTAAGTAAGTGATATGAATCAGCCAGCCACATGACTTTTAAACACATTGTTCAAATGGGTAATAAAGGTCACTCTGAAATTAAAACAGTAATTTCAGATATACCCCTGCAAACACGTACACACAAACACATCTACCCCTAAACTATCTCGTAAGGCAGATTAAGACTTACAAGCACAAGTGTGCTTACCTTCACAGTGTTAACAAGCTGTCCATCAATATAGAGGGCTGCAGTACTGTTTTTCAGCATGCCTTTGCTCATCACCAAAACTAAATGATGCCACTGACCCTCAACTATAAGTTCTCCACATCGAAAGCGGGCACAGCACGGGAGAATCTCATAAAAAGAAGATTCTTCACTAAAATCATCAACTAAAATAAAGAGGAAAAAGAAAAAACTCAACATCTTCATTCTAACAATTATTCATACCTAGATCTTGACTTTGTTAAAATAATATAATACTGGTATAGACAAAAATACCCTCTTTACTCAACAATGTTACCTGTAGCAACAAGTAAAACCTGGAATGTATTTTTGCTTTCTTCTGCTCAAGATACAGTTATTATCAAATAAAGTTATAAGAGTTGATGAAATAAAAAATAGACAATAAAATAAAGTTATAAGAGATGAGAAAAAGAGACTAATTGATTTTTATCTGTCATGGTCTGCTTAAAAAGGTCTTTTTAAATTCTTATTTGCCATGTATTTCATTACAGCACTGGTTGGAAAACTAAAAATTTTAATCTTGCCATATTCTCTGCTCAAAGACACAATGAGCCAACTATCTGCTCTCAGGTTGTAGTTACACTGCCCTGACCCCTGCCCTATGATAGCCGGTAGTAAGGAGGTAATTTATGGAGTGGAAAGGTTTATTATATTAGTTTCATGTGTACAATATAGTGATTCAGTAATTCTGTACATTACTTGGTGCTCATCATGATAAGTGTACTGTTAATCCCTATCACCTATTTTACCCTGCCTTTCAAACCCTCCTTCTCTGGGACCATCAGTTTGTTCTCTATAGTTAAGAGTCTGTTTCTTGGTTTATCTCTCATTTTTCCCCTCTGCTTCCTTTGTTTCTTAAATTCCACATGCATGAAATCATATGGCATATGTCTTTCTCTAACTTATTTTACTTAGCATAACACCCTCTAGCTCCAACCATGTTGTTGCAAGTGGCAAGATTTCATTCTTTTCTATGGCTGAGCAATATTCCATTGTATATACACCACCTCTTCTTTACCCATTCATCTCTCTTTTTTTTTTTTAATTTTTATTTATTTATGATAGTCAGAGAGAGAGAGAGAGAGAGAGAGGCAGAGACGCAGGCAGAGGGGGAAGCAGGCTCCATGTACCGGGAGCCCGACGTGGGATTCAATCCCGGGTCTCCAGGATCACGCCCTGGGCCAAAGTCAGGCGCCAAACCGCTGCGCCACCCAGGGACCCCTACCCATTCATCTCTTTTTTTTTAAAAAAATATTTTTTTTTACTTTTTTTAATTATTTATTTTATGATAGTCATACAGAGAGAGAGAGAGAGGCAGAGACAAGGCAGAGACACAGGCAGAGGGAGAAGCAGGCTCCATGCACCGGGAGCCCGACATGGGACTCGATCCCGGGTCTCCAGGATCGCGCCCTGGGCCAAAGGCAGGCGCCAAACCGCTGCGCCACCCAGGGATCCCCCATTCATCTCTTAATGTACACTTGGGTTGCTTCCATATCCTGCCTATTGTAAGTAATGCTGCTATAAACATAGGGGTGCAGAGATTTTTTTGGGTTAATATTTTTGTTTTGTTTTTCATAAATACCCAATAGTGGAATTACTGGATCATATGGAAGTTTCTGAGGAAACTTCATACTATTTTCCATAATGGCTACATGGAAAGGTATTTTTTGATTCAAGTTTCCTGCTTCAACAGACAACTCTGATTAATTTCCTAACACTCTGCAAACATTTCGTGGCTCCCATCTATTTTCTCTCTGCTACCCAGTATATTGCCTGATCATGGTAGGAAATAATGGGTCAATATTAATTCAATCTTAGTGTTAAGCTAATTAAAAATTAATTTAATTTTCCTAAACATCCAAGGGGTGGGACAACCCTGTGGTGAGCCTGTTTCTCCGTCTTCTTATGCCTCTGTCTCTCTCATGAATAAATAAAAATCTTTTTAAAAAATTCATTCCTCCACCTACCCCCCCAAAAAAAAAATTTCAAAAAGAACTAGTCTGTAACAATGTAACTTTAAGCAGACCCACCATTTTTCAGGATAAGCACACACAAGTAAATACACTAAAAGTTAAAAGTGTAATTTATATGAAGAAAGAATTATAAATAAAATAAAAAAATACGATAGAGAACCACAAGCCCATTCCAAATGCAATCATGTGTACATGATAAAATACTAACTTTAATTTTTGGAATCCTAAAATATCAGTGTATACTGAAATGTCAAGATTATATTTTAAAAATGACAATACAGAATATACACCCATTCATGAGTTAAGAAAGGCACAATCTTATCAATTGGTGACCTAATATAGGAACAGAATTGAAGAAACCAGGGGAAAAGCAGAGTCAAACAGTTTTGAAAAGTCTAGTGTATGGACCAAAGGATGTGAAAGAAAAGATAACAAGTATGCTCAAAACCAGGAACTCTTCTCTTTTTCTTTCCTGTTATTAGACTGAATCTTACCAGAATTGTAGATTTCACTTAAAAATTTTTCTGAATTTCATATTCTGACTCAGGCTAAGACTAAGCCATATCCAGCATATCCAGCATGTCAGGATATCTTGGTGAGCCAACTGGTTTCAGACAACTCTTAATTACCTACACATCTTAATGGGCTACAGCTGTTCAGAGGATGGATTCTTGTAGTAACATCATCTATAACTAATGTTATCTGTTACTTTAATTTCTAGTGATATATAGATGATGGTAGTCTTGTAAATTAAATTTTGAGAAAATGATGCAAAGTTAGAAAACATTTCCCTAGTTTACTGAAATATCACTAGTTCCATTCGTTAACTTTTCTACTAACCTCTATCCCTTTTCTAAATTCTCCATTATTATTCACTTTGCTCATTATTTCCCTTTCAAGCCATCCATATTTATTTTCCTTTTCTTCTCATTCATTCATTCATTCATTCATTCATTCATTCATTCATACTTCTACAAAACATTTTAAGTGTTTGGGTGGCAGGGCTTCTCAGATTACCAAAGTAATAAATCACATAGCATGTGCAATCATCTAGTTCTATTTTTGTCTAGACAAAGACAAAAATAAAGAATTAAAATCTTGGAAGTCCAGATCAGTGACAAAAAAACCAAACCGAGTAATATCTATGATGGTGGACATAAGAGGAAGGGAAGAATTACGAAGAAAGCAAAATTCAGTGAGACTTAATGAAAGGGGTGGTAACTTGAGGTTTATAGCTAGGCTAACTGGTGGAGGAGGTGTCATTTACCAAGATAGGAAAATAGAGATGCAGGCTTTATAAAGTATTATATTTTGAGTTGTTTACAGAATGACTATTCATATGAAGATGTCTACTTTGCAGTTAAAATATGAAGAGAAAGCATGAGACACAGATAAATAAAAAAATTTTTAATTTCAGAATCCCTGGGATTAAAAAGACCTAAAGCTAACAAAGATAAGATTTTTTTTTCTTATGAAGAGAAGTTTGAATACAAAGACTAAAGATGAAATCTGGGAGAATATTAATTTTAAGGGGAAGATGGAAAAGAAAGAAGGAAGTTGTAAAAGAGAGGTCAGAGATTTGGTAAAAGAAAATGAAAGAATGCAAATAGGTCTGATTATGAGGAAAACATCACCAGGATTAAATAGAGTGTCCTAATAAGAATTTTAAAGCAGTTATACTATATTGATGCATACTCTGTGATAGTTGTAAAGAATACTAGGAAAAGAGGCCTTACAATCTAATTGAGCTAACATTCAAATTAATATTCAAATACCAATCACATGTGAAGCAATACATGGCATTATTTGGTTAAAGATAAATTTAGAAAACGATAAAAAAGGTGTATTTATATTACAAATACTTATATTCAGAGCAAAGGACATTCAGTAAACTGAGACTTATATTTTATACTATTCACATCATTTAGGAAGATCTCCATGAATGCCTTGAATAAGTTCTACTGATAGTAATTTAACATTCTGGCATGTTGGAAAGAATTAGAAAATTAGATTATTAAATGCTATGCATTAAGCCTTGAAGGTAAGTGATGGATAAAGTAATTAAAATGCTATTGTGTCTAGCACAGAGTAGCACATATGGTAGGCAGGTGCTCAATGAATATTCATTAACTAAGCAGAATTCATAGCCAATGAAAATCCTTACTAAAATACATCAAACAAGCAATCTGCTTTCCTAGCAAAAGCTGTGATTTCTTGGCAAGTAGAGAGGAATCCTTATTTTAAGAACTCTATCCATTGTTTTCTATCTAAGTCTCTTTTGAAAGTGCCTTAAAATTCACTGGTAAACAATATTCAACATTTCATATAACTTATTCTTTTTTTTTTTTTTTTAAAGATTTTATTTATTTATTCATGAGAGACACAGAGCATGAGAGAGAGAGGCAGAGACACAGGCAGAGGGAGAAGCAGGCTCCATGCACCGGGAGCCCGACGTGGGACTCGATCCCAGGTCTCCAGGATCGTGCCCTGGGCCAAAGGCAGGCGCCAAACCACTGCGCCACCCAGGGATCCCCATATAACTTATTCTATCCTATGATAATTTAAATTGGAAAAAAATTAGCAGCTGGATCTTAAAGATGAATATTATTATTTTTTTTTATAAATTAATTTTTATTGGTGTTCAATTTACCAACATACAGAATAACAAAGATGAATATTATAATAAAGTTTAATACTTTCAATTACCACGAGAAGCAAAAAGAAACTGATACGAACCATAGTTTTGGAGTAGTTCCTCTTTGGTGGAAACAATCAGAGATCGGTCTTTTGCTGACAGAACGATGGCAAGGCACACATAATGCTGCTCAGAAGAATTTGCTCGGCGCACAACAGTAAGAAGTCTGACAGGGTGGTTATTTGGAGGAGAACTAAAATGTTCAATACAGAACCAGCTAGAGTAGCTTAAGCCAGATGGAGGAGGGAAGAATCTTTCACCTAAAAATAGAAAAGTAACAATGAAAGAGTTTGTGTTGATTCATATTTACATTTTATAAAGAAGGCAATAAACTCTAAATAAAATATAACCGACTAAAAAAAGGAATCTCATGAGCAAAGAAAGTTAATATTTACCAGAACCAATGCCACTGACCACAGCCCCATCGGTAAGACCCGTTGTGACGGCATTGTTTGTAGGAGCATTGTGAGGGGCCAAACTAGGCAGGAACAAGCAGCTATTAGAGAAAAGACAATGTACATATGAGAGATCAACCGTTTTCTTCTCTTACCACTAAACACTTACCATACTGAAATAAACTGCCTTCATCTAAGGGCAACTGGAACAAAGAGAACATGAAACAAACCTGGCTGCCTAACAAGGTCCCTCCTTTCTTGTAATTATGAAAGAGTGCTGAAAGATATATTTTAAAAATCTCCAGTGGCATCATTTTTATTTTTAAAAAATTTTAAATTCAGAGTACAGGTTGCATTATGGAAAAATGCACCAATGTATAACCCTGTTCAAGACACTGGAACACTTTCATCACAGAAAAAGGTCCCTGATGCCCCTTTCCAGTGTGTTGTTTTCCTCTGTGCCGATTAGTTCTGACTATTCTGTAATATGTTTTAATCCATCATTTAATAATAACCCATGACAATGTTCTTAAAATACAATTTATAGTTTTAGACTGATGTATAAGAATCCCACAAAAAACTAATATAGACCTAGATCTACAGTATTAGCATTTGTGTCTGTTTTGAGGCATAGGATTTTATAAATTCTTCGAGGTTTTCTATAGATTCTTTATTGTTGCTTCTGCTACAATAGCATTTTCTGCCACTTGAAATTATTTACTCATTTGATGTGCTAGTCATTGCATATTTATAATGTATAAGGTTCTAAGCTAGGTAATTGGGGAAGAAAGGAGGATGAGTAAACCCAAACACTCTTTAATTTTAATTTGCATATTACCTATAAATCTACTGTACTAACTCAAAGGTGGCAAGCATTTTCTGGAAGGGCCAAACCATAAATACTTTATGCTTTGCGGATCAGAGTCTCTGTCTTGACTACTCAACTTTGCCATCCTAGCACAAAAGCAGCCATAGACAATACATACACAATTGAGTGTGGCTGTGTTAAAATACAACTTTAGTTGCCAAAAAATAAAATTTACAAAAAAAAAAAAATGTGGACCATGGGTCTTAGATTACAGAGTCCTATAACATATCAACTTACCTAATAAATAATTTAAAATTAAATACTAAAAACCTTAAAATAATATGTTCGAAGAACTCAATCATTTGAGAATACATAGTATATAGTATATTTTAACTAAGTATATTTAAAACCAAAGATCTATTTGTCAAAGGCAAGTAGGAGGCATAAAATAGTATAATAAGGCTTGGCTACCTTATAAATTCCTTACCCAAACCCTTCAAGGGATGTGTCAAATTCAACAAAAGCTGGAGTAACTGATGATCCATGAAGTCTGATGTCATGTGGGGTTGTCATGGAGACCAGACACTTCACCCTAGTTAGAGGTACAGTACTTCCTTCTGCAGATTTTACCAGGCTCTTGCTTATCCGATAATGGTTATCTTCATGTAAGCTGAAAACATTATCAGAACCCAGACCTTCCATAGATGTGATCATACTACCTGTAAGTCAAAGGAAATCTCTTGGGAAAAATATCATGGAGATTTCTAAAATAATGACTTTACAAAGTGGACTTATTTTTAAATACTTCAATTTCAATATATAATAATTTTATCTTTAAACACCAAAGCTATCATCCAGTTTTAATGTACTTTATGTTCATTTTTCAACTTAAATAACATGTGTTTCCTTTTTTACTTATTACTAAAGTCATAAACACATTGCATAAATGTTGGAAACTACACAGTACAAATAAGAATCACCAGTAACCACTATCCAGGCCACTGTTACAATGTAATTTAATTATAAATTACAGATAATGATGTTTCTAAAAGCCAGATTATATTTTTTTCACAAAACTATTTATCTCCGAGAAGAAAGCAAAATAGTCTAGAAGATTACAATTGAAAAAAATAGGCTGTCTTTATCATAAAAATAATCAGATACAAAGCAAAATCCTGCTTCTCTCTCATTTTCTCCCTACTTTTAACTCTTCCCTTACAATTATTAAAATTAAATATGTAATCACAAAAGTATGTGAATTAAAAAATTCCTATATGCACGTAAATGGTAATAATTTCAAGAATAAAAAGACAAATTTTAAACAAACTGGTTGTTTTTCAGGAATACATTACCAATGTAAAGAATGGAGAAGATATTCCTTCTCAAGGTAAACTCCATAAATGTAACTGGTTTCCCTCTTAAATGTACTAATAAGCATTCAGGCAACCATAAAAAATCTCAATATTCTCTTAGAGAAAGGAACTGTTTTGTTTCTGCTCTTTGCAAAGGAAATCAGAATCCAATTCTAAAGAATTGAGTTAAGTACTAAAACAATAACAAAAAATATATATATATATATATATATTGACAGATATGGAAAACTGCAATAATTTGTTTTCCAGTATACCGTGCTAAAACTCTAAAGATCTTAGTTTCCAAAACACAGTATTCACTAATCACTGATGATAATTCACAGGAGAAAAAATTTAGACTGAAATAACAGTGGTAGGTTGCTTAACCTTCTGGATTCTCACCTGAAAGAACAAGGGGATGAATGAAATGATCACTACAACCTTTCAGGGAAGTTGTTCTACTTTTCTAAGTTTAATTCTTTCTTGCTTTGCTAGTAATGGTTACTTCAATCCACCTAAACAAATGCCTATCACTATGGTTCACAATTCTACACAACAAATGGTAAAGAACAGAACCCCAACAAAACTACAGAATTGGCACTGGGAGAAGTTCAGCGCAATGCAGCTCTCTACTGAGGACATGCTTTTCCGTGGCTTTGATGGACTCTGTTGCCTCTTAGTGGTCCCTGCCAGACTGGGAGGCAGTGCCTGTGCTCTGCCAGTTGCCAGGCATCATGCCAGCAGCTTGATGCAAAAACTTCTCCTTTTCGGGGTTCCTCTCAGCAACCTACCGCACACCTCTGTACAAAAGTGCCCTCCATGACTACTGGCAGATCATCCTCGGTCTTCTCTGGCCTGGTTGTTGCCAGTATACTGGGAGACATCGAGGCCCACAGGTATAACCCATCTAACACCTCACTTCTAGCTCTAGGACCATCTTTCACTCCAGAGCCATAATTTGGTCATGGTCCTTTCTGTCACGTGTTTCACTGCTCCAATTTTTATTGCATTATTTGTGCTCCCTTCTCCCTGCCCTCTCAACCCTCTAGTTCTCTCATTCGTTTTCTTTTTTTCTTTTTTTTTTTAGTTTTTTTTTTTTTTTTTTTTTTTTATTTATGATAGTCACAGAGAGAGAGAGAGGCAGAGACACAGGCAGAGGGAGAAGCAGGCTCCATGCACTGGGAGCCCGATGTGGGATTCGATCCCAGGTCTCCAGGATCGCGCCCTGGGCCAAAGGCAGGCGCCAAACCGCTGCGCCACGCAGGTATCCCTCTCATTCATTTTCTCACACTACATTTGCTTTCTGGCCTAGATGCTATTCTCCAGGCCAGTGACCTATCCCTTTTCTCACGGCCTAGCAGCAGCTGCTTGGTTTCACTTCTCTCGCTAGCCAGCCTTGGTGTAGCTCTTCAACTACTTTTATCAGTATTTTTAAATTCTGGTCCTCTGTGTCCTCCTGTAGCCGCTGTCCTGCAAACCCATGGCCTGCTAACAATCCAATGAACCACTCTCAGTTCACGTTGCAAGGGCTACTTGAGAAAGGCAAAGAAATTATGTAGCCTCCGAGCAAGAGGTATTGCCCTTTCCGAGCCAAGTGCTCCTGTGCACATAGTAATTCTCATCTCCTCTGGATCCTGCTTACATCAGTGACTCCTTTCTCACCCCAGTTGGCCCCCTCTTCAGCCAACCAAATTTTATGTTTCCTCATTTTTTTTGTTTCCTCATTTAAATAACGACAATCCCTTTTCCTTTCTTCTCCTTCACAGTGAAACTTCTTGAAATCATATTCATCCCCTACATGATTCTCATATACACAATAACCAAAAAAGGGAACTTCAAAGGTTAACTTACTTCTCATCTCTGGCTCATAACTCAGTGAACTTGGTTTGTGGACCCTATATTGTTTTAGCAGTTTTTTGTCCCAGGCACCACAATTTAATGGACTTGCCAAACGCAAAAACTCCCTAAAGAGGAGACAAAGCAGTTATTCCTTGATTGAGAGCATTACAGAATTCATAAACAAAACACAAAAAATGGGGTTTCATGAATTGCAACAGACTACTTAAAAATAAAAAGCATTCAAAAAGTTATTATAAAATGATATACAATGTTAATTTTATATTTGAATTACCTAGCACTGAAAATAGCACAGAATATTGTGAAGGGCTAAAAAATGAAATTCAAGGAGCATGTTCCCTTGAAATGTGATATACAAAAATGTAATAAACTGGAGTTACACAAGTAGGAGTCCTTCATATCCAGTCATTTATGGCATCAGGTAAAAGGAAAAAAAATAAAAGAATATTTCTCTGAATTTTCAACTCCCTATAGCAGAAAAAAAAAATTTTTTTAAGTTAGGTATCCTTTGACAGTTTTTCAGGTAAAGTACAATTTATGAGTTTATAACCTTATAGTATATGGCTTATCAACAACTCAGCTATCTGTACCATCATGAGCTCTTTTGTTCTGAAAATTCATTCACAGTGAAAACTGAGCACGCACAAATGGTTGATCTGCATTGCTTAGTGTTTCCTGACTAGGCCGTATAAGTTATTCAATAAAATACTAGTATCAAGTACAAGATAGTCCCTCTGTCTCATTCATTCTCTCTACTTTTAAGGCAGCTGATTAACAAAAACGATCAGGAGAAAATCTCCATGACATTTCCAATATTTTAGGTTCCTGAATATGTCCATAAGATGATAGACAAAGTGAGGAGGGATGGTCTCATTCATCTTGGTACTGTCAAGGCCTAGTACACACTGATACAATACTGTTTAATGTTTGTCACATGGTTTATTCTTAATACATCATTATTTGGAGCCAGTTAAAAAATATAAATTGTAACCATTTTAAGAAAATTACTAAAAGCTATATTAAAAAGGAGTACTTCAGCAGAAAAAAAATTATCTTACAAAGAGAGCTTCTCATATATGATAGTGAGGATATGTAAGTATATTTTTGTAATGGACAAGTTGACCTACACATTAAATCTATCTATATATATATATGGGCAGCCCTGGTGGCTCAACAGTTTAGCGCCACCTTCGGCCCAGGGTGTGATCCTGGAGACCTGGGATCGAGTCCCAAGTCAGGCTCCCTGCATGGAGCCTGCTTCTCCCTCTGCTGTCTCTGCCTCTCTCTCTCTCTCTCTGTCTCTCATGAATAAATAAATAAAATCTTTTTTTAAAAATCTATACATATATTTATTTTTTTGAGAGGGAAAGAGGGGGGAGTGGAGAAAGAGAGAATCTTAAGTAATCTTAAGTAAGCTCCACACCCAGCATGGAGCGTAATGCAGGGCTTGATCTCACAACCCTGAGATCATGACCAGAGTCAAAACCAGGAGTTGGATACTTAAGTGACTGAGCCACCCAAATGTCCGTCCCTTAAGGAAAATACTTTTTTAAATAGTTTCACCCCAGGAGCACTTGGATTGGCTCAATTGGTTAAGTGGCCGACTTATGGTTTCAGCTCAGGTCACGATTTCAGAGTTCTGGGATTGAGCCCTATGCCAGGCTCTGCGCTCACAGGGGTTTGCTGGAGATTCTCTCTCTCTCCCAATCTCTCTAAAATAAACAAACAAATCTTTTTTTTTTTTTAAGGGTTTATTCCTAAAATAGATTACTGCTTCTCTTGCATTACTAAGATTTAAATATACATATAATAAGAAATATATATATTTCATGAATGGTTAAACTGTGCAAGGTATATTCATTCATACCATAGAATACTACTCAGCAATAAAAAACTACTACTGAAACATAACAATTTGGATGTATCTTCAAGACATTATGGTAACTGAAAAAGTTGATTTCTAAAGGTCACATACTATATGACTTCATTTATATAACATTCTCAAAGTAACAAAATTACAGAGATAGAAAAGAGATTAGTGGTTTCCAGAGGTTAGGAATGGTGTGGGCTGAGGGGAGCGAATGTGACAATAAAGGAATAGCATCATTAGGGAGATCTGCCGTGGGCAAATAAATCTACACATGTGGTAAATACCAGAGAACTACAGAATACAAGGATATATTGTAGCAATGTCAGTTTCTTACTTTCCATGGTGTACTATAGTTACATAAGATGTAACCACTGGAGGAAAGTGGTGAAGGGGACCAGAACATCTCTGGTCTACCTTTATAACTTTCTCTAAATCTCTAAGTATTTTAAAATAAAAACATTTAAAATCATTTCTTAAGAGTTTTTACATATAAAAAGTTCTTAAATATAAAGTAGATGCAAGTCATATAAACATAATAACATGACTTTATTTTTAAAGGAGAGTTTGCTGGATTCCAGTAGAAGGAATAACCAATGGGCAGAAACATCCTCTGTTTTCTAATAACTAGACTTACCTAAGACTGACATGCCAAGCATTTTGCCCATTTTGGTTATTTTGGTTTTGTCCACAGATACTTGAATATATGTCTATTAAGGCAGGCACTCCTGAATATAAAGACTCCAGGAATTGTCATTACTAATTGTGGCTTATTCAACCGTGAAAAAGAGAACATACTGACCTCAGCACCATGGGCTCCAGAGCCTGAGAGGCTAATCGCTCAAACATCCGCTGGAGAGGTGGGTGCAATGAGTGGTCCTCGTCAGCCAGGGCAGCACTGCACCGCTGCAGCAGCCGTGCATGAAGACCAGCTTCACACATGACCTGCTGGTTTCTTTCTGTATGCACCAGGGATTGTAAGATATTTGCCACAGCAAGTTGAAGATCCAGAGCATGCTAAAGTTAAAGAAATCCATGCCACCAGGGCATTCTTAGTAAAAAAGGTTACAGTCCTCTCCACATGAAGCACACCTTTTAATATGAAGTCTCTACATGTTTCAGATTACCTTCAGATGAATTAAGAAGCTCACTCAGAGTGATACAGCAACTTCAGAACTCAGTGAGGCAAACATTTCCTATCCTCAATTTGCTGGAAGCATACCAGCATACCTACCCTCCATGCTGGAGGTAGACTCCACTGTCTTCGAAGTCTTTTGTATTAAATGACTATATAATAGTATTTTAATTTTTGTAGAAATAGTGAACACCAAGTCTTTTACATGCTAGATAAATAGCCAGTTTAAAGGAAACCCTATCATTTATATTTGTAATACTTTAGGTCTCAGAGGCCATATACCATTTTAACAAATTTGTCACTAAAGCTCCAATTCACCCAAACTCTTGACTGCTATAAGTCAGAACAGATAAATAGGCTCAAAGTGGTATCTGCAGTCATTTTTCTTTCTGCACTATTTATTAATAATTTCCACCACTGAGCAGAATTTATAAAAGAGGAAGAGAATTATTTTAGCACCTGTTGTGGTTGCATTTGTGATAAATGAATTGTATTCTAAAACAACATATCTAGCTTAAGAAAGTTAAGATTCGGGGCACCTGGGTGGCTCAGTTGGTTAAGCATCTGCCTTTGGCTCAGGTCATGATCCCAGGGTCCTGGGATCAAGTCCTGCATCATGCTCCCTACTCTGTGGGGAGCCTGCTTCTCCTCCCTTTGCCATTTCCCCTGCTTATGCTCTCTGGCTCTATCTGTCAAATAAATAAATAAAATATTTTTTTAAAAAGTTAAGAATTAAATTTTAAAATCCTATTTTTTCCTTTCCTACATTAGTATATGATATAGAATGGTTCCCCAACCGTCTGTCATTTTTGGCCACTGCCTTGCTTATACAGTCACATTCACGTCCTTTCACTTATTAAAGGTGGAAAGGAGCTAACATATCCAAGCTTACTTCTGGCTGTGTCACTGACCCAACAGAGGCCAGGAGGTCCAGCATGGCAAGCATGGCTCCAGGATGGATGATGACGGCATCAGAACTCTGGAGAGATGTAGTTGCCACATGTAGTTTCAGGTCAACAATGTTTTTAGGAGGGTAAACAGGGGGAGTTGAAACAGAATGATACGCATGCCTGTAAAAAAGAAAGAAGGGTAATTTAGCATCAAAGTCCAATCAAATTCTCTGTTCAACTTCCTCATCTCTTATATAACCTTTATCCACAGACAAGCAAAAACTTTTGTAATTCAAGGTTGGGTTACAAAACACTTTAAGGTTGGGAGGTAATAGAGTCATATTACCAATTCTTAATGAGTCATGTATAAACAATTTAAGTATGAATTCTTCTAGGCTATGACATGTCTTTACCATTTGTTATCTGAATTGTTTCATTAAAGAAGGGCACAGAATGACTAAAGCTAACATTCTCTCTGGTATATTTGAAAGTTGCTAAGAGAGTAGATCCTAAAAGTTCTCATCACAAGGAAAACATTTTTTTTTCTTGTATCTGTATGAGATTATGGATTTTTTTTTTTGAGAGAGAGAGCATACATGCACAAGCAACAAGGGGGGAGGGGCAAAAAGGGAGAGAATCTCAAGCAGACTGTGCTGAGCATGTTCATAGGCTTGATCCCATGGCCCTGAGATCATGACCTGAGCCAAAATCAAGTCGGACAATTAACCAACTGAGCCACAGAGATGCCTCAAGATGGTGGATATTAAATAAACTTATTGTGGTAATCATTTTACAAACTATGTAAGGCAAGTCATTATGCTGTATAACTTAACTTATACAAGGCTGTATGTCAATTATGTTTCAATAAAACTAGAAGAAATGACACCTGTACCAAAAGATACAACAAACACGTAAAATCACAATGATGATTAACAAAACTTTAGGTAAGGCAAAAGTTCTGATAAAATGTGATGAGGGTATAAATTAAATCAAATCAAATCCCCCCTTGATACGATTTTCTATTTTCTCTTTTTCGTTCTTTTTTTTGAGGGTGGGGGATGGAGGGGCAGAGGGAGAAAGAGAATCTCTAGCATGGGCCAGAGAGGGAGCTTGATCCCACAACCCTGAGATCATGACCTGAGCTGAAATCAAGAGTTGACTGAGACACCCAGGCACTCCTTGATTAAGATTTTCTTTTGAAATTACCTATGTGTTTTTAACCTTTCCTCAAACCATGGGTAACATAATCAAGGACTAACAAGATCTAAGTGGCCCATTCTATACCTGGGTCAACCAGTCAGGGTTGGCTAAGAATCATGGCTACCTGACAAGAAATAATGTTAAACATCAAGGAAGTTCTCCTTTAGTTTATTTGGAACTACAGTCCCATTCTTTTGTTTTACCCACTTACCACTGAAAATACTCCTCAGGATTTTTAAAAACTTAGAAGGCGTATTTTATATAATAAGCTTCTATGAGGTAGAAAGCCTAGCTATATCCTGAACATACCATATTTCTTCTCATCAATGATCTCCACTTTCCATTTCATACTATTCTTCTACAATTCATGAGTTTTGCACATTTTGTATTCTGGCACTAGAAAACAGATGCTTGTGGCTTCAGCCTATGGGAGCTCTTTGTTCCAATGAATTGGTTTCAGCATAATTTGTCTAATGCTGAGCTCTGTCACTGAGAGCAGTGCAGTTTCAGCTCTCTGGCACAAGAGCAGCTTGGGAAACAGATGCTTTAAGTCAGTGATTTTGTAGCAAAGATTTGGCACTGTCTTTTTTTTTTTTTTTTTAAGTACCATTCTCTTTTTAACAGAGATTCTAGGAAAGTATTCAGCTTCACTTAAAAAAAAAAAAAAGCATGTGGGCTCTCCTAGTTTATTTAAAGTCAGTATGTCCTCCACCTACACACTTTTTCAAATCTGGGTTTTTTAATGGTTTTTTTGTTTGTTTGTTTTGCTGTTTTTGTTCAGAAATATTTAATTTCTAAACTTACTAGGATAGATTTCTAAATACTTATTACCAATAGGTATCCTCTTCCTATGTTGCTTCTTTTATTCTATGAAATATTTTGGCCTATCCAGAAAATATAATTATAATGTAATAGAAATTCTCAACCATTAAGAAATTTCATAAAAACTGTTTTTCATTACACATAAAAAAATAACTCAGTTTGGAGAAAAAACCAATTCTACTTGCATATTTTAGTCACAGGCCTTCCAAAATATTTCCAAATTCCAGATTTAATGAAGACTGAATTATGGATATACCCAGGAAGGAACTTTTATGTCTCCGGAAATATAAGGTTTCCAGGTTTTCTTCCCTAATTCTTAAAATAGAGAAAAATCTCCCGGATTTTACATGTTAGACAAGTGTCACAAACTCAGTTTCCTTGTGTCTGAATACTCCACAAGCCATAAAAACTAATACAATGTTGGTTTCTCCTTTTGCTAAAAAAACATGTTTTGCCACAAGAAAAAGATGCTGGCGTAATTTGTTGAGATGTTCTAGAGATATTCTAATTCCAAAAGTTACCATATTTGCATTTGAAAATAAAAGCATTGTTTTATTAGCTTATGATTCTTGTCATTAAGCAAAACATATGTAATCTGACCAGAATGGCAACTGGAAAATGTCAACATTGACCTTATTATTATGAACAGTATTGGGACACTCCTTGGGGTAAAACCAACCTGAAAGCCTAGTTAGAATTCCCACAGAAAGGATTCACTCAACCATGACTATTGATTCAGTGATAGTTTCCCCTTAAGTCCGAGATATGGCATCCTTACATGTAGCTGTGTTGCAAAATGTTTTTGATCTAAGCCCTTAAATAACTCTCTATGATGTGGAATAAAACTTCCCTTTGTCAAATTATCATTTAAACAAATTTGTTTAAGACTATTCTGAACTATTGCATGATTTCCTATCAGAAAATGAGGTGTAAGTGCCAGTCTAAAATAAAAGGAAAAGGAAAATATAAAATCCACATATCTAAGAAATAGTAATACTGGAATATATTGAAATATAGGATCTGTAACAAATAGTTTTAATATAAAACTCCACTAATATTCAAATTTCAAAATCTGAACAGACATAAAATTAATCAACACCACAGCTGAACCTCAGGATTCATTTTTAGAAAACTGCAAGAGAAGAATATATTAACATAAGACTGAAGGACTTATACTTGGTTATGTGAAAAAGGAGAAGGAAGGGTATTGGTCCCAACTGTACAGACTATGATCATTTTAAATACCGGTTGCAAACAGAATCTTAAATGGATCTGAGTTGTACTCATGTCGATCAACTGCTGGTTTTTTATATTTATATGCTTTATATACAAGGTAGACTAGATCAGCTTAGAAAGAGATGTGTACACAGAACCAATGAAACCAAGAGCAAGGGTAGGTTTTTTTATTCATTTTTTTCAAAGGTTGGCCGTGACAAGTCTCCACAACAACATCACATTTCAACTGGTTAAACCTGATTGAGAAAACACACAGTTCCTTGCCAGTCTGTGATGTTCATTTTGGAGTAAAAGCAAAACTGGAGAATGATTCCTGGCACATTTAAAGTAAAAAGAAAAAGTACACTACTTAAAAGAGGCACTAAGTCCTCATTTCTAAATTAATTTTAATAAGACATAAGCCTGCTCTAAAAGTAAAATGTCTCTTTTACTCTAAATAATAGAATCAGATGACAATATTCTAAATGTCCTTCATATCCTCATAGCATTTACACATTTTATTCTCAGAAATATACTTAAAGTTGGTAATTCTAAAACCTTAAAAAAAAAAAAATCAAATAGCCAAAAAATTTTTATACAAAGCACAATCACATTAACATATAATTAAGCACAGACCCCCAAAACCCCACACAAATACAGATTGACTTCTGTTATAAGATCAGTACCTTTTCCTGGACAAAGCTGGTGTACCCCAGGGAGAGGGGAGAGAAGACTCACTTGTCAGGCAAGGAGGGATCTGTTCTGCACGACTACAGACACAAAACAGACAGGGCGGTTTTGAGAGGTTAGAAGAGAACACCAGGTTGGCGGCTGGTTAGTTTCACAAGAAATACCAGTAAAAGTGTACTAAGGAACATCTTCCATACTCAGCGGGAACAAGAAACAAGACCACACACATGCACTGAGGGGAACAGAAAAGCATGCTCAAGGCAGATGCTTATTTATTAATGTTAACACTTAGTATGTTTGTTAAACAGAGGGCCATAAGCCCTGTTTTCGACAAAGAAAACTAAAAATGAGGTCTACTAATTAGGATAAGTAGAAAAGGGAAAAGAAGTTGAATCTAAATATAAAAATTTCAAACAGCTGATTCCTTGAATATTACACCATACTATGTTTCTTCTAACAGTATATGTGCATTTTTATTTTCAAGATGTTAAAAATGGGAAAACAATTTTTCTTACATCACTGTATTCTCTTATCTAAATGGTAAGGTCTAAGAAATATCATCAAGAAACAAGAAACATCTTAGTAGGTATTTCAAGGTAGATTACCTAACGGTAAGGATATAAAAGTTATTAGAAGCTCTAGCCAAGTAGAGTTACTTGTGTTACATATGGGGGTAATATAGAAACAATTCAGTTATTTTATGAAATAAAACTACAGCAATTATTTAAAGTGATAATGCTTGGGACAGATTATTACCATGCACACTCTTACATTATGTTCAAAGTTGAGAAAACATTTTAAGAACTGAAAATAAATGATTTAGGTAAAGTGGTACTCCTATGATCTGCCTTCCAAGTCTGGAATTCCCTCATCATAGATTTTATCACAGTATATTGTAATTGTTTCTGTGTCTGTATTTAAGCTAACGGATGGCCATGTCTAAAGTAGTCTTGTGCTTGAACCTCAAGACTAGAACAATAACATGGCACACAGCAGGTGTTCATTAAGTATTTGTTTAATGAAGGCATGAGTAAACAAGCCTGACAGACTCTTGAACTACCAATGTCTCTTATGGATCTATATTCTCTTACAAGGATTATGAAATGTTGAGAATAATTATGAATGCTAAAAATATATCATCTGTCTGGAAATACATATAATCATAACCATGCTCTCCTACTGATAATATATATCAGTAAGTCTATACCTAATGTTGAGAATAGACGAAAAAGGGAACAACAGTAAATACCACCATTAAAGTAAACTTTATAGAAACTTTCATTAAGTGTATCGAGAGCTAACTGACCCTAGATTTACAAATAATACACAAATATTCATATTGAAAACCTTAACATCAGAGCAACAGTAATATTCACAAATAAGTAACAGGTAAGTAAATAAAAGAAAGGATTCATTTTCATTCTCTTTCAGGTTAACTTATAATTCAAGTTTTAATGCTGAAGTCATACAGAATACCCTTTAATTCAGAGCAAAGTCATACCTGTCAAAAGAATCTGTGGCTACTTTGTAGAGATAAATAAAGAGTTTACTGCAGTGCCGTAAAGTGGGTGACACTGTGTCCATCGAGATTATATCTTCCTCCAAAAGTCTTTGAAACGGCTGTGTGTTTGAGGGGAAGACATTCATGGGGCTTATTTTTCTTAGGTCTGAGAAGCAGCCAAGAAATCGAACGGCATCTGCCAACTTCTCATACTGAATCTCTGTTTTGAAGAAATGAGAGTTGGCTGGCTCATAGCGCATTGCCGCAGTCAATGTGCAGAACACAGTGTGGAGTAGTTCAAACACATGATTCTGGTTCACTTTCTCCCAGCCATTCTTGGGTGGTGAGCTCAAAGACCTTTCCATAGCAACAAGCAAGGACGTAATGTACACAAATCCTCCAACTTTCCTGAAAACTGTTCTTGAACGATGGCTTTCTCGAAGGACTGACAGGAGGGCCTACAGGGGATGAGAAAACAAAGGGTCTCCCTTATACTTCAAATTAAAACAATGTACATGAATGTCAAGGGAGAATATCATTTCTGTGAGTATCTGAAAGGAATGTTTCTGTAATTTCCCCATTAAGCAGCCCTATGAAGCATATCAGATATTTTAGTAATTAAAAAATGACACATTACACAAAAATAGGCATATAGATCAATGGAACAGAACAGACAGCCCAGAAATAAATCCATGCTTATATGGTCAATTCATCTATGACAAAGGAGACAAGAATATACAATGGGGAAAATGGACAATGTCCACAAATGGTGCTGGGAAAAATGGACAGCTAACACTGGAAAGATTTAACTGGACTGGTTTCTTACATCATACACAAAAATAAACTCAAAATAGATTAAAGACCTAATTTTGAGACCTGAAACCATAAAACTCCTGAAAAAAAACAAAACACAAAACACAGTAAATTCTTTGACATGAGCTATATAAATATTTTTCTAGATATGTCTCTTGAGGCAAGGGAAACAAAAGTAAAATTAAACCATGGGAACTATACCAAAGTAAAAACTTTTGCACAGCAAAAAGACAGCCTACTGAATGGGAGGAGATATTTGAAAATGACTTATCAGATAAGAGGTTAACATCCAAAATACATAAAGAAGTTACATATTCAATACCAAAAAAAAAAAAAAATACAATTTAAAAATGGGCAGGAGACATAAGCAGTTTTCCAAAGAAGATATACAGGTAGCCAACAGACACATGAAATACTCCACATCACTTATCCAGGGAAATACCAATCAAAACAATAATAAAATATCATCTCACACCTGTCAGAATGGCTAAAATCAAAAACACAAAAAACAACTGTTGGCAAGGATGTGGAGAAAAAGGAAACCCTTTGTGCCCTCTTGGTAGGCATGCAAATTGGTATAGCCACTGTAGAAAACAGTATGGAGGTTCTTCAAAAAATTAAAAATAGAACTACCATATGATCCAATAATTCCACTTCTGGATATTTATGAAAAGAAAACAGAAACTCTAATTCAAAAAGATGCATGCACCCCTGCTTATTGAAGCATTAATTACAATAGTCAAGATACGGAAGCAATCCAAGTGCCTATCTATAGGCAAATGGATAAATAAAATGTGTGTATATATAATGGAATATTACTTAGTCATAAAAAAGAACTAGATTTTTTTCCAATTGCAACAACATGGATGGATATAGAGGGCATAATGTTAGTGAAATAGGTTATAGAAATACAAATGCTGTCACTTATGCATGGAATTTAAGAAACAAAACAAACAAAGAAACAAAACAAACAAGAAAAAAAAGGAGACAGAGTCCAATAGAACAAACTGGTGGTTGTCAAGGGGAAATGGATGAGGGGATGGGTGATACAGGTGACAGAGATTAAGAGTACACTTATCATGATGAACATTGAGAAATGTATATAACTGAATAATTATACTATACATTTGAAACTAATAACACTGTATATTAATTTATACTTCAATTAAAAGATGTCACATTAGAGGCAGAAGATCAGTGCTAGGAAACACTGCCACATACTTCTTGGTAGATTAAGGCTATACCCAAAAGCTGATGGAAAAGCTTTTCCTTTGTCTTTGATGGATATCAATGAATTCAGTGATTTTTACAAAGTAATTATATTAAATGAGTAAAGTAAATATTCTAGTATAATTTTTATTTTTATACTACTATGAACACTTATGACTGTGTATGTATACAAACTGATTTATTCTAGGAAAGATCAGAAGTCAGGGCAGCCAAGACCTAAAAGTATTTGAATTCATACAAAAAAAACATATCCTGATGCTTTGGAAAGAGGAGTATCTTCAGGGGACTTATAGGCATTCTTTCTTGCAAAGTCAATATAGTCTGATGGCTGAAGGCATGTTCTTGCCCAGAATAGCTAGAAGTCCTATGAAATAAAACCTGAAGGTCAAGCAAGTAAAACAGCCTTTCAGAACTATCAGTTATTTTCTGAACTATCATACTTTTAACTTAGTTTATTATCAAAAATAACACTTTATAGAATTACCTACATTGTATGGGCCCTTATTTTGGATAAGGTACTTCTTCAAATTATATATCAGCTTAGTTAAATCTCTCCATAATCCTATGTATTACCCCCACATGGTAGTTAAACGCAGTTCAACATGGTTAATTAACTTGCCAAAGATTGTACGGCTTACACAATGGCAATGGGAAGATATAAACCCAAGCACAATGATGTACCTACTCGTGCACTTAACTACAACACTACTGCCCCAAACAGCAACCTGAAATTTTTGCTGACACATGCGCTTCTTTTCCTTCTGTTTCAGCTACTGGAACAATATGGTATCTAATGTTACTTAAGACATCATGTGTAATCTTCCCAATCATTACATTTGAAAAGGCCATTTTATTAAAATACCTCCTATTACTAATAGTACATGAAGAAGGGAAAGGCCAAATATTAATAAATATAATTACCCTTTTGAAATATACTGCTTCAGAAATTGAGATATTATACATAGAATGCCTTATTTTTTTTAAAAAAATATGCAATCTGTATAAATAAAAATCTAAACTCCAATGCATTCCTTCCATTATTCTGCCAATAATTTTCATTTTAATAGGATTTAATAGTACAGTTTCCCTATCTTGTCAAATTTAATAAACTGTATTTATACTTGCAATATCAACTTTTTTCTTCTTTTTAAACATTTTATCACCTAGCCTGGAGATTAAATGCAAGGGCTTGAATTAGAATGCTTGGGTTGAAATTCTGAATCCGATGTTATATTTTTGGAATTTTATGTGCCAGTTGTTAAAACACAGGCACGATTAAAAATTAAGTTCTATAAATCTACAACTAAATAATGTAAAAAACAAAAACAGTAAATACAGAAACTCATCACTTCCTAGTTATTTTATGCATTTTACTATTACCTATACTCTTAAGATACTACATAACAGGGTGCTAACATCCATCTCTTTCCAAACCACATCCAGAAACACATTAGCTGCCTGAAATAGGTCATAGTGGCAGTTTATACACCATAGAAATCAGTAAGTACAACACATGAGGACCTCTCTCCTGCCTTCTTCCAGTCGGAGAGTCAGTTATTACCATTACAGAATAACAATGAGTTAATATCACAGGTCAGCTCATTACCTCTCATTGGCTTTATCTAACAATGTTTTACAAATCCAATTAAAAAGGTATTTTTAATCAAGAAAGAAGGAAAATGTATGTTTAAAAAGCTGGCACCTTAAAATCTCTGGAAGGCACTTGTTTTTTTGTTTTCCTGAACCATACTTTCAAATATACAAGTATTCCCTAATATTGATAGGCTATAGATTTCCTTCTCATCTGTGAGATTAGTTGTGGTCAGATTATGTTTTAAAATAAAATGTATATTCAAAATTATTATACACAATCAAAACAGGATGAAATATACAATAGAATAAAGAATAAAAACTTCTTACTGATGAGAAAATCACTGAAAAAAGCAAAAGTTAATAAAACAAAATATGAGATTCTAGAAAGCAGCTATATTTGCTGTGATATCTGTGCCAAGGATGGGGCGAGGGGGCAAGGGGTGGATATCAGAGGGGAAGGAAATGGCTCCCTTGAGGGCTTTGGAGACTGGAAAAGATACTAGCTTTTCTTCTACTATTATGATTTTGACATAATCTTAGACTTGAAGAAAAACTGCAAGAATAGCTTATGATCATTTTAAGTCATTTAAAAATAACCACGTATTTTAATGGTACGAGAGTAGTAACAACACACTTATTAAATTTACCCTTAAAATGTCAGTCTTCAACTGCAATTCTGTTGGTGGGGCTGAATGCATTAGGCCCAGGAGAGTGCCCATGTCATCCTCCCCATTTGGAGAAAGCACCAACTGCTGGATAATCATCAGGGCATGCTGCCGGCACTGTGGGTACTTCACTATATTATGTGCACATCTCGCACCTCCAAATTCTCGGAAAATTCCTTGAAAGAGAAAAAAGAACAACATGGGTTAACTTAAAACATTCTAAGACAATTCAGATGGAATAAAATCTTATCTTCTTGTAGAAAGGATAACTCAAAAGAATGCAAATAAAACCCACCCAGGCATTTCACCTTTTAAATCAGCACACAAAACTGCACTGTAGGATGTTGGCAAAGGCATAAACAAATTCTCTCTTGATTTCCTTAATGAAAGATTAATGCCCTAATATGTCCACCATGTTCAAATTCTACAAATCTAGAACATTCAGAAATTTCACAGGTAGGTACTAAGAGATTCAATATTTTTATGTAAAGGCTTTTAGCTTAACAATATTGAAAATTAAATTATGTAAAAAGCTTTCAGGTGAACAACAACCCATAAATGAGGTTAAATTGAATAAGGCATCCAAAGTAGTAGCAAAAAAGGAGTGGAATAAATATTCTTTAATGAGAAAAATTATAAGGAACTAAACTTTTTGGTGACATAGAGAACACAAACAAACAAAGAGACAAACTCTATAATAAAAAGCATCAGTCCCTGTACCACTCCAAAGACTTTCATAGACTGACTTATTTAATCTTCATGCTGTACTGTACAGATGAGGAAATGAGACACAGAGAAGTTTGGTAACATGGCCAAGGTCATCCAGCTAACAAATGACAGAGCAGGACTGATACCTACATGGACCAACTTTAAAGCTTTAGACTTTTAGAGTACCTTGTATATGTCACTATTACAATAGTCTATATCAAACAGTTTAGTGTTATATGTTTGTATGTTTGGTCCCCCATTAAACTTAGGATTTTCTTCTAGGCTGTATTTCTTTCTTTTTTTTTTTTTAAAGATTTATTTTTATTTATTTATGATAGAGAGAGAAAGAGAGAAAGAGAGAGAGAGAGGCAGAGACACAGGCAGAGGGAGAAGCAGGCTCCATGCCAGGAGCTCGACGCGGGACTGGATCCCGGGACTCCAGGATCGCGCCCCGGGCCAAAGTCAGGCGTGAAACCGCTGAGCCAACCAGGGATCCCCTTCTAGGCTGTATTTCAATAAATATTTCCTGAGTGAAAAGATGTCAGTGTATTTTGCTATAGTGGCTACTGTCCCCTCTATGTAATGACTTTTTATTTGCAAACTTTAAGAATTATATGATTCTCAAATGAGTGTAAGTCCTGTGCTGAGATTTAGCACATGGAAAGCTTCCATGTGTACTTATTAACTGTGGCCAGTTAGTGCCCATTACATAATCATAATGGCTAATATTTTCTGAACACTTACTATGAGCAAAGCATTGTCCAAGTGCCAAGATCACACACTTAAGTACCATCTTTCTTAATAAGGAAAGATAGTCAATAAGAAAAGAACTTTGTGAAAACGTATGGCACTCTGGGAGATGTGTTAAGTGACTTGTAGTCACACAGAGTAAGCTCTCCACTCTCCTCCAATAGTCCAATAGAACTATTCAGTCCCTCTTGAATAATACCAGGTCATGTCATCAAAAGATAATCTGCCAAAGAAATTCTTGATAGTACAAGAATTTATCCTTCTAAGGATAAATCCTTCTAAGTCAACTAAACCTAGCTTAGTTAGTGGAAATGAGGAGATTATGCTTTATACCACAGTCAAAATGTTAACAGCATACCCATTAAACTTCACCATACTTATTATTTAAACGACCTACTAAATTCATTCAATTCTGTCTTGGCATTTGCCAAAACTATATTTAAGTAATAATATATAATTACATGTTGACATCTTTTCCATTGGGTTATAATTCCTTCAGGGCAAGAATCTCTGTTTCTATAACATCTAGCATGGTGCCTAGGACACACAATATATTTTAAATATGTTGAATACTGGGATCCCTGGGTGGCGCAGCGGTTTAGCGCCTGCCTTTGGCCCAGGGCGCGATCCTGGAGACCCGGGATCGAATCCCACGTCGGGCTCCCGGTGCATGGAGCCTGCTTCTCCCTCTGCCTGTGTCTCTGCCTCTCTCTCTCTCTCTCTCTCTCTCTCTCTGTGTGACTATCATAAATAAATAAAAATTAAACAAAAAAAATTTAAAAAAAAAAAGTGTAATACTCTAACCTGAATTACTAACAATTAAGAAAATCACCAAAGGAAGCAGATATTTTAGAAAATATTTAAGCAAAGTCATTAGACCAAAGTCTATATTATGTAAATCTAAAAATAGAAAAAGACCACTTCAAAAACAAGGCACACTACAAAAAGCAATAAAATATAAGAATATATTTTGAAATAATAAAATAATGTTATATATTTTGTAAATAAACTTATAAAGGTCAAAAGTATTGTATTTCTAGATATGACAGTACCATCACTGAATCAACAGTTTTTTCTGTAAGTGACAAGAACATCTCAGAAGAGTCATTAGAGAAGACAAAACCAGACATAATGCTCCCCCAAAGAATTTGCGAGTAGCCTGTGTAGTCACCTGCATTTGTGTTTGATCCTTGGAGCAGCACTGTCAAGGTCTCCATAACCAACAAAGCCAGATGTTTTTGGTCTTCAACTGAACTATTATTTCTTGAGTCCCCTAGAAAAAAAAAGATGAAAGGTTCAAAGAACAAAAGCTATAAGCTTACCTTTTTTTTTCTTGATTAGGTTTTGTTTTAATAATTTATTATTTCTTACTATTCACTTTTACCACTAATACAGCTGATATAATACAACCTTTCAAAAAGATGTATGTTTCCATCAGCTACCAAAAGTAAGGCCAAAATCAGTGTTTACAGATTTTATTTCGGTGTGGCTAGAAAGTTACAGCTGTCTAACAAATAGGAAAAAGGAAAGGTCAGCGCTGGGTGATGTACTGAAGTGGGGAATCACGATATTACACACCTGAAACTAGTATGTTAGCTGAAATTAAAATAGAACTTTAAAAAATAAAAAAAGGGAAGATACCAAAGTTAAATATATTCTTCTTACAAAGGTCTTCCTAATCAAGGTGAAGGTTAACAGGAGAAAGCTAAGATTTTAAGGCACTATTTATGAATAGTTCTATCTATTCAAACTGCATTAATTCATTAAACATATGTAATAGTTACTAAGTGCCAGATACTACCATTCTTTTATCAGATTTGAAAGGATGAAAAATATCACATTTAAGGTACTTTAAATGATAATATATGTAAATGTACATAACTTGACTAAAAAAGATCTATTTTTTTTTTTGCTATCTATAATTAAAAATATTTTGAGGGACCTAAACATCCCAATTGTTTCCAGGATCTTTTAAAATTCCCTCTTAGAAGCAGAAAGTAGCACTTATGAGTCATGTGGACCATAAAGGTTTCCCTCAATTTTTGCCTTAAATTCTTTTCCACTACAATGACATATATCTAGGCGCCTATCCCCTCCCAATTCTGTAACAGAGGTTGAATGGACAAGTTAACTGTGGGAAATATTCACAAGAATATCACCATAATGTACATTAAGTCATTCAAATCAACAGCCAAATAAAAAGCAAAACATGAACAAAACACCCTGCCCAAACCCCTTTGTCAAACAAAAGTGAAATCATAGAAAATGCTTTACCTTGTTCATTTAGTGCCTGAGTTGGATCCTTCAAGAGGGCAGCATATTTGTGCAAAAGGTTTACCATGACCTCCAGAAGGCCCACCTCCCTGAACACATCTTTAAATATGTAGTCATGTCGTGTAAACTTAAGGAGCGTCTTCATTGCAATAATGCTACAGTGGTAAGAAGAGCTAGATTTTAAGAGGATGCTAACACTAATGAGTTCTTTACAAGGGATGTAATTTAAGCTAAAAACAACGAACTCCAACATCTCAAAGTATTTGCTTTGTACTTCTGGGAGTTTAGAAATCTTTTCTGCAAACTGTGATAGTGTGTGCTGTGACTCGAGTATGAAGTAATTGGCATTGTCAGCCATGTAAATATTTGTGATGGCATCGAGGATAATTTGGGCAAGGAAGTTGGTTTTTGCTTTTAAAAATGCATTCTGAAGAACTGCAAAGGCTTGGATGTTTCTCACACTGTGACCTAAAATGGAAAACAATAACACAAAAGTAGGTGCTACATGGTATTTTAATCATGGCAAAGTAGTCTATTTAAACAGATTATAACATTTATCAACTATTTACAAAGAACATATCCTGTTTTCAAAATAAGTTGTTTTTCTCCATCTGACTTCAGTCATTTAATTAAAAACAATGTTGATTAAACTTTTAACGCATTATTATGAATATTCCAATTCAAGAATTGTTATATATTGAAACAGTAGGCTGTTTTACAGAGAATAAATCGTATTATGTAAGTCTAGCCTTCTGAGTTTGGAAATGTGCAGGGATTTCACTTTTTATTATTTGTAAGATGGACCTTGACTGTAAGAACAGTTACGTCTCATTAAAAGACTTTTAACCTGAGCAGTAAAAGGCCAAGGAGTATCAAGAATGGAAGACGGAAAACAGGGGGTTGAAAATTCTCTACATTCCAGTTTCTCTTTATAATTACCACACTAGAACTTCCATAAATTTTAATTTGAAAACGTATTTTGTTTTCAAGCTAAAAGTGCGATTTCTTTACATATACGTTTTTTAAAGTCATTTATGGCTAACTACTAGCTATGTTCAACATCTGATTTTTTTTTAAAGATTTTATTTATTCATGACAGATACAGAGAGAGAGAGGCAAAGACATAGGCAGAGGGAGAAGCAGGCTCCTCGCAGGCAGCCTGATATGGGACTCGATCCCCGAAATGGGATCATGCTCTGAGACAAAGGCAGATGCTCAACCGCTGAGCCACCCAGATGTCCCAACATCTGATTTTCAAACATACCAACTGAGAAAAAAAAAACTACATATATGGCTCGTGTGAGGCAAATTAATAAAATTAATTATAAAGAAATTAACACATAAAGTTTTTGAAGCACCCAAAACAAGTGTTTGCCTCTAAAAACTGTCTCCAGGTTCACAACTACTAGGAGTATAGGGCATTTGCCAGAGTGAACAAAAATTTAACCTAGTACCAAGAAATTAGCATAGTCCATCATTTCTTATCCAAAACTAGATTAATAAGATATCTAACAACAGCAAAAACAAAAACAAGAAAACCCACTAAAACCAAAAGTCAAACTTAACAGTCATAGTTAAAAATGGGTAATATTTATTTATTTATTTATTTATTTTATTTTTATTTATTTATTTATTTATGATAGTCAGAGAGAGAGAAAGAGAGAGAGAGAGGCAGAGACACAGGCAGAGGGAGAAGCAGGCTCCATGCACCGGGAGCCCGATGTGGGATTCGATCCCGGGTCTCCAGGACCGCGCCCTGGGCCAAAGGCAGGCGTCAAACCGCTGTGCCACCCAGGGATCAAAAATGGGTAATATTTAAAAAATCAATTGCATTTCTAGAAACTAGCAACAAGAAATCTGAAATGAAATTAAGAAAACAATTCTGTTCACAATAGTTTCAAAAAGAGGGATCCCTGGGTGGCGCAGTGGTTTGGCGCCTGCCTTTGGCCCAGGGCGCGGTCCTGGAGACCCGGGATCGAATCCCACATCGGGCTCCCGGTGCATGGAGCCTGCTTCTCCCTCTGCCTGTGTCTCTGCCTCTCTCTCTCTCTGTGTGTGTGTGACTATCATAAATAAATAAATAAATAATTTTAAAAAATTAAAAAAAAAAGTTTCAAAAAGAATATAATATTTAAAGGTAAATTTAACAAAAGAATTGTAAATCCTGTGCGATGTACACTATAAAACTATAGTTGGAGAAAATAAGACCCAAATAAATGGAAAGCTATATATATTCATGGATTGAAAGATTCAATATCATTAAGATGCGAATTGTTCCCAGGTTGATCTACATTTAATGTACTCCCAATCAACTCCTAATCTCAAGAAGCTTAGTTTTGTTTTTAAACACTGACATGATTATTAAATATATATGGAGTTCAAAGAATGTAGAATAGCCAAAGTACTTTTGAAAAGAACAAAATCAGACAACTTAAATGACTCAATTTCAAGAGTCACTTTAGATAGTCAACACTTTATAGTACAGGCTTAAGGACAGACATATCCATCAATGGAGCAGAACTGAAAAAGAATCACAGATATCTGGTTATACACAGTCTTTTCAACAAAAGGTCATAGATGTCCATACTGGAAGAAAAAAACCTTCTTTTCTACTATATATATAAATTAAAACGTATCACAGACCCTTACAAAAGTTATCAAAATATGAAACTCCTAGAAGAAAACACAAATCTTAGTGAATTTGGGTTAAAATTTTTCAATTCGAGGTAAAATATACAAAATAATTTTTTTTCAAAATATTTTTAAAATGATAAGTTGGACTTCATCAAAACTAAAAAGTTTCCATTCTTCTAAAGATGCTACTAAGAAAAAAGGCAAGTTAAGACCAGGAGAACATACTTACAAAATATGCATAACTTTTAAAAGATTATCCAGAATATTTAAAAGACTTAAAATCCCAATAAAAAGAGCAATCCTATTGAATACTGGGTACAGAGATCTGAACCAAAGTAGAGATATAGGTGGCAAATAAACACATTAAAAGGTCCCTGAAATCATTTCAAAAAATGCAAATTAAAAACACAACTAGATACTACAACGTACTCACTAGAATATCTAAAATTAAAAAGACTAACACTACCAAGTGTTGCTGAGGATATAAAGCAAACTTTCTCACATTGCTGCTCATGGTAGTGCAAATGGGATAGCTACTTTAGAAAACAGTCTGGCAGTTTCTCATAAAGTTATATATTTATATGACCCAGCATTCTACTGTGTGGTATTTGCCCCAAAGAAATGAAAATACATGTCCCCACTAAGACTTGTTTCATATAAATGTTCATAGTAGCTTTATTCATGATAGTTAAATAAATGCCATCAGTTGATGAGGAGGCAAACAAAGTACAAGAAATCCAAATAATGAAATACTATCCAAAAAAGGAACAAACTTCAGATACATGCAATAACATGGATAAATAATAAAAGTGAAAGAAACTGGATACAAGAAATTATATACTATATGATTCCAGTTTATGAAATTCTAGAAAGGCTAAAACCAAAGTAGATCAATGGTTGCCAGGGCAAGCGGGTAGGGAAACAGGGATTGCAAAGGGAAACAAATTTTTAGAAGGATTGGAATATCCCATATTATGATTACAGTGGTGATTACACAAGCACATATACTTACGAAAACTCATCAAATTCAACACTTAAAATGAATAGATCTGAATATGTGCAAATGATGTCTCAATATTGTTGACCAGGAAAAAAAAAAGACATTCCATATTCTCTGTATGTGAAACAGAGCTATCTCCTTTAGTCTGCACAATAACTCTACAACGCAGGCTATGGGAAACATATTTTTGGACTTATAGATGAAACTGAAAATGATCTAGCTGATCCATTCACTTTATAGACTATTATTACATCAACTATTCTGAAGAAGAAAGGGATGATTTAGAAAGGTTGAATGACTCATGGTCACCTGAATTCTGACTCTGGGGGCACTGTCCTTTTAGTTAACTGCACTTTCGTGGACAACAAGTCACTAGATTCTCCCAGTAACCCCAGGATATGTGGTTATCTCTGTTACAGATGAGACAATATAAGGAAAACATATGAGGAAGGTTAACTGTGCTGCATTAATTCTCTCATTACAAAATTATGCTATTATAACTAGCTATTATGCCAGTATCATGATTAGATTAATCAAATAAAACAATGAAGTTTAAAATAAGACATATGCTGTGAGCTATTTTTAAATTAACTCAAAGAAATAGTTAATTGTGGAATATTCAAGCTACAGTCTATAAATTAGAAGTTTTTGGGAACCCTGGGTGGCGCAGCGGTTTGGCGCCTGCCTTTGGCCCAGGGCGCGATCCTGGAGACCCGGGATCGAGTCCCACGTCAGGCTCCCGGTGCATGGAGCCTGCTTCTCCCTCTGCCTATGTCTCTGCCTCTCTCTCTTTCTCTCCCTGTGTGACTATCATAAATAAATAAAAATTTAAAAAAAAAAGAAGTTTTTTGAGACTCTTATTTTTTTCTTAGTGTTAAATAAAGTGAAACCTTGAACTTCTCGGTAAGATATGCCTGGAATTCTAGTTATTGCATAGAGACTCACTTGAAAAGTTCTATATAACCTACACAATGAGGGTACAATTTACTATAGGAAATCTGACAACTCCAATCTAAGTCATGACTTTTTTTTTTTAAGATTTTATTTATTTATTGATGAGACACACAGAGAGAAAGAGAGGCAGAGACACAGGCAGAGGGAGAAGCAGGCTCCATGCAGGGAGCCCGACGTGGGACTCGATCCCAGATCTTCAGGATCAGGCCCTGGGCTGAAGACGGCGCTAAACCACTGAGACACCCAGGCTGCCCTAAGTCATGACTTTTGAATATAATTTTCTCCAGTAAATTAAATTGAGGACTTTCTAGTAAATCCATTTCTCTTCACTGAAGAAAAAGATTTATAACTGCTGACTTCTATGTAATAAAAATACATAGATAACATACTGTGATACTTAAATAACCAGACATGTTGATATTTTCTGGCTAGTTAAATTTTACATGCAAATATCGTAACTACCAAATATGTAGTAAGTGACAATCATAGAAAAGAAACTAGAAGAGGCCTTCAGGCTCAGATCTTTCAGAACAGTTATTATGCAGTTAAAAAAATTAAACAGTAAAAGTTGCTTGCACTCTTACGTAACTAAATGCTACTAACTAAACGAGTTTTCTTGGTAAAAAAAATCACTAGATGAAGAGTCAAAGTTAGGAAATGTGAACTATAAAATTTATTCTCCGGCCTGAAAGAAATAATATAACGTCTTTGCAGGGCACCTGGGTGGCTCAGTTGGTTAAGCATCCAATTTTGGCTCAGGTCATGACATCAAGGTTGTGAGATCCAGCCCCTGGTCAGGCTCCATGCTAGGTGTGGAGCATACTTAAGATTCTCTCCCTTTGCCTCTCTCTGCTCTTCTCTTTCTCTCTCAAAAATAAAAAGTCTTTGTACCTATTTTTTAAAATATAAGCATTTTCACCTCTGCTTTCTATTTATATCTTATATAGAGATAAGCATGGTGATCAGCAAGTGAATCAAGTTCCAACCACATAATCTGGAAATGCATTAGCAGCCAACATTCAAAAAGAGGATGTTTAGGTTATTAAGCTGTTTGAATGTTATAAGATGAAATACTAAAATGTAAATTTCATAAGCTGATTCTTACAGTATTTTCATAATATACATTGTTTTCAAGTATTAGATCTGGTAAGGTTGTCACTCAAGAATTTACACCATAAATAAAGCATAAACTCTGATGAAAAACAGCCTATTATCTTTCTACATATAACAAGGAGTACTCAAAGTTAAATTTATTTATTTACTAATTAATTGTTTCTACATCTTTGAGTGGTCCAGAATAGGAAAACAAAAGCAAAAACAAAACTCACCTTTCCCTGCAGGCTGAGGTACTGCAAATCCAGGCAATAAAAAGGGTGCTCCTGTGGTAATACCAGCTGGTTTTAGTTCATTGACACCATATGTTGTTAGGGAAGTTATCAGATTAACCAGATCTTTCAAGGCATCTTTGGATTCTGCTTCTTTTGCTTGTTCCAATCTAGGAAAAGTATGGTTTAGTAAATATTTTTTTCTCTTTTGCTGCATATTCAAATTTAATATAGAAATTTTCAATTTGCATATGCAATAAATGAATAAAGTACTCCAAGAAGTTTCTTCATACAATTTTTCCTTATATAAAAACAAACTATTTTTTAAACCTACAAATTTCATTATAAAGACATTACACCACAACGAAAGAAAATTATGCCAAATATGCTAAGACCTCATATATGTAAGCGCTGATCTTGCCTTTAACAGTGTTATTTTCGGTAGATCACTAAACTTTGATAGAAAGTATCTATAAAATAAAAGAATGAGATTAAATGTCTCTTAAATTCCCTAGAATTCTAAGATTATAAAGTTTCACTGTTTACAACTAAAACCTTTACTAACCATTTCTTTCCAAAGACATTTCTTTGTTAACAATTTTTAAAAATTAATTTCCTGGAAAGAATTTTAAATCTTTATCTGTATTTCATTAATTCAAGTACTGACTTTGGAATACATTTAAGTAAAGTTCTGAGAGTCTGACAATTTTTACAAATAACACTTGGAGTCATTATGGAATTATCTTTTGACTGTGGCTTTATCAAAAACACAAAATAGGGTGCAAAACTATTTTTTTTAAAGACTAAGATTTATTGGGGCTTCCTCCATCATAGAACTAATTATTCTCATTAAAATAAAGCTGAAGAATGCACACAAGTAGGAAAAAAAGTAAAAGTAGTTTTAGCCTCACAACTCACTTTGAATAACCTGTTTTTTTGATTTACCCATGTTAACACAAATGTTTTTCCTTTAATATAAAATCCTTATACATATTCTTTCAATGGTCTTGAAGAGCCAACCACAGATTTGGGGAAAAGAAGGCATAGTCAGTAGAAATCAGAATATAGGAGCACTAATACACATAAAATTTTGTCTACATTTAGGATTATATTTTTATATTTTTGGATTAATAACCATAAGTGAAATTACACTCAAGGAGTATCAACATTTTTGAGGCTCTTGATAGTAGCTGATCAACCTGCATTCTCAAAGGATTATACCAATTAACACTCCCCCTAAGTAAAGTGAAATGCTTGTTTCATCTATTTTTATGTCCTCCTTTATAAATAAGGATATTGTACAAAATTATATTCTGGGGAACTGCTTAGTAGTAATGGCAACTAGGTTAAACTGGTGTCAGAAATAAGGAATTTACAAGAGTGCAGATAAAATGATTTAAAAGTAAGTCATGGGCCAGGAACAACTAGTAAGGCATGAGTATTTTCTTCCTAAGAAATTTGCAGTCAGTCATTTTCCCAGGATACACATGAAACATTTGGGATGGACAAGGGGGCTTGTGAGACATTTTGTTTTATATATATATTTGTAAGGTCTCATTCAATCCACGTAATTATTATTAACTATATTAATAAACCACTGGTATTGTAAGAAATCCCAAAAATACAAGTAAGCACACAGAGTTTATACTTTAGGAAGATGCTGATTAGTTCATCTAAGCTCTTCTCCCACAGCTACTGCAGAGCAGATTTATTTCCACACCTGACCACGGACTCTACCAAGTTTGTAGCCTGCGTTAGCCAGCTTAAACTCACTTTTTATTCTCTGTTGACAGACAGGAATAAAGAGAAGGGATTAAAGCCAAAGAGATAAAAGTATACATTAAATAAGTGATTAAAAATAATAAATAAATAAATAAATAAATAAATAAATAAATAAATAAATAATTCCTTTTTCTCCATAGTCCCAGACCTCACTGTTTCCATTGATGAAAAAGACTGAGTAGACATTTAAAACATATTCTTAAATTGTGGGGTTTTACCTAAGCAAGAGATCACAAAGGAAATTATATCCTTGCCATATCCGAAAATCATCCAAAAGAGTTTGGGAAACATCACTCGAATCTTTGAGGAAACAAGAAAGCCCAGCAAACATTTCAACAATTTCTAGGGGAGACAGGTCATCTGATTGCTGCATATTTTGAACACATGTAGATAAACATTCTTTTTCTGCAAAAATTAAGAATTAAATAAACATATTATTTATGTCAATTGCTTTAAAAAAATTTTTACTCTTAACCAGTGTTTAATAAACATTAAATTTTTAATGTATCTATAAAATACTGTAAGATAAAGGTTACATGTTCTAAAAGTAAATATAAGATTCAAATTCACTGGAAAAGCTCTGTCTCAAAGTAGTAAACAAAGAGTAATACAAATATTGAAAAGTAGTTGACATGTATAGTTTTTACATATTTGGATGTTTTTCATTAAACAAAATGATTCCTTGCTGCCAAATGGTATTTTTAATCTTTTATGTTATTAAAAAGAAAATTCCAATCATTAGTTTAAAAACTCAAATTAGGGTGAATTTGGACCAATGAGATAGACAAAAACTTCAAGAAAAAAAATCTTTAAGTTATGTTTGCCCTATATATTACTAATTTAAAGCACAAGTTATACCTTCTCACTGACTTTGGCAATTAAAGGCTTTTCAAAAAAAAGATTTTCTCTCAGCCACCTGCAGGCACATTGCAGGCCCAATTCAGCCTCGCAGTCAGAGGAACACTGAGCTTGGACCCCCAAGCAGGCTGTCACACACTCCTTAACTACAAGAAGCTTTCCCAGCACAGAGCCTTGTGGAGAGTGCTGGGTAGATGTGACATCTATCACAGAAACCCTTGCACAGCTGGGCAGGCACTAGGATGTAATGGTAACTCATTTGTTCTTGTGGACCCTTCTGACCTTTGAGTTAAAGCAAATTTTCCACTGAACACTCATAGCTCAGTAAAAGCATGGAGGAGTGTGAGTTCGAGCAGAAGCAGGTTGACTCAGGAATCATGACCAAATTTAAGAATAGAAATGGGGTTTTGAATGAGGCATAACTCTGTGATTTATTAGTTGTTCCATGAAACAAAATAGTGTAAACTATCAAAAAGAAAAAAAAAAAGAAAAAAGATTTTTCTCTCTCTTTAACAAAATTTGTTTGTCTAAAGGAAACTCGGTGTCACATAAAAAAGCCAAGAAGATTTAACATAGGAATGGAGGCAGGAAACATTTAATGACTGGATGTTATGAGTAAACAAACCGTTGTATTAAAAATCATTTTGAAAGATTTTCAGGAAAAAAAATATAAGTGAACTATCTGAGATGCTACATTGTCTCTTATTTAGACATTTTGAAGGTTAGCTGACACTTATATGGGAGTTCAACAGAATCTATAATTTCCCCTTAGTGCTAATAAAGAACCATCTAAATTCATTTATGTCTCATTGGGCAGATACTTATCTACCTATTTATGAAGTATCTTCAGAAAGGCTTTAAATTATAGCATCTCAAAAAAAAATTTTTTAGTAGAAAAGGAGGAAAGAATGGGCTGTGACACCAAACTTACATTATGATTAAACAAGACAATGAAATTATTTCAACTCTTATAAACATCCTTTGTTGTAACATATAAAAATTTCTAACATTTGAAATGCCTCATGAATAAAAAAAAAATTTTCTCCTGGTAAATATCGTTTTTAATTCAAAATAAAATCAATCTTTAGAGGATTGAGAGAGAAAAAAGCAGTGTTGTCATCATATGAGGAAAATGGAAGAAACTTTCAGCAGCTAAAATAAACATAAAGAAATATTCACCATGAATATACTTCACTACATTGACACTAAGACCGTGACGGGATATGGTCATAAGGACTTCTCCAGCACTCTTCCTCCAAGGCAGGTTGTAGGGAGGGCACCAAGAGGTTATTGCACTGAATAAAAGCTGGAGATCATCTTTTTGAGCCAGCTCCTCCGCCGGAGATACAAAACTGCAGAGTTTCACTAAGATCTAAAAAACACAAAACAAATATGTATTTAAATAAATGAATGGATGGGTAAAGGGAGGAGCTAGAAGAGGACTAGATCTTATTATTAAAAACTTTGAAAGTTCAGGGTTAGTATAAGTGATATCATTAAAGCCACAATGATGGGTGCTCTTAACTAAGGCAACATTAAAAAAAAAAAAAGCCATAATTCAGAAGTATGTTATGGTAAGACAGTAAGCCAGACCCACTTTTATCAGCTTATTTAAAAACAACAACAACTCTGGTGTTTACTATCCTGTCTTCTCTGTGCTATTTTTCTTTTAAGATTTTATTTATTTATTTGAGAGAGGGAGAGGGAAAGAGAGAGAGAGAGAGAACATAAAGGGGAGGAGCAGAGAAAGAAGGGGAAACAGATTCTCTGCTGAGCAGGGAGTCTGACATGGGACTCGATCCCAGAACCCTGGGATCATGACCTGAGCTGAAGGCAGACACTTAACTGATTGACCACCCAGGTACCCTTCTCTATGGTATTTTTGCATACTGACTCTAAACTGGAATAAATCAATAGTAACTTTCAAGGTCAACATTTTGGCTTTCTACTTTGGTTTATAAATTCTTAGATTGTCCTAGGTGAGACACAATTTTCTTCTTTAAATAGGACAGTTTTAGGGAAGTGAGAAAGTAAAAACAGGCCTGTAGAATTATTTTTTTAATTGTTCTTATCTCTGTACAAGTAAAAGGGGATATTACAATAATAAAATCATCTTTATTCAGAAGTATCTTTCAATTATGTCTAGTAGCCAAAAATCTTCTAAGGCTTGGCTTTCAAAGAAGATTTAAAACTTCTTAAGCTTTGGGATGAGAGCTTATCCCTTACCTATGATTTGCAGAATTTATATTGCACAAGGACTCAAAAAAACCAAGAGCCACTACTTGCAAAATTCAGTTATGGTTTTTGCCTTCAGTGAATTCTTTTCCTCTAATCTTGACTCAGCATCAGAAGTTAACTTTTCTCTTCCTTGCTAAAGTTTCTTTTCTAAATATTTTAAAATACATATAATAATGAATAAAGTAACTAATTCATGTAAGTTTTATTCTTTTGAAAGACAAGTGCTTTATGAAATCTGAGTATTTCAGTATCTGTAGGGAAACTGCAAAATACAAAAAAAAGTATTTAAAATATGTTTTGTCTGAGATAGCTAGGTTTTACTTTTCCTATTTCCTTCAATGCAAAAATTTAAATAGAAGGGCTTTCTAATTCATAGCTGCCAAATATCAGACAGGGGAAAAAAAAAAAAAAGGACCAAGAATTCAAAGAAAGAAGAAATTTACAAAATCAGTAAATACAGGCTTTCCCCTCCAACAGACATATATAAAATCCCTAGAGAAAAAAAAAAATGCCTAGAGAAATTGTTGGATCTGACTTAATACATGTAATAGGTATTATCTTTTTCCATGTGTCAAATGCAACAAAAATGATAATATGAAAAAAGGACAGTCAACTGCAACAAAAATACCTCTCCTCAGAAAGGTGTATCGTCAATTACACTTTTCACTGGTTCTCACACTGCCCTTGTGATTAGAGAAATGGATGTCATTTTTCTAATTTGTAATATAAAAACAAATCCAAAAATAAAATATTTTTCTAACTCAAATCTTTGTTCTCAAAAATGAACTGAATTTAATTCCTTAAATTTGTTGATTCTTAAAAATAACTAGTTCTTGATCTTTAAAGGCAAAAATATTCTCAGAAATAATATCATGTAATCCTTTTATTTTATAGAATAAAAAACCAAAGAGTCTGTATCTCATCAATTCCTCTTCTCCCATACAGTAACCATTTCTATTTGCAGGGACTCTGTTATTCATTCCAGCCAAGTGTAGGAGAGAAAACTGGCCATATCAACACAACAACAAAACCCCATAAAACACACACACACAAAAAATACAATGCATGCCTACATGAAGCAGTACCAATGCTAAGGTCCCAGGAAACCATCTGTCACATAACATAAACATAAGGATTTCATCTAACACAAACAATATGTATGCTGAAAACATTCAGTAATTCTGTCTCCACTGGTGTTCTAGACAAAACGATGAAAACAGTGTCCAGCCTGTGATGAGAAACTGAAATGAGGAAGTGAAAAGCTAAAGGAAGACTGGGTTACGAGGTGGGAAGAGCAAGGCTCCTATCCCTGCCACACACCTGCTGTGCATCACAGCCTTGGCTATTAGTTTCTGTAACTTTAAATGGGGAGTTTCAGTCAAATTTTCTTTGAAGTTCTTTTTGGCCTTAATATTCAATGGTTCTAATATGCTAAAATGAATCCCACATTCCATTGGAAACACCCACTGCATTCAGATAGAAAACACTTTTTTTTTAAGTTTTAGAAGAAATCTTTGCTATACGTATTTAGAATTAAATGCATAAAATTCAGCTTCTATTTAATGCCTAATATATTAATTTTTAGAAGGCTTTTATTGAAATAGGGACAGTAGCCTAATAAGCAAAGACTAACCCACTACATTCATTAGCAATGTCTTAAAGAAGCTTTAATTACTCCTTTGTTTATTCCCATTGCTTTTCTCAACCAATCTAATTCAGGACTCAGATAAACCTAAATTATAATCCTATTTCTACCATTTGCTCTCATCATCATTTTGCGGAAAAGAAAAACCTCTGAAGTTATGGGTTGTCTTGCAAATTATAGGAGATAATGGATGCTACCTAACCACTGTAAAAAGTATCCAAAAAAATCCAGTGTTCGAGAAATTTTTGTTGAATTAGTACTTTATTTATAATTGTCTCTTTTTTTAAGATTTTATTTATTATTTTGAGGGAAAGAGAGAGAACACGAGTTGGGGGGAGGGGCAGAGACAGAGGGAAAGGGAGAAACAAATCCCCTGCTGAGCAGGGAGCCCAGCCTGGAGCTCTAACCCAGCACCTTAGGATCATGACCTGAGTTGAAGGCAGATGCTTAGCCAACTGAGCCACCCAGGGACTCCATGTCTTTTCCTTTCTAAAATTGCCTTGGTTTCCCTCTCTCCTGTCCCTTCATGGCTCACACCTCCACAAAGCTCTACAGCAAAAACCCCAATATATGATGTGCGATCGTCACCTGTACCTGGATCCAGCTTATCTACTTCAGATACTGTCCTCTCTGCCACTCCCACTGACGATGGTGGCATTGGTGGTGGCAAGAGCAGCAATCACAGGGACTTTCAGTTCATGTCTACCACACCCTGGGCAGAGAACCATTGTTTTGTGTATTGTTCCACTTAATCCTCACAAAAACCCTTTAGGTAGGTATCATTATCTTTATTTCAGAGGTGAGAAATCTGCATCTTAAAGTTATGTAATTCCAGAGAACTGAATTCAAACAAGTGTGGTTTTTTTTTTTAATTGAGGTAAAAACACATAACACAAAATTTATCATCATAATCATTTTTAAGTATAGAGTACAGTAGTGTTCACTACATGCATGTTGTACAACAGATCTCTAGAACATTTTCATCTTGCAAAACTGAAAACTCTACACCCACTGAACAACAACTCCTTGTTCCCCACCCTCCAGCTCCTGGGAACCATCACTCAACTTGCTAAGAGTCTGACCACTTTGGATTCACAGAAATAAAAGTACGTAGTATATGTCCTCTTGTGTTAAATGTGGCTTTTTTAGTACTGTATTAGTCCCACGGACAGACTGTGTTCCACATGTGTATAGTTTTGAAAATTTTCTCCTAAGAAAGGATATGAAAATGATGGCAATATTTTCAGGCTAACAACAGCCTATTTAAACCTTGGTTAACTGCTAATGCTATTAAAAGAAAACCAGCAACAGCAGTGAAGAAGGACTTTAAGCAAGAAGCAAGAAGCAGAGGAGGTGGTAGCAGCTACTAAAATAAACTGCTTTGTACAAGAAAAATATTTATAGGCTAGGAATTTCCTGTATTTAGAGCAATGAACAGAATCTCTTGATATTAAAAGAAATATTACCCCAAATTTAATATGATTGTCAATAGAAGTTTTTCTTGCTTATTAGTTCATTTTGGGGATGTTATTGCTTTATCAAAGGTAACTTTAATAGTTGAATCTGTTCAAAGAAATAAACTTGTTAATGCCTCATTCCTTTACTCCTCAAAGTAAATGTTCATATTCAAGAAATGCGACAGTTATATGAGATGAAGTCAATAATAAAGAGCATAGAAGGGGTGCCTGGGCTCAGTCAGTTAAGCATCTGCCTTCAGCTCAAATCATGATGCCAGGGTCCTGGGATTCAGCTCTACATCATGCTCCCTGCTCAGCGGAGAGTCTGCTTCTCCTCCCTCTCTGCCGCTCCCCCTGCTTGTCCGCTCTCTCTCTCTCTCTCTCTCTCTCATATAAAATAAATAAAATCTTAAAAAAAAAAAAAGCATGAAATACTACAGAAAATGGAATAAGCAGAAATCTCTTTACGAGAGCACCTGCTTCATTTGAAATAGACTGGTATTGATGGGCAGGCAAATAGCACCCTCCATACCTGCACAAAAACTTTCTGGAGTAGTCCACGACGCTCTGCTAGAGGTAGCTCATTCTGTGCACCTCCAACTGCCTCAGGCACATGTGGAAGGTCAAAAAACAGATATAAACATTTAACCAGGGTGGAAGGCACTGACATCGTTGTCATGCAGTCCACGGTTTTCTGGAAAACAAACCAATTAATAAGTGAATAGGTAGACAGACATATAACTGCAATTTGTACTGCTAGGTAAGTTCACAAATTTTAAGCCAGAAGTTAAATCATTAACTCACAAATTTTAAGACAGAAAATTATATATCAGAATAATTTTATAAATGCCTGAAAAATTTAAGAATGACTTTATGCTGACAAATATTCATTTTCCATTTAGACAAGTTTGCTTTAATCAAATATTGAGATGTGTTTGTTATTTATTAAGTTTGCTATTTATTCATTAAAAGGCAGCATGTTTCAAAGAACATAAGCTTTGGGATTTAGAAAAAAGAAACTTAACCATAAACTTGGGCAAACTAATTTTGTTGGACCTCACTTTCCTCTCCTATGAAACAGATCCATTGACACATAAGTCTTAGAGTTAATATGTAACAAATGTGAGATATATTAAGCACTAAATTACAAATTAGTAGTTGCTTTACTATCATTTTTATTTTATTATACATTCTTGGGGCTGGAAGGACACTTGGAAGGATACAGCCATCACTGACATACACAGAAATCTCTATATTATTTTCAACAATCCACCTTTATTTACGGTAAACCTTTCAGTATTCTTAAGAAGTATACTATAATAATTGCCAAATTTTTTCATGGTGCAGTTTGGAATAAGTTTTACCACACTGGAGATCAAGAGGCTGGCATCATCTGTATTTAGTTTATTAGCATTTTCATCAAGCATTTTTTGAAAGCATAGGGTATGTCTGGCAGTATGCTGGGAACTGGACATGTAATGAAAAAGCACCCCTGTCCTTTAGAAGACTGTAGTCTATTAGCAGAAGTAGGTTCATCAGTCACTATGATTTAATCTCTTAAAGGTAGAAATGATAGTACACACAGGCTAATATAAAGAGGAGTGATCCACACCTCCAGGAACGGAATGGAAAAGTATAGGAACTAAGAGGGGGAAAGATCACCTGGAAGATACATAGGAGGTTGAACTATATGGTACAGTATGTTTCAGGAACCTGAGTCCAAAACTGTTAACTCCTGAAAAGCCACAATAATAATGTCAAATCTTTAATGAGTATAAATCATAGAATAGGCATAAGGCTACGAATTTTAATTATCTCATCTATTCCTCCATCAACCCTACAAGGTAGATTCTATCACTGTATGTTCCTTACTTTACACATGAAGCAGTTGAAGCTCATCACTGACATAAGCTGTCTTAGGTTAGAGAGCTGGTTAAATAGTCCCCAAGTGTATACTATGTATGCATATGGTCTCCCACACTAGTTTGACTTTTTTTTTGCTGGCATTGGAGAACCAGTGAAGTTTTAAAGTGTTACAAACAAAGGAGTAACAGAATCAGATTTCAAAAAAATAACTGGTGATAGTATAGATCTAAATTAGATAAAAAGGGCAAGAGAGTCAGGATAATTAGGGAACTAGTACAGAATACCGTATGAGAGATGGGGCCTGAACTAATGCAGTAGTAGGATGATGGAGAGAAGAGAGAAAGCCTAAAGAACAATCCTTTGGGGGGAAAAAATCACAATCCCTTGCATCATCTGGACCCTTTCTACATCTCCAGTATCATTTCCTCCAAGTATTTTAAAAACCCTTTGCTCTTCCCACTATGATTATTTCCAGTTATCCCATGTCTCCAAACACCTGATGATCAGTCTTTTTTTTTTTTAAGATTTATTTATTTATTCAGAGAGAGAGAGAGAGAGGCAGAAACACAGGCAGAGGGAGAAGCAGGCTCCATGCAGGAAGGCTGACATGGGTCTTGATCCGGGTCTCCAGGATCACACCCCGGGCTGCAGGCGGCGCTAAACCGCTGCACGACTAGGCTGCCCCTATTAATTTTTTTAAAGATTTATTTGAGAGAGAGAGAGAGAGATAGTGAGAGAAAGCCCAAGTGGAGGGGAGAGGGAGAAGCAGGTTCTCTGCTGTGGAGTTGGGTCATGACCCAAAGGCAGATGCTTAACCTACTAAGCTACCCAGGCACTCCCTGACATTAAAGGTCTGACCATGTCTGAAGCTTTAATTCCTTATCTTTCCTCCTACCCTCACCTACGAAATTTGTAAGGCTCACATTTCAATTTTCATAGCACTACGTATACCCCATGACTGCATTTTATAGTATTGTCTTCATCTACTCCATCTCTGTCATCTACATGTTGATTTAGGATGCCTACAAAAAAGTCAACTCAAAATATTTAACACTGAATTTTCTTTTAAAATGTCTCTTTTTCTAGTTAGGTTATTACTAGCTTTCCCTTTACATTAGGCAAAATGGTATGATTTTTCATTCTCATTTTATAACTGATAGACTAAACGTATAACTTGGTATCCAAACTAGTAATCAACATCTTTTGTAATTTTTTCAAAAAGTGATTTGGTTTCTCCTGATTCTTTTCTTACACTTTTAAGGCAATCTGTCTATCTGTACACATGTAAGTTAATCCACATTTACTGACTTTCTACTGTGTTAGGTATTCTGGTAGGATACACTTTCTGTTCACACGTGAAAAAGATAACATCTACAGAAAATATGAATAAAACTTAGAAATATCACAATTAAAAACGATTATTTTTACATGCTATTCTGAACCCAACCAAATTTTTTGTACAGCATGGAGACATATAGCTACAATCAATAGCAAATAGAACTGACATTTTGATAGTTTTCTGGTATGGTCACAGATACATGAAACAGTGGGCCTCTTTAGGACTATCTGAAGGTTACTTAGGATAAATAAATACCTCTATTTGCCCAGGACTCAAGGATTGTCTGTCTGGGTTGTGCGGCTTGCAGGCTAAAATCTGGAAAGTCCCAGGTACATCAAAGCAAATTGGTCTGATTCCTTTTGTGATGTTGAGAAACAAACAAACAAACCTAAACCAGCAAACAAAAAAGGGGATTCTAAAGGAAAAAACTCCAAGTGCTCCTACTTTAGGCTAGTGATTAGTGTCAGGACATGGTTACTAAGGAATATGCATTGTTTCCGCTGTGGCCCATCACTGTAGAACAGACTAGTGTCACAGCTACCTTTGTAAATTCAATTATTAAATGACATGAGTTGTTTGAAAAGCCCACTGTAATAACCATTCTCAAGACTAGTACTAACTTTGCTGGGTAATTCTATTTGGAACTGTAGAAGGCTGCAAAAACCTCTTGAATGTCCACATCACAGACCAATAATCAGGTATCCAAATAGCTCATCACCAAGTAGATGCAATACAGATCATGGCAGATATTTTAAAGGTGATTGGTGGGGCAGGGGGCAATCTCCAGAATAAATTAAGCAGGACAGGAATATATATTATCCTGAAAATGTCAGTATTCCCATATTTTCCATAAAAATTAGAAAATTTAAAAGTATTTTCAATGTCATTTATACCTTATTAGTGAAGTGACCTCAGATGATTCTTCTAAGGCAAGTTCCCTAACATGAGTTACAGAAGTGTTGGTCTGGGTCTGATGGAGCCAGAGCTCCTGGGCTCCTTGTCTACAGTCACAGGAAGTCCACTGCTATGCCTAGGATGGTATTGTGTTCTATACACGTGTTATGAGGTGACATAGATGGAAAACACTGTTTAAGTTAGGCATTTCCTCAGGTTTAAAATTTCTAAAACATAAACCTCCTCATAGAGATGCTGTAAGCAGCATGAAGTAAAGTGTAAGAAAGATTAAAAGAATACAATGGTTATATTAAAATCTTATTTGGATACGGTGATAAATTTCACAAAATTCCAAGAGGATAAAAAAAGTAGTTACCAAACATAAAAACAACTTACCTGACCAGAGGATGCTAACAAATTAATTGTTGTCAGAAGCATCCAACCTCTACTGGCTTCTTCACTCTGATTGATTTCTAGAAATTGGACTATGGCGCGACTTGCAGCTTCTATAAAACCAAAGGAAAGACATAAGGTGGGGGGTATCACATATAAAGAGGTTTTTCCTTAAAACCTGCCGAAAAACGATCATTTAAGCACATCTTTATATCAACACAATTACATGCTCTATGTAAAATATGTTAAAAAGAGCAATATTTTAATGGTATATCTAGGCCCTTACAGTATATCATCAGATCAACACAAAAACACAGAAGTCAACCTATAGATTTTAGGGATAGTTACGTCATGAGCTAGTCAAAAAGAGTCATGAGAAAGGTAAAATTTGAGCTAAACGTACCTGGAAAACAAGGATACGTTTGTCTAGGAAGTGGGAGGGAAGGCAGGGAACAGAGAGATTAAAAGCACAGTATTAAAACAAAAGTGAAAATAGAAGACTGAGCCTAATATGCAAGATCAAGACAAAGAACTGTAATAACACTGGGTTAATATTCTATAAGAGCATTTTGAGAATTAGAGTCTAGTATCAACAGTAGTGATAGAAAATCAAAGCCAATTTAGGAAGGAAGGTAATCTAATGGCTGTATTTGACTCTCTGAGCAAGAGAAAGCAAATGTAGTTTTTTTGAGCAAAGTAGATGATGAAAGGATCATTCTCAGACTATTTAATGGTGATGTGTAAAATAAACTGGAAGGGCAAAGACACCTGGTAGAGGTGACACAAATCATGAGGCTGCCATAGTGATACACGTGAGGAGGGACTTGAGCAGTTGATAGTGGGAATAGTGTCATGCACAGCATGGTACCATTGCAGCAATCTATGAAAGTAAATTTAGTCATTTACGGCTTCAGAGGTAAGGGAAAAAGGACAATTCCCAAACTATGTGATTAATTTCATCGACATAGAGTTCATCAATTTTTATATCAATAAAGGAGATGAATTAAAGTTGTCAGAAAAGAAGCCCATCTGTTCACATATCAAACCAACCTAATAAGTTGCTAATGTACACTTAACACACATGACAAAAATGCAAAATGCAGAATAAATAGAATTTAGGTTGCCTTAGAGGTATTTTTTTTCCTCCATTTAAGAAAATCAAGATAAAAGTGTTTCATCAAATAATTGAATGAATACAAGACTTACATAGGATACTATGCTAGGCATATTTCATCTTTAAAAACTTTGAAAGAATATTTTAATAGTAAAAATAAGCTATCTAAAATTTTGCCTAAGTCTTAATTGTAGAACACTCTTTAAAGTACTTGAGGATTTAGCTCATTTAATCTTTACAAGAACCTTATGAGTTATTTTCTATTCTTAAACCTGTCATAATAATACAAATTGAGAAATGGAGAGAATGAGTAATATGCCTAGAACCACATAACTAGTCAGTGACAAAACTTATATTCAAATCCAAGCTGTCTAGCCTGTAAGAGATAAAGATAGTGATTAAATAAAAAATTACTAGAAAAGAGGGAAGCCAACAGAAGCCTGGCTTATTTCTAATATTTCAACATCTTAAACGGGTTGAAATTATTGTATTCATATTTTCACGGATTTATACCCTCTTGCCCCTCTCTGGAGAAAAAAAAAAAACACCATGGGAACAGACTCCTTGTCTGCCTTGTTCACACTACAGTCCCTAGTATAAAGTACATCTCTGGTACTAAGTGGGTCCTAGATACATATCTGTTAAATGAGTGAATAAATCAACCTAAAGAGATCAAAGAAGGACACTTTGAGCTCAACTTACTACAAACATCAAGAGTGTTTGAGTTTACTGTGGATAACAAAGATTCCTAAAGGTTCTGAGAAGGGGAGTAACAATATAAAGAAAGCAACATTTAAGGCTAGTTAAATTTTGAAGGTCTCTCTAGAGAGGGAAGCAAACAAATAAAAGAATGCCACTGAGAAACATTCTTTAGCAATTGTGGTTTGAGACCATTGGTAAATACGGATATGCAAGTTTTCCTGCAAACCTGTAATGGATCAGGTTTTAACACTACATTACATAAGCTCTCTTTCCTTGATAGGAATTAAATGCTCATGTAAGGAAGAGGACTCCTTTCCAGTGAGTAAAATTCTCAAAGGCTGCAATGCTCTGCTTTCATTTCCTAGGCCTCTGTACAAGTTAGGCAACTTTGGTGTTAAATTGTGCATTTTCAACTTCGTAACTCAACATACTAAAAAACTACTTGCAGTCGTCAAATTGATTATTCCATTGTGAAATCAATGTAACAAAATTCTATTTCATAACAACAACAAAAAAGCTGATTAGTAAATGAACTGGTCAATACCACCTATGCTTCTGACAGAAAATTTTAAAAAGATGCTGAAAAAATAAACAAAATTACCTTCCTGGTACAAAAGCTAGAGAGCTATAGATAAGACACATTTTGAGTGAATTTGAATGCTACCCATGTTTTTTAACATAATGCTATTAATGTTAAAAGAAAATTGGACAAAAAGGTATTTTCTGCTACTCAACAACTGCTATTCAGTAAGTTGTCAATTATGAACAATGAATGCTAATGCTTATTTTGAGAACCAAAACACCAAAAATGCACTCCTGGCTTGCAACAGTTCTATTTATCTGAGCAAGAGTGGGCATTTACACAAATGTGTGCTTTCTCTTGTGTTGGATGACAATGAATATTAAGGTATTCCTCAAGATCAGAACAGATAAATAATAGAGTTTTTAAAACTCTCAATGTTCTAATTGTTATTAAACATTACAACAATGGATTGATGACCTGACTTAATAATACACATGAAAATATACTGAAAAAGATCAAGATAGTGTAATTATTAACAGTATCTAACAACTGTACCAATTTAATAACAACTACTATTCTTTTCTGAGAAGAATGTGGAGAAGATCTCATTGACAAATGATCTTTACATAACAAATGTATTCATAAAAACTATTTTACTCTCACCTACTTTTTTCAGTATGTTGTCATTCAAAACACCTTATTGGGTTCTTCCACCTTTTATTTTAAATAAGTCAAGAAGCTCATAGTAAAAGTATTTAATATTAAGTGCCATCTTAAAAATATTTTTAATTATACTAGAAAATAATTTTAAATTAAACCTCCACAAATTATAGTTTCTTAAAACTTTGAAATAAAGACACTTCTAGTTAAAAAAAAAAACTGCAACAGGAGCTTTCATTTTCACTAATATTTAACAAATACAAATTTAAATGATTTAACTTAAGGTTATAAGAGTTAATGAAAGGAACATATTAATATTAACCCATCTTGAGAGTTGCCAATCATTTGATTCAAGCTTTAGTTTTCACACTGCATTTCAATACATACAGTTAACTGAAAAATACAGAAATGGAGTTAGCAGACCTCATTATTAAATGATAGCTGATTGACAATTTTAAAAGAAATTTACAGACAGAATGTAAGTGAATTCAGTTAGACAATATTGAGATCAGAATGCAAAACTTGTTAGTGCAATACAATTTTTCCTTTGCATTTAAAGCATAGTCATTGTCAAATTTATGCAAGATTATAATGTGAAACCATCAATAATATCATTACATTTTTTCATTAATGAAGAAACCAAGCCCTAAAAACTCCTTCCCATCTCAAAAAAACTTCCACAAGTTAGTCAGAAAAATAGTATTAGAACTCAAAGCTTCCATGCTCTTTTTTCATTTGATAATACACAACCACACCTTGAGAAAATTACCTGAGGGTGTTGTGGCTTTGAAATCCTTGGAGGACAGCGGGGCACACTGTTTTTCTGTTTAAAAAAAGAGGCTGTGTTGTCTACTTGGGGATTCACTATGTTATACTAATCCCACCACAGATGCTATATAAGACACCAATTGTGGTAAGCATCCACCAGCTTCTCCATCACCAGGGTGCTGCCCACTGGGGATCACACCATTGTATTTAACAGCAGCACCTATTATGCAGTAATGCTATTAATAATAAACTGAAGATACTATTTCACATGGGTGGAGATTTTTTGCTTCAATGACATAAACAGACCATATGCCCTTAGAACTAAGCAGACGGCATAGTCACACTTAACAAATACCTACAGGGGGTAGGAAAAAAATCTTAGACTCTATCTTGTACACAATATGACCACAAAATAATAAATTTTTTCAAATTAGTTGAGAGCCACTACATATTTTTAATAAAAGCCACATGGAGGGCAGCCAGGGTGGCTCAGCGGTCTAGCACCACCTTCAGTCCAGGGTGCGATCCTGGAGACCGGGGATCAAGTCCTGCGTGGGGCTTCCTGCATGGAGCCTGTTTCTCCCTCTGCCTGTGTCTCTGCCCCTCTTTCTCTCCCTCTCTCTCTCTCTGTCTCTCTCTCTGTCTCTCATGAATAAATAAATAAAATCTTAAAAAAGAAATGCCACATGGAGGCAACAATCAAGAGAGAATTATGGGGAACAGAAAAAACGGTAACTGTCAGGTTGCCCTAATATATTACACATCAGTCCTTGTACCCATTTTGCAGGTTTCCATTTTTACTACATTCTGATGGATAGATTCAAACAACAGAATTGCAGATAAGCATATCTTCCTACTGAGATATCTACAATCCATATTAGAAACAATCTGATAAAAAGACTTTATATGTGGCTGGTAATTAGGTAGCAAACAAAGTAACAAGTACTTTACACCAAATTCAGAAGAGTCCTGAAAAAATAACTTTGCCATGATGCACAACAAATAGACAACAGAGGGCTCAATTTTTAGAGAAAAATTATGTGCATATAAATTTTAGCAAAATTACTTTCAATGATAATTTCCTGTGAAATAAAAGGTCATGTAAGGTATCAAAAGTAGCCAAACTCATAGAAGCAAAAAGTAGAATGATGCTGAGGCCAAGAGAAGGAAGAGATAGGAGCTGCTGTTCAGTAAATATAAAGCTACAGTTACACAAGATAAAAAAGTCCGAGAGTTCTGCTGTAGGACATTTCACTTTGCGTGAACTGCGCCATACGCTAAGAATTTGTTAGGAGGATAAATCTCGTGTTATGTGTTTTTACTGCAATAAAAATCAATCAGCAATC